TGTAGTATTGGCCTGATATATCCTTGAAACCAAAGGTTATATACAAGAAGGAAGGAGAAATCCAAGGTGCTGCAGAGAGCTCGGCGAAAGCGGAGCGGAACTTGATGTCTCTCCATGCCGAGCACTTTCTCCGAACCACATGACTCATTTTTACAAAGATAGAAGATACTTACGGAGTACATAGTCCACTTTTGATAAGCTTTTCATTCGACTATTTTAAAGTCAATGGCTGTCAATGGCTAGTACAAAGTGTATTTATGGTTGTATGCACTGCCATGTCAAAGGGCGCGGAGAGTACTTATGCTCTATCTTTCAGTAAGGGCCCAATTAGTCCCGAGAAAGCCCCGAGTTATTTCTCTTAGCTTTATATTTTATATTAATGGATGATAACATTTGAATTTGATTTAGAGTCCAGGTCACTATAGAGTATACGTCCCAGCTGCCGCCTTTACGAGGGCGCTCAGTTGCTTCTCTGCTCACTAATGCTTCGCTTAACCACTAGTTATGCGGCTATCCACTTGATTGCTTAATTATTTCTCAATCAAAACTATTCTTGTCAATAGTTTCCATGTTCTTAATTTTCCACATACTTCCCCGTAGTTCCGTCAAGCTGCACTTCCAGTACCGCTGCCTTTCCATTAAGAACACTCTGAATAGCTTCTGGAAGTTGTTGTGCAAGCTCAGCAACCGTCGAAGCACGCCCAGCCCACAACTCACCACCTGCTGCTGCCTTGGCAATACCAGCATAATCAGGCGTTGGCGCAAAGGAGATATTTAGGTCTTCGTTTGTAGCGCGAGAACCGTCCCCTTCAGGGTGAACGAGGAGCATGCTCCGCCGGGGGGCATTCCAGCCCTTGTTGTTCAGCACGATTGTCAAAATGGGGATTCCATAGCGACGGGCGATCCAGTACACAGATCCAGGTACCGAAAAGAGGAACGTTCCATCACCAACAACCTGGCAGACAAATTTTCCCTTTCCACGTCCTCCATGCTGCATATCACTAGCAAGCTTGATGCCAAGTGCACCGCCACCAGACCAGCCGAGACCGCCACCTCCACAGTTAATCCACGACTTAGGTTGGGTAGCTGAGACTTGGTCTGCAACAAAGTGGGTCATAGTCACTGACTCAATAGCCCAGATGGTATCAATTGGGACGCCCTGGCGGACCTGCGCCATGAGATAGTTGATATTCAAGAAGGCTTCGCTGCCGCCTTCCGGGACTACAGCCAGATCGGAGATCTCCTGTCGACGCTTCGAATGCTCCTCATCTCGGCGTTGGCCCATAGTGATATTTTCCTGGGTGCCAATGAATTGCTGCAGAGACTCCTGGGAGGCAACGTGATCGTTGATTTGTTTAACCGCGGTAGAAGCGTCGGCACGGAACGAAGCCATCGAATGAATGTAGAAAACAGGAATCTGCTGCTTCAAAGGGTCGACATCAATGTGGATAATCTTGGCTGACGCAGACGGCTTGAATTGGGTAGGCACCCAGGGGACATCACAATCCACCACAAGGATTAGATCGGATGTTCCCACGGCCTCGTGGCCTGGATATCTCAATCCTAACCATGCAGGGTGGTCAGCGGGGAAGCACATGTCACTACCACCAGTGTCCAGCACACGGATTCCCTTGAAGCTATCTGCCAATGAGACGAGCTCAGCCACAGCCTGGGACTTTCTCCCAGAATATCCAGTAATTATAAGAGGGCTCTTCGCAGCTGCAAGCTCAGATGCGATCAGTTCAACGCCGGAGGTTGGTAGGGCAGCTGGCGCCACAGGACCCCAGACAGCCTGATTTAGCTGATACGGCTCGATATCCTCCTCCATGACCTCTCGCGCCCCTGCGAGGTACACAGGCCCCTGTGGGTCACTAGTTGCGAATTGTAAAGCCCGGTTGACAATCTGCTTAACATTCTTGCCCGACTTGATCTCACCGGTGTATCGACAGTACTGGGATACGATTTGCTTCTGATCCGGTACGTCTTGGATCCAGTGGATATATTCCGTGCGCGAACCTCGCATCTCGCCTTCGATCGTGTAAGGCGATAGACCGGCGAAGATTAACACCGGGGCGCGTCCGCATGAGGCGTTGTGAACTGCTGCTCCGAGTCCCTGCGTGCCGACATCGACATGGACGATTACTGCTTGTGGCTTTCCGGTCAATCGGGCGTAACCATCGGCCATGGATAATGCTACCATCTAGATAATATATTGTATCGTCAGCAGGGTTCTCAGTCTTATTTCCGACTCCAACCGAAGTGCTGCCGCTGAGATTGGTGAATCTCATAATGCAATTGTTAACATACCTCATTGGGACAGGTAATGATTGTAGGGAATTGATCCTTCTTTTCTTTCTGGCCTTTAACCATCGCCTCGAGAATGGAGGGGTGATCTGATCCCAAATTGACAAAGACATGGCTGACGCCGCCCTGGAGTTGTAATGGTTAGAATTAAACGTTGAAATAAATAAACCTGCTGCTAGTACACACCTCCCAGAGGGCTTCAAAGAAAGCAAAAGATGCTGTATAAACCCTTATAGTATGTGAGTAAAAGGGATATTTGAATATTTGAATATTTGTATGGGGGAACTCCGTACATAGCTGAGCTCTATGATACTATAAAAAGTTTGATAGTAAAAAGGATATCTTTCAAATCTCTGAATATCGGTATCTGAAGCAAAAAAGAGAGGGGAAGCACATTGCTAATAAAGCTGAAGATCTGGGGAAGCCTTGAATTGGAATCTCGGCCACAACTCCGAGGGCGGGGGTCCGAAGGAATACCGACTGCGTCTGGAGAATCAGATATACATATATTTCTCGGTTATATCTCATTTTGAAAGGACCATCTCCGAATCTCTTGACAAGCTCTCCTCTCCATGTTTGGCCCAATAACCGCGGATGAGCGGGCTTATGCCGGGAACCAGTCTCCGAACTACACAAAAGCTTTCACATGGGAACAACGTCTTTTTGAGTGTATGAAAACTCATGCTTTAAGAGGCTTAGCTACCAGAGCGAGAAAAGTGGGTTTGATCCAACAAAATACTAAGAAACCGTAGAGAACAACTTGGAAAACCACAGTAAGCTTTCTTATCTAGCTCTACGATGCCACTTTAGCTCTGTACCCAAGGGATTCGTACGTTATGTTATATATTGGATATTATAAATCGGCATATTAACCCGAGAGCCCACTACGAACCCCCAATATAATTCACGCTAGCCAGTCAATGCAGCAGTAGATAGTATATTATAAGTAATATGGAGGTGAACTTTGATTCAGAGGCTTTATATTTCCTGAGCTAATGGTGGTAACATATTATTACGTTATCTACTGCACTTTGAGATTGTTTTCTTCTAAGATTAACTGTACAAGAATAGTCGGCTTTGTGTGCCATTTTAGCTGGTCTTTTTAGATGTATGTGAAGGCGTCAAAAAAGCTCTTTTCTATGTTTTGGAAAGGAAACGTCCAAGTGGGAGCCTCAATGCCTATTTTAAATCGAAGTCTCGCTATCTTCGTCGGCTTCATTGCGGATTTTCGTACGACCGAATATCCTTCGAGCGTTTGACTAGGATGATCCTTTGATGATGGCCACGTTGGTCTAGTGACCCTGTATGATATGACATGGTGTGATAAAATCCTAATTCGCTTTAGATCCTTTTTATATATTTGGATATCTGGTGCGTAATTAGAGCAATGGATGGGGTCGGGCACGCGTATACAGACTTTACAAGCATGGAGATCTATCTACAAGAGAGCATTTGTGGTATTGTTGCGCTCCTCCAGTCAGCCGTCAAAAAGTCTTACCGAGTGATACTTTGGCTGACTGTTCACTTTGGAGATGAATCTATTGCTAATTATAAACAGTACGAGTGTGGCGGTCAAGCCCCCTTTTCAAAGATAAAACCTAACATTCTCTAGACTCTAGCTACCAAATCGTCATCTGGTCTGTCATTGAGACCGGCCTCGGAATTACAGCAGGCAGTCTGGTTACTCTTCGACCTCTATTCTACTAGCCCCTGGATGAAAATTCTACCCATAATCACAACTCACCGCTCCAAAAAAAATATTCAAGATCATACCCACTGTCTAGTAAGCAAAGTGACCCCACAAGAAGATTGCGAAACACGAAGTACTGGCGTCCTCCCCGACGACAAGAGTACAGTGGTCACAGTCTCGTCACGGCGGAGAGCTAAAATCAGCAGCAACAGCAGTCAAGAAGTCTCGAACCCTGGCAGAAATCGAGCCGAGAATCTCGTCAAATCAGGTCCCAATACAGAAGACCTTTGTACGAACAGTGACAGAGGGGAAGAAATAGACATTTTTTCCTTATTTATAACAAGGGTCATTGGTTGGTTTGGAGGGTTTAGCGCATTTATAAGCTCCATAGCCCTGGCCCCGGGGTTCAGCTCCATCGCTCCCTCCCGCTAGGTTCGACCAATCCACATTCAACATACGGAGTACCCCGTAGTTATCGCGACTTTTTGCACTGGCACGGACCTTGAAAAGTCCAGCTCATGAATTGTTATCTGGGCTTCGGCATCCCCGGGGAATGCTTACAGCTGGGCCACCCTTTCGCTTATCTTTACTCCGTACATGCTGGCCATAAGGCTGGCCATGTGGGCAGGGGCGTGCCTAGCTGAGGCCATATGCACGCCTGCGTGATTATTGGCTTGGCAAGAGGCTATGTTACGATAATCCTATGAAGCGTCTCAGTTCCTGCAGGAGCTGAAGAAAACACGAACAATGGGGCGTCTGGGCGACTTAAAACTGGGTTAAGCTGCCGATCGTGGCGTTGGGGTTCGTATGCTAGCGGGGGGCCTCGTGCAGGTAAACAAAACAGATGATTCAAAGCGACCTCGAGACGAACGCTACTCGTGCGGCGACACTAATAAAAAAAATTACACTAGGGTGTAAGTGAAAAAGTATATAGATAGAGTCGTATCCGCCTACCAGTCGTGATCTAAACACTCGCCCACAGCACATCAAACTCCATCCATACAAAATGTCTCTATGCTCCGAGATCCATGAGCCACAATACAGAGTCCAACAGAGAGGGGACTCAAAGATCCCGCCCATCCGCAAGCGCATCATCATCTGCTGCGACGGAACATGGCAATCCGCCGTTTCGGGCAAGAAAAACGTCCCATCTAATGTGACACGTCTCTGTCGCGCTCTGAACAATGTCGGAACCGACGAACACGGGAATCAATGGCAGCAAATAGTCTGGTATGATTCCGGAATTGGCACGACCTCAAGTCCTTTGGGACAAAAGATCGAAGGCGCTATTGGCCTAGGCCTGGAAGGGAATGTCATCGAAGCGTATAATTTCTGTGTCCTGAACTACAAACCCGGCGATCAGATTATGTGTTTTGGTTTCTCGAGGGGTGCATTCACGGCCCGCGCCATTGCTGGTTTGATCTCCGATATTGGTATTTGCAGAAAACAGGATTTGAATCGGTTTCCTGATCTCTGGGAAGTTTATAAGGAAAAGAAACACGGCGAGCGGTTCTATTGCAGTGATCTCTGGTTTGAGTGGATGGATGGGAAGGCGGATGAGAATCAGGGCGCTCAAGGCGATACTTTCCTATTTGAAAAGCGCGGTAAGGGAGATTGGGCTCAGGAGGGGTCAAGGGATGTGGAAGTTGTTGGTGTCTATGACACAGTCGGCGCTATTGGAATGCCGAAAGTGCTGGGGATGAAGCTGCCATCTTGGTTGTTGTGGTGGGCGGGTAAGGATGGATGGGAAAATGTTGGACTTTCACCTAGTAAGTATACTAACTCCTCTCTTCTATTTTTGCCTCAGTGTGGTTTCATGATAGGCAGAATACTGACAAACAATCCCCAGATGTCAAACATGCATTTCAGGCTTTGGCCCTCGATGAACACCGCAGCGCGTTTTCGCCCACCCTGTGGTATCTCCACAAACTTGGAAACGTTACCTCAGAGCAGATCCAAACCCAGAAGAAAAAGTTCGACGAGGAAGCTCAAAAATGGGACGATCTCTTGCAAGACGCAATCCGCTTGAAGGCTAGCGGCAGGGCTAGCGATGAGGATGTCAACAACATAGCCCGAAAGCTAAACCAAACCGCCAGAGACTGGAACAAGGAGACCCGAACGCTCCTAAAGTTGGAAGACGACTACAAGCACCAGTGCAAACCCCGAACATTGACACAAGTGTGGTTCCCCGGTTATCACATCAACATCGGCGGAGGCTCGAGTGAGACCCTCAAAGATGAGGGCAACATGGAAGAAATGTCTAATATCACCTTCTCCTGGATGTTGGACCAAATCAAACCTTATCTGTCGCTCAACGAAGATTTTATCTCCGAGGAAAGAGAAGAGATGGAAGATCACATTTCAACGCTTGTTGAAAATACAGTCAATAATGAATCCCTGGGAGGCTGGGCGCAACGCAAGGCTGCAGCAATAGCCTCAGCTTTAACATTCAAATATTTCTCCACGTCTCCAGTCAAGCCTGTGGACAAACGACGCAGCTATGGCTGGGGAACAGGCCCGCTGGAAGACAGCTTTACGCCATTTTACTACGCCAACGGGTCGGAGAGGCGAACACCTGGAGGCTACGATCCTTTCGACAAAAATGGAAATTTGCTGGGAGAGACATTCGAGTTTGTTCATCCAGTGGTGGGATTTAGGGAGAAGCAGATCAAGGACTACACGCCAATTGGGCCAAATGTCAAGTTTGCCCGTCGAAAGGCGGTTGACGAGAAGGGACGTCCTGGTTATGTTTACGACCTGGGAAATTCACCCAAGCCCTTGCCTGAGTGGCGCTTAGGAGGGCTTGACTCTTATGAGAGACTCGCCATCACCGGCAAGGTTGAATATGATTATGTCAACGAACTAGATCTATATTTGCAGACTGAGATCAAGACACCCCGTCAGTCTGCTTTGGGAGTTCGAGATGTTGACGTTGGGATTGAAGTGGGCAAAGCTGGAGATATTGACTCTGGAATTAAAGTGCCCAAAGCCGAGGGCTTCCAACAGGGAGGCTTTAAATCGACGGGCCTTGGGACCAAGGAAATGCAATGGAAGATCTCGGAGGTTTCATACGCCGAGGAGATAGTGACTCCGATATGATTTTTTTATTTTTATTTTTTTGGCGCTTCTGATTGAAACAATTATGGATGGAGTGAAATATATTGGCATGCGCATAGCTGCGTATAGCAGCGCAAACAGGAAGGCCTTTCGGGCATGGCTTTATGGATAGCTTTTTTTGTGCAATACTTCATTGAATTATAACATTAATTACAAATGCCTAACTAGCCCCCTTTTGAGGTCCTCTATGCAATATGTTGTAGATCCATATCTCTAAAATCAGGAATACCAAGCAATATTTTTTGTGGGGACTGCAGCATCCGACGTCATAGGGCTGAACTGGTCTTCCAAGTTAAATGAGAAGAGAAAAGACCGTGTAGACCAAAATCATTTAGGCATCACAATTGTTCGACTCCATTAACCAAATCCTCCTTGGACCCATTTGTCTTCGTCCTCTCAGAAACCAGAAAGCTCGGCTAGGGCTAAGAAGTACGTAACCTACGTCATTTCAGTCATGGATGGTATCTTCCACCCGTGGAACTTGACTGGAACAATATTGAACTGTTTTGAACTTGTCAAGTTATTTGCTGCGACCTGTTCCTTTTTTGTTGTTGGAATTATTTTGATCATTCGACAACCTCCAAGTCCAAATCGAATTCGTTGCAAGATGGTACCCCGCAAGGTGTACAATATGTGTCAAGGGCAGACAGTAACCTCAGAGTTAGCTCTTGACTCGTCGCAATGTCCACAGAAAGTCTTTCATAAACTGTTCGAGAGTCATCATGCGTCGCATACATACGATGGCGTGGAAGAATCAGATGTCGACAAATCATCGGAATGGGAATCGTTGAATGAGCTGCAGAAAGCTCACGCTTGCGGGAACTTTGGGTCTACCGAAACGAGTGATCTATTTCTAAAGGTAAATTCATTTGCTATCTCGACATTGAGAGATAACATTCTAACACGCACCCACCAGGTTTATCATGACGCGCTATGTTCTTTAGAAAAAAACCCAATGTCGGGAGTTGTATCGCCCCAACTGCTGGGGAGTACAGGAGTGCTACCACTAACAATTGTCGCCCCGTTACCTGATCTCTGTCGTCATTTAGCAAATTGCATTGTGCGCGCCGAACACGAGGTCTTTTTGGGGACTAATTTCTGGATCCACTCGGACGCATCCACATTAGTGACGAATGCCATTCGAGAACTTTCCAAACGAGCAGGAGAAAGGGGACAGAAAATAGTTATGAAGATGATCTATGATCGTGGAGATCCTCGTCAGGTGAGTGCTTGTCCCATGAATGTATACCGAACACAATCTGCGGACATGATTCTAATGAACCACTAGGCGTGGGAAAATAGACTAAGTGTCCACGAGGACCAGTATGTCGGCGGAAAGGTGAAACTACCTGCCGCGAGCGAGATCCCTAATGTCGATCTCCAAGTCATCAACTTTCACCGGCCTGTCTTTGGGACGTTCCATGCAAAATTCACTGTTATTGATCGGCGCATGGCTCTCATACAAAGCAGTAATATCCAAGACAACGACAACCTTGAGATGCTAGCTCATATCGAGGGCCCGATTGTTGATTCTTTCTATGATACTGCGTTGCTATCCTGGGGAAAGGCTCTCGACCCCCCGTTCCCACTCCTGAACTCTCCAGCGAGGGATGCTCCGATCCCATGCCACGAAGAAAGGAAGGTTGATCTTCCTACAGAGAATGGAGATAGAGCTCTTCCTGAGCATACTACCGATTCTCCACATTATGATAGGGACTTTGAACAAGAGGCCCGGAGAGTCAACGATTGTATCCACCCACAAGGTGACGAAACACGCACGCAGGCCGTCAGCCGTCATCTCAGTATGTAAAATGCGTGGTTCATCTATGACAATGCCTAACAACCAAACAGATACAACCATCCAGCCCGACACAACAGGCGATGCACCAGACAGCGACCAGGATAATACATTCAACCCTTATATGACCATACCTCGCCACGAGCCTTTCGCAATGGCATTAGTAAACAGGGAACCATTCGGATGTGAGTCGAAACCACAAAGAGAAGCTCCCGCAGACAGCCGACCATAACGCTAACTCTCAATTTCTTCAAGCCCCAAACCACAGCAGCGTCCACACCCCGCAAAACGCAGCGTGGCTGTCCGCAATTAACAACGCCCAGCATTCAATCCTCATTCAAACGCCAAACATGAACGCCGAGCCTTTAATGGAACCCCTCCTCAACGCGGTTCGCCGCGGCGTCGTGGTAACCTGCTATCTCTGTCTTGGCTACAACGACGCAGGCGAGCTCCTCCCGTTCCAAAATGGAACCAACGAAATGATTGCGAACAGGCTGTACAAAGCCCTCGAAACTGACGACGAGAAATCTCGTCTACGGATATGCTATTATGTCGGCAAGGACCAAACTCGTCCGATTCATAATAGCTTCAAGAAGCGGAGCTGTCATATTAAGCTGATGATCGTTGATGAGCAGATTGCGATTCAAGGTAAGTCCAAAAAATGAAAACACTATGAGAGAAGTATGCCTTAACCAAATATCTAACAATGCTTTTAGGCAATGGAAACCTTGACACCCAATCATTCTTCCACAGCCAGGAAGTGAATGTCCTTATTGATTCCGCGCTCATTTGTTGTGCTTGGACGGAGTTGATCAATCGCAACCAAAACACTGCCAAATATGGCGCTGCAAGTACGAAGGATGGGTGCTGGCATGATCCCGAGACTGACGAGATTCCGGCGGGTTCAATGGGGCCTATACCGGGTCGGTTCAGTTGGGCCAAAGGAGCCGTTGGTGCTGTCCAGCGAGTGAGAGGTGTTGGCGGATTCTAGAAGCTCATATGCTTATGTACCTGGGGGATGCTTCTATCTCGGGATACTTTTTGGCTAGAGAGTGAACTATGCGTGGATATATTTCGGCAATGAATGAATGACCTATGAAAATGCCCTCGTACAAGATACTTGGATCAAAGGTGCGGGAGTTCGTGTCCATGAGTAGCAGACCACCAAGATACACACTAAAGACCGTCGTGTACGACCGGGTGATTCCAGGAAACCCACCGAGGACTTCTGCGACATGTATCCTTCACGAGACATTGTCAAAAGTCATAGATTTCCATCGTCTCGCCAATTTTATAACAAATCAGACACAGAGTAAAACCAACCATCCACTAAGAAACACCCATCCCAACATAAATGTCTCGCTCATACGACCAACCGATAGTCGACATAGTAACCTATGTCTACCACCACACCCTCAACCAAGACGACGAAGCGATCTGGAAATGCGCGCGAACAGCCCTGCTAGACGCAATGGGCTGCGCCATCGAGACAGCAGCGACAAGCACCGAATGCCGAAAACTGCTCGGTCCCGTGATCGAGGGCACAGTCGTACCGGGTGGATTCAAGGTCCCAGGAACGGAGTTCCAGGTCGATCCCGTGAAGGGCGCTTTCGATCTGGGTGTCCTGATTCGGTACTTGGATCATAATGATGCGCTTGGTGGTGAGGAGTGGGGACATCCTTCAGGTATGGTCTATTGAAGACACGGGGTTGGGACGGGATTGCGTCCGTAAGACTAACATATGGATTGAATTGCAGATAATCTCGGTGCTATACTTCCAGTCATGGATTGGCTGTCTCGTGCAAGTTTGTCTGGTCGACGGGTCCACGGTGGTCCGCCGTTGACGATGCAGACGCTGCTTGTCGCGCTAGTCAAAGCGTATGAGATACAGGGGTGTTATCAAATGCGAAATGCGTTTAACGTCTATGGAATCGACCATGTCGTGCTGGTTAAGTTGGCTTCTGCTGCTGTTGTTTGTTGGTTGCTAGGGATGACGGATGAACAAGCTATGGCGACTATTTCTCATGTTTGGATGGATGGCCATCCGAACCGGGTGTATCGATCCGGCACAAACACTATCCCGAGGAAAGGGTGGGCAGCTGGAGATGCGGCCAGAAGAGCTGTGCAGTTGGCTCTACTGGTGCAGGACGGCCAGCCTGGTTCGACAGGGGCATTGAGCGCGAACCCATGGGGGTTCTGGGAAAGGACCTTTGGCGAGGCGGGATTTGTACTTCCACGACCATTTGGGTCGTGGACGGTACAGAATGTGCTGTTAAAAAGTATGCCAGTAGAAGGACATGCGATCTCGGCTGTGGAAGCAGCAGTTTTGCAGGCGCGTCGATTTCGACACAGAGGTCTGGCCGATCCTCTAGAACAGATCCAGCGAATAGATCTGCGAACGACTGCTGCTGCCTTTCTGATCGTCAACAAACATGGGCCGCTGCACAACGCTGCTGACCGTGACCACTGCATTCAGTATGTGGTCGCCCTGGCTTTCTTAAAGGGTAGTCCGCCAGAGGCTGTGGACTATTTGGACGAAAGCCCATGGGCGAGTAGTAAGGAACTTGAAGCCTTGCGATCAAAGATCGTGGTTCAGTCCGACCCTAAGCTCACAGAGGACTACTTGGATCTAGACAAGAAGAGTATCGGTGCAGGGATGACGGTCCACTTGGCAGATGGGTCCTCATTGCCTCAAATATTGATTGAATATCCCGTAGGACATGCGCGAAATCCCAAAACACCAGCTGCGGTACAGGAGAAGTTTTTCCAAAATATGGGGCTTATATTCTCTGCGACAGAGATCAGTCGGATATTGGGTGCTGTTCAAAACCCAGATACTTTGATCTCGGATTTCATGGATCTGTTTATCCAGCTACCAGCCAAGGCAAGGTTGTAGAAGGCAAGGCTATCTGCAGGTATCATGAGTTGGTTGTTCTAGGCAGGGTATCTAGTGCTGTCGTTCCATTGTTCTCAATCGATTCTTCCAACTCCCTGCAGCGTCAAATAAACATCTGTCCCCCATCCCCACAGACTTTGCACCGCAATGCTACCACCAAAGTACTCAGCGTAGGCTCGGCCGAGAGGCAGCCCATAACCAAGACCTGCAATACTGCTGACCTGGCCACCGCTAGCAGATATGGTGTTTAAAGCATCCATATTGCCGTTCTCCGAGCCCTGGAGGTCTATATCGGAGAAAGTCGTAAAGCTATACGACCAGATATGGGGCAGAACCTCAGGCGGAATACCACCACCACGGTCACGGATACGGATTGTGATACTCTGAGACGACGGAGCCGAGTATCCAATGTTTTCATTCTCATTGGCACTGGCAAGCTCCGAATCAAGCTCAAAGCCAGCATCGGTATCCCCCGGGACCGCCGGCGCATTTCCGGGGACATCTGGAGCAGCAGCGATCGTCACCTCGATGGGCTCACGCTCATTTCCATTTTCAATAGTTGCCCGGAATGCGTTCTTCAATAACTCGGTGATAATGTACTCCACATGTACAGGGATGTGAGCAAAGGTGGCCTCAGGCTCACCTCCAATGTTCAAACGCGGTCGCACTCCGTACTTAAGCTCACAGATTTCTCCAACGAAATCCTCGCATTGCCGGATGATGCGTGCCGGCTGCAAAGCCGTGTCAATTACGCCTATATAGTTTGATGGAATCGAGTTCTTGGGCGCAGGCGCGTCGGCGCTATCGGGTGGGTCATCGCTGATGGGCTGGGAGGCATAATGAAGTGCTAGATGTTGCTCCGCGATCAAGCGCGTACCGATACGCGCCCGTAGATGCGTGTCCAAGAAGCTCGTCACGTCGGCCGGGCTGACATATTTCCTGCACTCTAGAAACCCGCGGGCAAGCACGGGGATTGTATTTGTATGCGTGTGTACGAGGTCTGCCAGTACATCCCCGAACTGTTTCTCTTCTTCGAGGGTCGTGATGCGGCGCTGTTGATATGGTATGAGGGTCGATAGAGAATGGAGGTAATTGTGGTAGATTTTGGAGACATGAGGGTTTGAGACGACGATGAATGGGAGGTTTCGTAATGCTTGAATGCGAGAAGCTAGTCGGGCGGGGAGGAGGGATAGAGTGAAGTTGGCAGAGGCTAAAAGAGCCTCTTTGTTCAATGGTGGGCGGCCATGTCTGGGAGATTGATGTGAATTTAGCACATTTTGATTCAGCTTTGCTATAAGTTATAGAATCTAAGACTGACTTGAGTAGATCTGCAAGTGTCAACGGCCGACGGGGACTCGCAGCCAGCTGCGCGACATTGTCTTTGGCGACATCAAGTGGACGACCGGTCCAATTTTGACTCTGCGTGGACGATTGACGAAGAATACGAGGTCGCGCAATCGGAAGGCTCCGGCAGCTAGGCCGAAAAGCCATAGCTCTAGGTATTAAGGTTGTCATTGTGAATTGTAACCTTGAAATATAGAGAGATAAGTGGAAGTTCACAATGAACCCCCCGGGACGGAAGATCTGCATCGGCGGTGCGGATATCATCGGTTCAATGTTGCAGATCAACAGGGATCAAACCACCAAGGTCGCTATTTACCGGTGAAAGGTACATACATTTACGTAAATTTCTACTTTCGGATGTTGCATAGGACTCACTGAAGTTAATGTGCATATAACTCAACTTGATAGTTGGACTCGAGAAATTGCTCCATCTGCATCAATGCCTGTACCTCTCACATTTGGAAAAGGTGGGTACTCGTAAGGTGTACATGGCATCGCGGATGAAAGCAGGTCGCATAATTGGTATCAAGTCATCTCGCTGAAGCAAACCAAAAGAGAAAGAAAAGAAAAGAAAAGAGCCCCCGGATATCTAACCTTCGTGTTTCTGTTTTCTCATCATACAGCGGGACATCCACAACGATTGCAGTTTTCAGTCCTAGGAATGATGAACAAGGACATTTACGTAGTAGTCACTGCGCCGTCCTGCTCAACATGGACATATTCAGTGGATTCGAAGGTTTGGACGGTGTCATCGGGGAACTCGACACTAGTATTTATCCATATATCAGGATGCGCCTCGATGGCATAGATCGAATCAGCGCCACTTACGTGAAGCCTTTTATGATGCTGTATTCATGTTTGATGACGCCGCCCTTCTCCCTAGCTGTTTCCTTAGCCCTGAAAAGAGATGTTAGTACCAAGGTGTTCAAGATGATAGAATTGCGACATACTTTTCCAACTCCTCGGTGGGAGCGTTGGTCTTTAGAGTGATCTAGCAAGGTCTTAGTCCGGATAATTTGGAAGATAAAGCTTAACTCACATTGTAAAGAGGCATTATGTCAGATAGCAAAATCTAGTGTCAGATTGAAAAGCGTGGAGAAGAGGAAAAGGGAAGCAAACCGAAAGAAAGCAATTTATAGGAAAAGAGGGGGGAAAGGCTACACTTTATTTTGAGAGGTGCCTTGAAGCAGGTACCTTCCAATCACCCGCTTTCTCTTTCTTACATATTTTTAATTCTTCACTGTGCATAACTACATGTATCCTGTAGTACTTGGGTACCCCCTGTGCTACTAGACGTGATCTATTGGTCTTACATGCCTGTCTGACATTGACCTGCTAGTGGCTTCTGTATGAACTCACTCTCTAAAAGCAGGATTTACATGGCGCCCCTTGCTGGAAATTGCTCTACAATTCCCGTATAATTCGAATCCGGCCCACAACATATGTTGTAAAGGAGGGGAATTGCTGTTTGATGTAACGATGCGAGGCTATGACATCATATTTAAGAAAACGCGGGGCAATGTGTCTTGTATAGAGACAAGGTATTCAACGCTTTAATAGACGGCTCTATAATTTTACTTGATATTTTAACCCTAGAGTCCAGTGTAACCATCCTCTTCACGGGGAGGCATCTTCATCCCGTGCATCCCCTTGTACTTGGGGCTTTCTGGAGCCTTCCACCCCTCCAGGACCTTGTCATCTGCCAGTTGATATACCTCCACACCCAACGGACGACAAGTGGCTCCCATATCAGCTTCCTTATCATCCCAACCCCAATTGGACAAATCACCTGAGAGTATCATTAGCATAAAGATAAGGCATTTGGGTACAATGGTGCCATACCGCCAGGACACGCAGATAGCGCGCAGAGAACATCCACTTCTGCAAAGAACTCAAAGTACTCGCCTGCCTTTGCAGGGGAGGTCTCCATGAAGTACTTTCCATTCTCATCCAACCCCGTCACCTGAAACACATTCAAGACATCATGGACATCTAGCTCTGTCAGTCCATGAGGGACGACGGAACGAGTCAGGTTCGAGTGACAGTGGAAGTCAAAGGTCTCTCCACCCATGAGCAAGTTCACGTAAGGATCACACCGAGTGCCCATCAAGTCATGCACTCGCCCTCCAAACTGCGTGGGCCCGAATACGACATCCGGATTGCGCTTTCCATCCGGTCCAAGCACGTCATGCAGCTGCCCGCCGCCTAATGAGTCACCCGTGATTGTTACAAGGGGCCGCAGGTACGGCAGGTTCGACCATAGTCGGTCACCCACTGAGACGTGGGTGGAATGAATCTGTCGGGTACGCGCAGCCCACATCCGTTCTCGGGGGTTATTTGCGTTCCAAATGTTCAGGTCGCCCACCTGTGGTCCTTTTGGCGTGGTCAGGCGACAGATGTGGCCGGCGGGGACAACCCACGCTTGAGCGGAGCATGGTCTGATGGTGAATGCTTCTTTCGAGATCCGCGCAGAGGGGCTGGATGCGGTTTTGGAGATGGTGCGGTACAACTGGGAAGTTGCATGAACCCCCGAATCGGCTGGTGCTGTGTAAGCTGGGGGTGGCTGACGTGCAGACATTATATGCGGTTGCGAGGTGTTAGAGACTGGATGTTACACAGAGGTCTAGTAGACAGAGAGCAAGATTAGATTTACAAGATCCGGGAGGTAGAACAGTCAATTTATAGCTATGGATAATCGGGGGCTTCCCGATGTTAACGGCTTCTGCCCCACCTGATAGCCCCGAAGCCCGAAGGGAAATTACATCCTCCGATTTCTAAAGGAGTGCAGCGCGGCGTGAGATAGCGCTATCGCGGAACTTTAATGCCGTCCATGGGTAGACTGAAGGAAAGCGCCAGCGGGGTCTCTGATATCTCATGGCTTGGGGTGGGGTGGAGCCAAATTACCGGCCCGGTATAGGATTACCAGGATAAGGATTACTGCCTCAGGTTAGTAATTTAAGAACAATTTATGCCTTAGGCCACAAAGCTTCTGATCCCCTGACTAAGGTTTATCTACTCCGCTTTGGCAGAAAAATAATTGCTGCTAATTTTTTGGCCGCCGTCGGGGAAAGTCCTTTACCTCGATTGCGCTTGTCTTTCTTTATCTTTGAATAAAGGAGTTGATCTGTTGAGGTATTACACCTCTTTACAGATAGCATGGAGCAGCAGGCCAACAGGGCGCATCGCCCTGCCAAAGAAAAGAAGAAATTCGAAGGTACGGCGAGAGCGCTCCAATAAATCTACAAACTTTCTGCTTTCGAGTCCATGCTAACAAAGATTTTTTCTTTATAGGTGCTAATCCGAAAGCATTCGTCACTTCCAGGCCTGGAAAGCTCAATAAGCAGGCTGCGCGATCGCATGATGTATGTATATGGAAATTTCCTGCTGGTCAATTGATGCTGACCCGAACTTCTCCTCTAGGTGAGAGAAAAGAGACTCCATGTTCCCCTCGTGGATCGTATGCCCGAGGAGGCTCCACCAGTCGTTGTCGCCATCGTTGGACCCCCGGGAGTCGGAAAGACAACTCTTCTCAAATCTCTGATCCGCCGCTACACCAAGCAAACCCTCAGCTCGCCGCAAGGCCCGTTGACCGTTGTCACGACCAAGCGCAAGCGTCTGACCTTCATCGAATGCCCGTCCGACTCTCTGGCAGCGGCGATCGATGTTTCCAAGATCGCAGATATTGTGCTTCTCATGATTGACGGAAACTTCGGATTCGAGATGGAGACCATGGAGTTTTTGAACGCCTTATCGACAGCTGGTATGCCGGGTAACGTCTTCGGTATCCTTACTCATCTTGATCAATTCAAGAAACACAGCACCTTGAAGGACGCGAAGAAGCGCCTGAAGCACCGTTTCTGGAGTGAGCTATACGCGGGCGCAAAGCTCTTTTACTTGTCCGGTGTTATTAACGGTCGTTACCCCGATCGCGAAGTGCACAACCTTTCACGATTCTTGTCCGTTATGAAAAACCCTCGTCCGCTCGTGTGGCGCAACTCGCACCCTTACGCCCTTGCGGATCGCTTCTTGGACATTACCCCACCTACTCAGATCGAGGAAAACTCGAAGTGTGATCGCACAATCGCGCTCTACGGCTACCTGCGCGGCACCAACTTCCCCTCGCATGGCGCCCGAGTCCATGTTCCTGGTGTTGGTGACCTTACGGTTGCCAATATTGAGGGCTTGCCCGATCCATGCCCAACTCCGTACATGGACCAGCAGATCGCCAAGGCGACAGGAAAGTCGAACCGCCGCAAGCTTGGCGAGCACCAAAAGCTGCTTTTCGCTCCCATGTCTGATGTCGGCGGTGTCTTGGTCGATAAGGACGCAGTTTACATCGATATCAAGACTAACACCTTCGACCGGGATTCGGACGAGGATTCGGACGATGAGGAACGCCGCGGTCTTGGCGAGCACCTTGTTGTTGGCCTTCAAGGCGAGCGCAAGATGCTGGGTGAGGCTGATCAGGGTGTTCGTCTCTTCCGTGGTGGTGAGGCCCTCGATACAGCGGATGACGACGAAACGGGCCGGAAAGATCGACGCCGCGCTCGTGTGGCTGTGCCCGAACCAGACGACATGGAGATCCCCGAAGGATTCGATAGCGAAGAGGAAGCCGATGAAGATATGGACGAGGAGGATGTGACAGATGATGAAGGCGAACTCGACATGTCCGCGCCTGCAGACTTTGAAGCCCGCTTCAAGGCCAAACAGAACGGAAATGCTGGTGGAGAGGAAGAAGACATGGCTTTCGCTGATAGTGACTCTGACCTGGGCTCCATCTCTTCAGTTTCGGACCAGGAAATCGAAAGCGGCGATGAAGACGAGGATGAGGATGAGGATGAGGATGAGGATGAGGATGAGGATGAGGATGAGGATGAGGATGAAGATGATGAAGATGATGAGGAGGGCAATGTCCGATGGAAGGAGAACATGCTCGCCAATGCCAAGTCTCTTCACGGAAAGCGCCCTCCTTTCCGAGTCAGCGACCTATCAAGAATGATGTACGACGAGTCGATCACCCCACTTGATGTCGTGAAGACATGGCGCGGTGAAGATTCCGACGATGAGGAGGAGGACGAGGAAGATAGAACCGCCGACGACGAAGGCGAGGACTTCTTCAAGAAGACAAACAACGAGAAAGAAGACCAGGCCGACTTCCGCGCCGTTCCAGAGTACGACTACGATGAGCTGGAGCGCAAGTGGCGGGATGAGGAGCTACTCGAATTAATCAAACTCCGCTTCATCACTGGCAAACTGTCTGGTGGTGGCTCAGATGATGAGGATGGTGATATGGATGAGGATGAGGATGATGAAGATGAAGGCGACGGTGACTACGAAGATTTGGAGTCTGGCGAAGTTTTCAACGGTATCAAAGAGGATGGCGATGAAGATGATGATGAGGAAGGCGATGATGAGCCCGAAAAGGCTGCCGACCTGGAAGCTGAGCGTGAGCGAAATGCTAAAAAGAAGGAAGAGCTCAAGCTACGTTTCGAAGAAGAGGATCGCGAAGGCTTTGGAAAGGTTCAGGACGGGACCCATGATGGTATTGATGGCGAGTTCGGCGAAGACGATTGGTACGACCTACAGAAAGCCAAGCTACAAAAGCAGGCAGACATCAACCGCGCCGAATTCGAGACACTCGACCCTACCTCGCGCGCCCGGGCTGAAGGTTACAAAGCCGGCACCTACGCACGTATCGTCCTCGAGAACGTACCTTACGAGTTTGCCTCCAAGTTCAATCCCCGCTTCCCTGTCATCGTTGGCGGTCTCTCGCCCACTGAGGACCGATTCGGCTACGTGCGGATCCGGATCAAGAGACATCGCTGGCACAAGAAGATTCTCAAGAGCAACGATCCGTTGATCTTCTCGCTTGGTTGGCGTCGCTTCCAGACCATGCCTATTTACAGCACCTCCGACAGTCGGACGCGAAACCGCATGCTTAAGTACACACCTGAGCATATGCATTGCTTTGCTACCTTCTACGGACCTCTCGTCGCTCCCAACACCGGTTTCTGCTGTGTGAACTCGTTCTCGAACAAGAACCCCGGTTTCCGTATTGCGGCCACTGGTGTTGTTGAGAGCGTGGATGAGCACACAGAAATTGTCAAGAAGCTCAAGCTCACTGGTCACCCTTACAAGATCTTCAAGAACACCGCCTTCATCAAGGACATGTTCACCTCTGCACTAGAAATTGCCAAGTTCGAGGGTGCATCCATCAAGACTGTCTCTGGTATTCGTGGACAGATCAAGCGTGCGCTATCCAAACCCGATGGCTGTTTCCGTGCTACGTTCGAGGATAAGATCTTGATGAGTGATATTGCCTTCCTGCGTGCTTGGTACCCCATCAAGCCCCACCGCTACTACAATCCTGTGACCAACCTGTTGGACCAGGTCGACGGTGAGAAGGGTGATAATGGATGGCAAGGCATGCGCTTGACCGGTGAAGTCCGTCACGCTCAGGGCATCGCCACCCCCCAACTCAAAGACTCGGCTTACAAGCCCATCGAAAGACAAGCCCGTCACTTCAACCCGCTCCGTGTGCCAAGACAGCTGGCCTCCGAGCTCCCCTTCAAGTCGCAGATCACCAAGATGAGGGGCCACAAGGATCAGACCTACATGCAGAAGCGTGCCGTTGTCCTCGGAGGCGAGGAAAAGAAGGCCCGTGACCTCATGCAGAAGCTCACTACCATGCGCAACGAGAAGCAAGCTAAGCGATCCGTCAAGCAGGAGGAGCGCCGCAAGGTCTACCGTGCTAAGGTGGCTGATAGTCTGGAGAAGAAGGCCGAGCGTGAAAAGAGAGAGCGCAATGATTACTGGCGCAAGGAGGGCAAGAAGCGCAAGAACCCAGATGAAGACTCTGGTGGCCGTGGACGCGGCAAGAAGCGCAAGTGATCTATTCTTTGTTCTTGAACATGTCTTAATCTACTTGGGTCTTTTGCATAGATGGCGTTTGGACCCAAAAACTTGTACCTACATTATGTTGGATGTTTATTTATATCAAAACTATTTCATGAATGCACTACTGTTTGCACAGGCTTTTTTCTCGTTGCCTCCTACGCCGTATATACTGTACTTTCTTTCCATGCTAATGACCAGACTGCTTCTCGGCGTCGGTTGGTCTCCGGTGCCAGAAGTAGAATATCCGCCTCACATGAAATTCGGAGCATCTGAAGGCACCTGACAGTTCCCAAAGCAGGAAAGTTCCAATTGAACCTAGGATTTGAATATTCATACTTCTGGATGAGGCATAGTAGGTGAGGACCTGAATCATCTTTCTATCATCCCGATACCACAACGGGTAATGAAACCCTAACTCGCAAAGCTTCATACTCCATCTATCACGATTTCCGTAACAAGTTTAGTAGCTCGCAGTCCTGTCTATGTTATCCTCGCGAATTCCCATTCTCCTGGACTTCCAACTCTCCAACTACATCTATTTTCCATCAAGCTCCATCAAAGCTTGGTCTTCATTCATCAATAAAACATCTTTCCCAAACATCAAACAACCATTAGAAAGACATGGCTCCTCTTCCAAGCCTTGTTAACAACAACACGCTCTCGCCTCGGAAATATGAGGTTGACATGGAGAAAGAAATGTTCATCTCCACACTGATTCTGGGGTTCATCGCGGCCTCCTGTGCCATATTTTTGGGAATCACACTGTAAGTGCACAATCCATCGAGTATTCCCAAAAACCCCCAAAAAAGACTAATAGATTTATTAGCTACCTCAAGCTAAAGCCCAAGTATGAGGAAGAATGGAAACCCAAGCTTAAGCCTAAGCTTCGAGACTGCAAGGAGAAGTATGAGGACTGGAAGGAGAAGATAGGGACCTGGCATGGTCCCAAAGGACTAAGTAAGTTGATTTCCCTCAGCAGTGTCCTTCCAATATTATCCTTGATACTAACGTTCCTTCTAGAGGCGCCAGCGCCTGCTCACGTGGCTCGTAGTCGTGCTTCTGAGGCTCCGGATGTCAACCAGATCACCTGTGATCTGACTCCGGACTACCTGAAGATGTCGACGGCCATCATCGTTTAGGGGACTGTGCGGATGGCTCAGTGCTGGTAGAGGTATCAAAGGCCTGCCAGACTGATGCCTGGATTTGATACAGAGTACGGAGGAAAGGGTTGTTTTTGTCTTTTTTCTTGTTTCTTTTGTCTTGCTTTTTCTTTTGTTTTCTCTCGGTTTATTCTTACTTTCCGCTGAGTTGTTTTTTTCTCTTTTTCTGTATGTTATCTGTCGTCATTGGAGTTGAGTCATTTCGGAGTATATTTCCCATGACTCTATGACTCCATGTTGTATATTATATCATTAATAAGAACTCTAAATTTGATGTTCTCTTTGATTCCTTAACTTGACTGGACTTGATGTATATTGTAGATTGTATATCGTAGTCTTATAGATGTTGTGGTAGTATACTTCGAAGTATAGCCCATCACAAGCCCAGTCCACTTACAAACCATCTTCAACCCATCTTCATCTTTGAATGACCATATACTGATGCTTTAAGAATAATCTCTTTTCTACAGAAACTCATTGAAGCAGATGAAATTGGTTTAGTACCATCCACGTGACCGCGCCTCTCACGCGCGTTCCAAGACCAGTCACCCTTAACCTCTGCCAATTATTCAACGGCATTTCTTTTGGTGCTAGCATACTGTGGCGCATCTGTATTCAAAATTAGTTCTTACGTTCAAATTCTTTTATTTCAACCCACTGTCAGGCCCTTCATCCGGGGTCAGAATCACGGTCGATAAAGCCATTTGCCGCCTCGTGCTGTCGCAACCCTTGCGCGTGTGCTGGTCGATCGCCACTCGATCGGGCAGATGCTCCTGGTTCCCACAGCACTCACACGCGTCTTGTTGCGATCTCGACTGTTAGTTGCATCTAAATCATTTGGTATTGGACCTTCTCGACCCCGACTCTCGATGCGGTGACTCGAGACAGGACATGCGTGTTGAGATCGTGCGGCCGCGTAAACTCGCGATTAAAGCTAGGTCGCGTGTATTTGCCGATTGTCGCTATCCCAGCATCTTTTAATCTTTCACATCTCATCCTTGATCATGAATGACGGTCGCGATGCTCTTTCTAATCGCGGGGTGCCCCATGCGGAGGCCAGTGCGAACACCCACTCTATGAACAACGCGACGTCCCCCGTGCCTCACAAACCAATGCCTTCGGCCAAAGCCCAATCCACACAATCGCCGAAACCATTGTCACTACAAATAGATGGCTTGAACGCCGTTACCCTCGCTCGCGGCGAGGGTAACCCGAACCCAGCCTATATCGAATCGTCGGAGCGCGGCAGCGATACATCGGGCGATGGCCGACGACTAGACCTTTCCGCTACCACCGTCACAGACTCCCTTTCAAGTCTTCTTTCATCCTCGACCAATGGTAATAATAGCCAGGCGTCAGAGTTCAATAATTCTCATACATTGAATGGACATACATCAGTACCGTGGGTGGATCGGGAGTTATTGGAATCCCAACTTGCCCCGCACATGCAGCCGGTGAACGGAGGCGCCTCAATAGATCGATGGCAACCTTCATTATCGCCAATCAAAGCCGGCAATGCTTCAATATCGCCGCCGCCATCGCCAAAGCATTCGCGCACAAAGTCGAACTTTGATGCTCGCTTGGCTCCAAGCCAGAAACGGACAGCAGCTGGCGACTTCAAATCCACTTTAGATATCCCCACGCCTCACAATACCGACGCGAATGGAGCTGCACGACGACGTTCGAAGAGCACAGGCTCGTCAGCTTATGGGAGTAGGATTGCACAGGTAACGTGCCCACTTGCTCACTCAAGTGTCTATAGCTCATTCGTATTACCCAGTTGTCCGTCCATATCCGTAACCGTCTATCATACGCAGCTGCCAAAGTAGAGCAGGCCCGACAGTCGCGTGAAGCTACCCCACAAACCGCATTGCGAACACACAACAGCGCGTCGCCATTGAGCCCGTCAGCATTAAGTGACATCGCATCATTACCAGCAGGAAACTCTACGCCTTTTTCACAAGATTCCCAAACATCATCCAACGGAAACTCCAATCATTTCTCGAGTCATAACCGCTCGCGATCAGCATTCTCATCTAATCAATTCCTTCCAATTCCCAAGCTAGCACCACCTGTTGATATCATCTCATCAAATGGTCATAACCAGCGCCGTCGACCGAACCCTAACGCCGTCTCCAACCCTTCAAATCATAGCCCTATCTCCCGCCACCGACGCCATCATTCACATCAAGAGAACGGACTCGCTCAGCCAGTCAATGGTCAAGCAGTCCTAGGGCCAGGGACGCCCTTGCTCTCATCATCTCTCACACATGCACCAACATCCACACCGAACGGCTTCTACAGACACCGCACGCACTCTCAAAACGCACTCATGGAACAAGATGCCATCGAAACCCTGATGTTCATGTCCAGCCCCGAGAATTCCGGGTACCGTTTCAGTCCTCGCCCGCTGCAACCAGCGAGCACGCAAAGCAGCCTGAACGAGTCAATCAATGCTTCCAGCAATGGAGCTCACCACGATGGAAGCCAGGGCTCTCAAAGCTCCGAGTCTCACAATGGTCGTGAACTCAGAAGAAAGCCAGGGCTGGAAGCTCATGCTGGTGATGATATTGATCGTCTTTTGGATCAAATGGACAGTGATAGCGAGGATGAGGATCGATATGCATCGTACCGTCCTGGGATAAATGGAGCACATCCATTCAGAGGGCATCAACGCCCGAGGTAATTGCATTGTTTTGATCTAAGATTTCGGGGTTTTGCATGCGACACATGGTTGGATTATGCACATCGCTTTAGCATTGTGGCGGATTTTAAATTGCTGGCATAACCATGCTCATATCATAGGAAGCGTACGGTTAGTATGACTTCAATTCATTTGCTGTAATGAAAATTCAGACTGGGCATCTATCTGGGCCTGAAATAGTTGATAATACCATGTCGTTGACTCTATATGATTCCGCTCTATATGATCCTGATCCTGCATCCAAAAAATACTAAGATTAAATTACTTTTTTGTCGTGTTCGTAGTTTGCATGCGCCGTACATCATTTAATGAGCGAGCTCCTATCATTCCATTAGTCTCGAAGAATCTACATTGATGGAGGATATCACTTACACTTGCGAGCTTGCTCCTAGCTCGAATCTTGGGTCCGTATAAGGCCAGCACCCAGGGGACCAGAGTCAAAACAGCACCCTGTTTCGATCCCGTCAGTCAATTTTCCTCTTTTGGGGTAATTCTCACAACTTACAAGTCCTCCCAGCAGACTCGATGCCTCTGGATAACCCAGGTTGGTGAACAATGCAGTTGTAACCAGTGGAAAGACACCACCAAGCAAATTCCGGCCTAAAGAGTAAGATATCAGCAAATTATCCCAATATATCTAGACGTGCCACCAAGAAAACAACAACCCAGGGGGGAAAAAAAACTTACAACAAGACTGTGCCGCAATTGCCGAACTCGCATACCGATGATAAGTATCAGCAAGGTAATTAAACGTAGCAAGATAAATAGAAAAGATGCCCATAGTAGAACACCCAACGGCCATGGCAGGCACGATCCAGTGCACGGATGAGAAAGAGCTCCAACCAAACCAGAACAGACCGATGGGCAGAAGTACAGACTCCACGCAGACGAAGTACAGCCTGCCCTCGGGAGAACTGGAGTATTTACCGAAGCGCATAGCGATGCGTTCTTGGTAGATGCTGATGACTGTGATTATGATGACGCCGACGCACATGGATGTGAAGACGGCGCCTGTTTGCTCAATTGTAAAGTTGTGGTTTGTGCGGAAAATTAGTGGTACGGAGCCGAATTGGAGGTAGAGGACTGCCCAGCTGAAGGAGACCCATAGGGAGAAGAAGAAGACGACTGGTTCGGTGAGGAGCATGTCTGGATTTGTGTTAGGTTTTTGCTCTTGTTTTTCTTGAGATGGTTGAGGGTTGATGTGGACTTACGGAATGGCCGATACAGCGAGATTTGGATCATAGTTACGATCGATGCACGCTGCTCGTCGCTCTTGACCTTCCATCTGATTCGACGGATACATTTCTCTTCAGACCCTTCTTCGTTCGGCAGGATTACACCGTGGTGGCCTGCTTCTTCGAGTTGCTCGTAGTACTGGTTCAACTTTGCCGCTTTGCGACTTAACAGGACGCTGCCGCGTGTTTCGTTGAAGAAGAAGTAGATCATAACGACAAATACGGCGGACACGATTGCGTGTGAGTAGAACACCCACCGCCATGTAGTGCGGGTGATGATTGCGCCAGAGATCATTGGTGCCAGACCAGTACCGAACAACGCAGATCCGGAGAAGAGGGCCATGGGCGTGTTACGGTCTTGGGCGTGATAGATATCACTGATCACACCGCCAACCATGGTGGAGAATGTTGCTGTGAGGGGCTCAAGTCAATATCTATTTAGTGCTGTCGACTGTTCGGGGCTATACATACATCCACCCACACCCTGGAAGAATCGAGCAACAAGCAATCCAGCAAAGGACTGCGTGCCTCCACAGCCAATTAAACTGGCTATTGACATATGAAGTCAGCATGAGTCAAGTAGCATAATGTAGCACGGTATACATACCAACGAAGAGAATTCCACTGGCGATGAAGATCGGTCTCCGTCCATTAATCTCGGAAAACGGAGCCAGCACCATGGGCGCCAGAGCGAACCCACAACAGAAAAGTGTGATACTCAGATTGTACACGACAGTACTGACTCCCCATAGTTTAGTCAGTTCCTCTGCTGCAGGACTAACCTCGCCGGCAGCATAACCTGCCAGTGCAGTAACCCCACAGGCGATATAAGTCATCATGGACTTGCGCCATTGCGGCCACAGAAACGGAGATGTGTATTTCTCCAGACTGGGCGCTTCTGGTGGTGGTGACTGAGCAGGGCCTGGTGGTAAAGTAATACATGGGGTCGGTAGAGGTGTTTCCAGGTCTAGATACCGAAATTCGATATCTTGGGACCCGCATAGAGACTCGGCAGTCTCTTCGCGCTTTTCCATGGCTGTGGGTTGCGGCTTAAGTGACTCAGGCGTTGCAGATGCCATGAAGTGAGTCAGGATGATATTTGGAAAGAGATTTCTAGATTTTGACGGACTTAAATGGATTATAGGCTAAATTCTTTTTTTTTCTCTAAGATCTAGGGCGTGGAGTCTCCGAAAGAAAATTGGAGAAAGGATCCAAGGCCGAGTCATCAGCGTAATCTTTCCCCAATTTGATACATCATTCCAATCATATTGGGTATGAATTAATAATGTGGAGCATGTTGATCATTTAGGCACCCTATGCAGTTAATGGTCTTGAGTTATATCAATGTAATATGTATGTTGTCCGGAGTACGGAGTACATTGGCCTTGACCTGAGATCCAGGGCTGTGAGCTCCTTCTCCATGTGGGCATCGGAGTCATCGCACACCGCCTACTTAATTTGTACTAGTTTTACTTGAAGGGTTTTCACTGCATACGTAACTTATCAAAAGGGGACTTGAATATTTACCTTTAACACTAGAAAAGAAGAAGAAGGTAAAAAAGGGGGGGGAAGCAAAAAAAAAAAAAAAGATGTTCACAGCCTGACACATAGCGTTCATAACTGTACGGAGTACGGAGTACAGGGTACTATACTCCAGAGATGCAAACAGAGGCATCGGTCAAAATGTCAATTTCCCCAAATTGGAGAATGCGGGATCCCCACCGATTCGATGAAGCTGATTAAAAATCAGACAGAGAATCGGCATAAGGAGCCAATAGTGCATGGTTATGCAAGGCTGCAAGATCGTGATATTCCAATCAATTACTCCGTAGACCTTGGAGTGGTGCATGCGGACAAAGAATAGTACCCATGTACGGAGTACCTATGTACCGTGTAGGGAATATGCTAGTTGATCTTAGCGGAGTTGCACTACAATCCCCCGACCGCACACTCCACGCCATGTCCCATCCCCAATGTTGACTAGCAAGCCCTATCAGTGTCACCGATGCCCGAGGGCATTTGCTCGTCTAGAACATCTCCAAAGGCATGATCGCTCACGTATGTCTTCTAGACCCTGGATCTCATACCCCATCTCATGCCCCATCTCATACTCCATTTCATAACCTAATACCCCACAGATACCAAAGAGAAACCGTTCGCTTGCAATCAATGTCCCAAGGCCTTTACACGCAAGTATGATACATAATTTCACATTCAAAGTACATTTTTGAGATACTCACAACTCTAGGGATTTGCTGGGTCGTCATGAGCGTCTTTCTCACAACCCCGATGCCAGTCCAGCCAGCAATCGGACACACACGCCCTCTCCCACTAACCCTCCCACCCTGGACGGGTTAGACTCCTTGGCATCTGTAGTCACAAATCACGCCCAATCTAATCCCAGTGCGTTAGAAGGGCCCGATGACCACTTCCAAACATTATCGCCAGCCGTACACCGCCCGATGCTGGGTCAGTTGGCGGGCACAGACGCTCCTTCCGTAGGACCCACCACCCCATCTCCAGCCCCGGATTTCGGATATGCTCTCGGTGGCTTTGGGCCGGGATCATATCATGGCCATGACTTCACCTCATTTTTGGATAGCGTTCCCTTGCCAAATCATCCCTTTTCGCCGGCTTATCAGCCACTTCCGCTATTCCCACCCTTGAACTTCTCCCCGGTTCCAGACTATGATCAATCTTCTGATAGAGGGACTTTGACTGAGACTACGCCTTCGACGCCTTCAAGCTCCATACTTCCCCGACATGGCGCTCAGTTGCCCTCACTCCAGCCGGAGGGGTATCACATCTCCTCCAAGGCGCGTCAGCCCACGGGATTCGTACCGGTCACGGCTCAATGTCGGGAGAAGTTATCGCATATGTTATCTGAATACGCCAATGTGGTCCCAGATCCATCTTTGCCATCTCGACATGCGTTATCCCGATGTGTGACCGGGTATGTAACTGGTTTCCATGAGCACTACCCAATCGTGCATATCCCGACCTTCGATGTAGACTCGATGACATTACCGCTCTTCTTATCGATGGCGGCATTGGGTGCACGGTATTGCCGCGAGCCAGAGACTAGCATGCGTCTCTACCAGATTGCCAAACCCGTGGTTTTGGAACATTGTCGCCGGGTCTTCCAATCGGGCAAGCTGTTCCCGGCTAATATCGCCGACGACATTGATGCCCTAGAAACTCTACAGTCGTTATTGTATCTGACCTCGGTGTCGCTATGGTTCATCAACAACCCCCCATACCACGAGGGGCTGGCGCTTCGCAGTCTAATGGAAATGCTTATGCGAAAAGGTGGACTGAACCGACTACCCGAGGATGACGGGACATGGAGTAGCTGGATACGACGGGAATGCGTAAAGCGCACCAAACTAATTGTCCTCTGTTTCTTCAGTATCCAAACCATTGTCTTTGACGTACCACCGATGATTCTCACAGAAGATTTCACAATCGAATTACCCTGCACCGAAAAAGAATGGCAAGCCGCGCGCGCAGACCTCTGGCAGGCAGAGCGGCTGAAGAGTCCCGGCGAACCAAAATTCCAAGATGCCCTTTCAGCCCTCTTCGGACCAACCAGTGATGTAGAGCGGTTCTCCTCACTCGGCGGCTACGTTCTAATCCACGCAATCCTACAAGACATCTGGCTCATGACGAAAGCGGGCCGACTACCCGTGTCACGACGAAACCGCTTCACCCCATCATCAGTGACATCCACCCCTGAACTCGTAAAGGTCGAACAAGCACTCGAACGCTGGTGCCAGTGCTGGGAACGCAACCAAGAATCCTCCGTCGACCCACTCAGCCCGAACGGCCCGCTATCCTTCACATCAGCAGCCCTACTTCGACTAGCCTACATCCGACTCAACGCAGACTGCGGCTCAGCCCGCCAACTGCAAACATGGGACCCTGTTCAGATCGCAACCAGTCTCCGTGACAATCTCTCGGTCCGACGCGGCGACCGTCTCACACGTGCAGCGCTCCACTGCGCACATGCCCTCAGCACACCCGTCAAGCTCGGGATTGGATTCGTCGCGCACTCGCAGGTGGCGCTGTGGTCGAACCAGCATGCTTTGTGCTCTCTGGAGTGCGCGGTGTTGTTGGCGAAGTGGCTCGAGGCGATTACGGTGTCCGATCCGGATCCGAGGCTGACGGAGCAGGAAACCCGGTTACGGGACTTCGTGCTAGAGATGGTTATGGAGGTGCAGCATGGTGTCTCGAGGGAGTGGCTGCTTGCTACTAATACTCGGCTGAGTGCAGCGGTTACTAGGTTGTGGGCGCGACTGTTTACGGCGGATTATATATGGGAGATGGTTGCTTTGATTGGGAGGTCTTTGAATAGCTATGCGGATTTGCTGGAAGAGTAGAATGGAGTTTGTTGTTGTGCTTGCGGAGTTGTCATAGCGATGGTCTGCTTCCAATACGAGGGCCAATTATGTTGTAGGGCCAATTTAGGGCCCTGAATGGAGTAGCCATCATATTGCTCCTGTCGGTTAGCCTCGGCACTTCTTTGATTCATATTCACCCGTCGGACTTTAATTTACCACAGGGCGTATATGTGCATCGTACGGACTTTGCACATGGCTCCCCGGTGACTCAGTGGATATCAATTTAGCCCTGGACCTCGGATCTTGAAGGCTTTCTTACGCAACTACCCCATTTACCTACTTCGTACGGAGTACATCTCTCCAATACCCCAATCCTAACGCCTAGTGCCTAAGGCCTGTTTTCTCGGGCCCTCCTAACTAAGATCAGACCTTCATCTATTTAATCATGTAGTTCCTCATCTCCTCCTTCTCCTTCTAGTAGCCAAGACATACTCACAACTATCAAATAACCAAATAACCAACAAACCAATCCAAAATGTCCCCTTCACCCCTCACAGCCTCTCCAGAAATCCTAACCCTTCTAAATGGCCTCCACACCAAATCCCTAACCCAAGAAACAACCGTGGACTGGCCCACCCTCCCAGCACAATGCACCGCCGAATTTGACTCCATCATGCTGGACAAGTTCATCGCCCTCGACCAAGATAAATGCGAACTAGTCTACCACATCCTGCGCAGCATCAACGCAAAAACAGTCGTCGAGGCCGGTACTAGCTTCGGCGTTAGCACTATCTACCTAGCGCTTGCTGTTGCAGAGAACGCGAAGCGCGTTAGCGCTACCACTAAGCCGCTGGTCATCGCTACGGAGAAGGAGGAGTCCAAGGCGAAGCTTGCCCGAGCGCATTGGGCGAAAGCCGGCAGCGAAGTTGAGGATGTGATTGATCTTCGTGTTGGGGATCTGCGTGAGACTCTCACCTCTGATTTGGGGACTGTGGACTTTTTGCTGTTGGATAGTAAGTTGTTGTTTATTTTCTTTGTGCTGGTGCAGTAAGATACGGATATATGTCTACTCTGTGCATATGTTGGTTGTTTGATAGCTGGACTGGTTATCTTGTATTCGACGTTGCATGGTCGATTGGATATCTAGTGATACTGGAAGCATCTATACTAACCAAAACTCCCAGTCTGGACGCCTCTCGCCCTCCCCGCGCTGAAACTCGTCCAGCCGCATTTCCGGCCTGGCGCGGTCATCATCGCTGATAATACCGTTATGGTGGGTGATAAGTATCAGGAGCTCTTTGCGTATGTCGATGCTGAGGGTAGTGGGTTCCGACGGGTGACGATGCCGTACAAGGGTGGTTTGGATATGATTGTCTATCAGTAGATGTAGTTAGTCTCTTGAAGTAATCCACAGCAGTACCTGTACCCTGATACTGAAGATATCAGTTCATGCATGAGCTATTTCAACATACTCAGTTCGTACTTTTTGATAGGCCAAACGGGATCCGCCGTACTAGTAGAGAATATCAACCCCTCATTCTATCGAATCTCTTAATTCCAATTAATACAATATATATCCTCCAATTGATCCAATTCCACCAATCCAACACATTCATCATCTATAATATACACACAATGTCCCCCGAAAACAAATTCCACCTCCCCCAAGAAGAAGGCCTCTTCAACGCAGCCCCAAATCTAAACCCACCCCCAACACCAGCAACAAAAGACTACAAACTAAACCACTTAGCCCTCCGCATCCAAGACCCAGCCCGCTCACTGCACTTCTATATCAACCTCCTAGGCATGCGGGTAATCTTCACCATGAACGCCGGCCCCTTCACGATCTACTACCTCGGACATCCACCGGCAGATGCAAAGACCGAAGAGGATGTCACGGCGTGGGCGAAGAGCACGAGTGAAATACCTGTTATGACGAGGACGAGCGGGCTGCTGGAGTTGTATCATGTGCATGGCACGGAGAAGGCTGGTGCAGATGGTAGTGACGGTGCTGTTTCTACGGGGAATGTACCCCCGCATCTTGGATTCGCGCATTTGGGATTCACGGTTCCTGACGTTTCGGCTGCTGTGAAGAGACTGCGGGAGGGTGGGGTTAGTATTCTTAAGGATGTGGGTGTTTGTTCAAGGGAGACGGTGCCGCTTTCGGAATGGGAGGAGGAGAGGGGGATTGGGTGTGGGGAGATTCATGGGAATTATGCGTGGTTTTTTGAGAAGTTTGCTATGGTTTCTGATCCGGTGAGTTTTATATGCCTTTCCAAGGTAGGTAGGGTGTTTTGCTGTTGTGCTGTTGTGCTGATGTGGGTTGATAGGATGGATATACGGTTGAGTTGATTCCTCAGAGTGTGTAACGTCGTGATGATCTACTTTGATATACATTCTACGATTGTAGCACTATTTGTTTTAGACAACAGGTCGGGAATGGAACATCCACCCCACAAGAAAAGCTTAATGCAGCCTATACAACCAACATCTGATGGTACACACAAAAGGTAACAGGATTATGCGCCCCAGCTGTCATCCTCCGCAACGTCGTAGTCCATATCCCGCGCAGGGGCGGTGTTCGCCACCGGCGTGGACGACATGACTGTGTCTTCCGGTTCGTCCTGTCCAAGGCCACCCTTGAATTCCGTCGATGACCCAGCGGTAGGAAGGACAATGGGAGGGTTGGCCACCCAGGTGAGCTGGACCTCGCCCACGGAGGGGATGTTCCACGGGGAGAACATGAGCTTCTCGGCCTGGAAACGCTCTTTGAATGCCACCACAACGGAGTTGGGCTGGTCTGGGTGAGCCTCAATGGATTCGTATTCGCCAACGCCCTAGAACATAACAAATTAGTATATATGTTTCGCTTAGTCGGAAAGATACATGTCTTACCATCAGGTGCTGACGCAATGCTTCGTCCTTGTCTGAGTTGAGATCAACGCCCGATACGGCGACTCGTCGAGGCCGGTTATCCAGACGCAGCACACCTCCTCGTCCCCGAGCCGCAAACCCACCGCGCCCACGGTATCCTCCGCGGAAATTGGGGTCGTAACCACCGCGTCCACGGTATGTGCCTCGGCCGCGGAAGCCACCACGACCCCGGTAACCACCGCGCCCCGAAGGGTCAGCCGCAGGGTCAAGTCCAAGACTCTTTGCCTCGGCCTCCAGAGCAGCCAGCTGAGCTCGCAGCTTTTTCGTCTCATCGCTGATATTCTCATCGGCGGCAGAGTCAGTGATCATGGCGTCTCCAGCACTGGCAGCATCGCTTGTGTCTGTTGTGCCTCCGAGTCGCTGCATGAGACGGGCCCGCTCCTCCTGCTGTTTCTTGACAAGTTCCTCGCGCTGGCGCTCTAGAGCCTGCTTGGCTGCTTCAGTCTCCTGTCGCTTTTTCATTTTCTCTTCATGTACCCTCTGTGCTTCTTGTTGTTGCTTCTCAAACTCTTCTTGGTTGAAGGCTGGGGTCTCAGGCTGTGCGCTGTCATGCTTTTCATCGCGATTCGGCTTGTACCAGTAAACCTTCACGAAACGGTTGTCGAAGATGACCTTGGGACTGGACCACGCGGCCTTGGCTTCCGGGAAAGTCTCGTATTTGACCAAAGCCACCTTTTTGTACGGTTGCAAAGAGACCTCGGTAATGTTACCGAACTCAGAGAAGAACTCGCGCACAGAATCCTCGTTGAACTTGTCGTCGGGAATTTGCTCAACAACAATAGTTGTAACAGACTGGTCCTCATTAGGTCCTGCCGATGAGAAATCGGACCGGCCGCGTCCTCGTCCGCTGAATCCGCCGCGACCACGGCCGCGGCCACGGTCACCGCGCGTGGGAGCACCGCCCCGCTGTGCATGCATACCCGCAGTCTTGGGGTCATATTCTGCGACTGTTAGCAATGAGATATCTAGGATGAATGAATTTCTCTCACCATCATCTTTCGAGACACCTCCTTCGCCGTGCTGGTAAGGGCACGTATTTCCTAGGTAACAGATACCTTGGGTATCATAGAACGGACATCGCTGGTTGCTTTGTGGAATCTGTTCGGCTCCTGGCTGACCGGGAGGACCGGGCATCCCGGGCATAGGCATCCCCGGCATCTGCGGGAATCCCATACCTTGCATAGCCATCATTGCTGCCATGGGATCGTTTGGATCGAATGGCGGGAAACCGGGCATCATGGGGAAGCCACCAGGCTGCTGCGGAGGGAACTGTTGGCCCTGCTGATGTGGAGGGAATTGTTGGCCCTGTTGCTGCGGCGCGAACAATTGACCCTGTTGCTGTGGAGGATATTGTTGACTTTGTTGCATCTGATGTCCACCCATAAAGTCGCCGCGACCACCTCCGCGCCCACCGCGTCGTGCAGTCTTCATAGCGCGATTCTGGAAACCACCATCATCTTGCTCTGGCTCCCCTTGGAACCCCTCATTGAAAGTTCGTTTGCGGTTCGCACTGCCGGGAGTGACGGCAGCCCTTGGGCCGCTAGGGGCATTCAAAGGAGGTTGTGGTGAGGGAATGTGAGCAGCAGGTTGGGGCTGGCGCTGAGGCTGAGGTGCAGGTGCGGGCGGAGGAGGCGCGGGTGGTTTGGGACCGAATGTTGTAAAGAGCTCGTTGACGAATGGTTGCGTATCTAGTAAGTGTCAGTGATATGAAACAATTCGATGCGATTGAGACATCGGACGCACGTTCGCGCAGGAAATCCTCCAGGTTTTCCACCGAGACTTTCTTAATTTCCTCGGTTGGCGCATCGGACCTAACTAGCGCCAAAACGTAGTCTGCGAGTACATCGGAGTCGGCATCAGAACTATAGGAAGAATGAAACTAATTAGTTGCTGCTTTCTTTTTCAAGGCTCGTCAAGACCCGATTCAAGCGCCTGATCAACTCACATGTCCTCCAGCTTTTTGACCACCCATTTCTTTACATCCGCGGCTTCCGCATCAGTGAACTGCATGGCGAAGATAATTCCTGAGAATTTTCAAACAGTGAGGATTGAATTGGGTCGAACAAAAGATCGACGTGAAAGTGGCGATGATTGCAGGGATTCGGTTTCAACAAAGCCGTCACTCGGGATATTTCCTGCGTGTACAAATGAGAATCGTATGTGGGATGAAAGCACAGCTTTGTGACTCAAATAACAAAGCTTTAGAATGAGCTATTTTAAGCTGATAAGCATTCACCCCCAACCTTGAGGGAATGGAAGGATATGGCTGGGAACGCGAAGTTGGAGGCAAAAACGCGAGTACCGGTAGATCACGTGCTTGAGTGACATAGGGCAATTCTCCGCAAGCTACTCCGTACTCCGAACACTTCCAAGGATTGCGATCGTAGTCAGGGCTTTGTTTATTCTTTTACTTTTTGGTCTTTACAACTACGCGCAAGCTCTACGAATGGACAACTGTGCCTAGCAGACCCAAGTTTATTTTCATAGCGAAACTGGTTGCTAGACGGCAGCAAAAACGCAAAAAGCAAAACCCTCGGTCAAAAACTAAATGTAGAAACAGCAGTGAAAGGACAGAAACATTGATGCCCAGAGGCTTCAAGATTCATGTCCGGATTTCTAAAGACGGAACGATCGAAGCAAATACCGACGAATGAGGGAATAAAATTTTGTTGAACCGAAGAAATTGTATTGAATTCATCAATCTCATGAAAGATTCCACGAATGACTGGCAGAAGGGAAATTCTGGGTGACCGTGAACATTTTTACAGCTTGTCGTAGTACTATAGAGCGAGATTAGTAACTGAAACCAAGGAGAGTGAGCAAAAAGACTTACGTTTTCGTAACCGGGAACGACCTCCTTGAGACCCTTGCGCTTGCGCATTTCCTGGACGACCTGACCGGGCTTGGTGGTGGCGTCGAGAGGAGAACCGCCGGGGAGGATGCTCCAGTGATCGAAGATGGACTGGGGGAAAGCCTGGCCACCGGTAGCGGAACGGAGATCGGCAGGGAAACCGAAGGACTCGTTGACGGGCAAGTAAGCCTTGACCATGAACAGAGGGGTACCGGGACGCTGCTCCTCAGTGTAGACGTGACCACGACGGCGGGTGAGGACACCGTAGATACCACCCATAGCCTGCTCGGGAACCTGGATCTCGACGTTGAAGATGGGCTCGAGGAGAGCGGGGTCGGCCAACATGGCAGCGGCGTACAGAGCACGACGAGCAGTGGGGATGATCTGACCACCACCACGGTGAATGGCATCAGCGTGCAGGGTAACATCAAGGATGTTGAAGCGGACGGAACGCATGGGCTCCTCGGCAACGGGACCCTCGCGGGTAGCCCACTGGAAACCGGAGACAACGGAATCCTTGATTTCGTTGAGGTACTGCACGGCCTTGGTCTGGTCGATGAGCAGGTTGGCACCGGTGGTGTCGGGACCGAAGCACCAAATCTTACGGGCATCGGTGACATCCCAACCGAACTCGTCAGCAAGGACACGGGCACGAGCCTTGAAGTCGTCACGGGGGCTGATGCGGCCAGACTCAATGGCGAGGGAGACATCCTCCTCAATGGGCTGAGCGGTCATGTACAGACGGTTGTGCTTGTTGGGGGACTTGGACAGAGCAGTCATGCTGGAGGTACCAGCGACGGTCTCACGGTAAGCAACGACGGGGTCGGAGATACGGAGGGGAACACCAGCGTGGTCCTCCTCGAGATCCTTAAGACAAATCTCGAGGTGAAGCTCACCAGCACCGGCAACAATGTGCTGGCCAGACTCGTTGATCATGGTCAGGACACAGGGGTCGGACTTGGAGAGACGCTTGAGACCCTCGACAAGCTTGGGCAGATCCTGGGCGTTCTTGACCTCAACGGAGCGCTGCACGACGGGGGAGACGGAGAACTTCATGACCTTCATGTTGTGGGCAGTCTCATCGGTGGTGAGGGTACCGGACTTGAGCAGGAACTGATCGACACCGACCAGACCGACAATGTTACCGGCGGGGACATCCTCAATGGGCTCAACGAAGCGACCCATCATGAGAATGGTACGCTGGATGGCCTTGATGAAGAGATCCTCCTTGCGGCCAGGGACGTAGTTGGGACCCTGGATGCGGACCTTGACACCGGACTTGACGGTACCGGAGTAGACACGACCGAAGGCGTAGAAACGACCCTTATCGGAGGTAGGCACCATCTTGGAGACGTACAGCATCAGAGGAGCAGTGGGGTCACAGTCGCGGATACCGATGCAGGCCTTGTCGTCGGTGGGACCCTCGTAGAGAGTCTCGGCACGGTACTTCTGGGCAGTGACGGGGGAAGGCAGGTGGATACAGATCATCTCAAGAAGGGCATCAGCGGCAGGCAGGAACTTGCGCATGATGAGCTTGAGGAGGGCCTTGCCCTCGAGCTCCTTCTCATCGTTGGTGAGGGAGACCTCGAGCTTCTCGAGGAGAGTGAAGATCTCGTCACGCTTGTTGTGGTTGACAGCAGCGAAGATCTTGAAGATGGGGTCCAAGATGAACTGGTTGAAGGCACGCTCAAGAGTCTTGCCCTCGTGCTCAGACTTGTTGGTCCACTTCTTGGTCTTGGGGTTGAAGTAGTTGTCGCCCCAGAGACGCTCGAGCATCTTCTTGCGGTCAACACCGAACTTCTTGGCGTAACGGACAGCGAACTGGCGGACAGTGAAGCACCAGCCGTGGAGACCGGAACCGAAAGCGATAGTGCCGCGGTCGGGGTAGACCTGGACGTCACCGAGAGCCTTGTCGAAGTAGGTGGAGATGATGACGTTGACGGACTCAATAGTACGGGAGAAGGACTGGTACAGATCCTCCTTGGAGACCTGGAGCTCGAGAAGAGCACGATCGACCTTGTTGATGCAGAGAACGGGCTTGATGCGCTCGGTCAGGGCCTGACGCAGGACAGTCTCGGTCTGGACACAGACACCGGAGACACAGTCGACAACGACAAGGGCACCGTCAGTGACACGGAGGGCAGCAGTGACCTCGGACGAGAAATCGACGTGACCGGGGGAATCGATCAAGTTGATGAGGAACTCGTCACCATCGACGGCCTGGGGAATCTCCTTAAGATCCTCGGGGTCGGGGAACTTGGCGTAGAGGGAGATAGCGGTAGACTTGATGGTAATGCAACGATCCTGCTCATCGGGACGGGTGTCCATGAAACGAGCCTCACCGGCCTTGGCGGCGGAGATGATACCGGCACGCTGAACCAGGGAGTCGGAGAGGGTGGACTTTCCGTGATCGACTAAAGCACAGAAGCAAAATCAGAATGGGTCATTTCACTGTATCACATCATTTTCAGTAAGAACTTACCGTGAGCAATGACGGACATGTTTCGGATGTTAGCCCGACGGTCCATCAAGGTCCGGATCTTATGTAGGTCAGTATCGACATTCATGATGATTTGATGGTGGTTTATTCCAAGGGAGAAAGGGTTTCAATCATCACCAGCGGAAGTGGGAGATGGCAAGATGGAAGCATGGAAGGATGGCAATTGAGGAAAGGATATCCCCTCCTTCCACTGGTAATGTTTGATATAACCTTGAAACCCTGGAAAGGCAAATACTAACCTCTTCAATAGTGAAGCTGTTCATATCACGGTTAGCTGTATGCTCTGTCACATCATCTGAAGATCACAACTTACTTAACCATTTTGGCGGTTAATCCTTAGTAAACTAGGATAGAAAAAGAGAAGAAGAAGAGCACACAGATGACTAGGACCGAGAGTTCTCGATCACTGAATCAAAAACTTCTATGTGCAACTGCTCCTGGGGGACAGAGATAGAGGGGAAAAGAAGAGGAAGAAGAGGGGAAGGGAAAGTGGGAGAGAAAAAAAAGAAAAGCGAAAGTGGGGACTTTTTTTCTCCTCCCGGTTTTGTGCGTTTTGAGCTCAGCCCAATTTTTTTTTTTTTCTCTTATAGTAAACCCATTTATATTATATTCGTTCTTTTTTTTAATTGATCAGATTCTTCTCATTTTCTTCTCATTTCGGCCTTTTTTTTCTGATTTCAAATCCTCAATACTTGCATGTCTTGACTCACTACGCTGACTATTTTGCCATCCGTGGGTACTCCGGTGACGTTTGACAACCATATCACAAGCGAGAGGTATTCCAACTCTTTTTATAGCTATATTTTATGATTCCTTCATCTTCCTAGATGCTCAAAATGAGTCAATGTAAAGCGTATGATTCACTCGATGCTTTTAGCTTTCCAAGGTTCCCTAAAAGACTTGACTTCATGCCCAAAACCCCTCTATCAACTTGGTGGGGCAATGCATATTAGTAAGCGATTTCAAATTTGATCGGCCTAGGTACCTCAGGCATACACAGCTCAAGAGCTCAATCTATGGTACAGCTATATAGCTACTAGTATATCTCTATATAAGTCAAAATAATGATCTCTAAATGTTTCAATCGCAAAAGAAAATCCTCGCAGATATGCCTCGAGTAAATTTTCATCGATCTTCATTCACTACTGGCTCGTGCAGCACCGTGCATTAGTGGGGGCAAAAGAACTCCTCATTTGGAGGCACCAAGGCACCAAGGCATCAAATCATCCCACCTACATACTTACTACACCGACATGATAAGAAGTGAAACTGAGCTGTAGCCAAGGAAAAACCAATGAGACCAACAAAGACTTGACTCTATCAAAAATTTGACTTGATCATCAAAATAGTGGATCTCAAAACAATCCATAAGCCGGGACAGTCTGCCAGCCCGAGTACTCCGGTAGTCCCGGCCCCTCCAATATAAATGATAGGAAAATCATGCGACACATCGGACGTTTCATACCTACAAACAAAAGCTCCCCCAGATGACAAGATTAGGCTCTTTTATATAGAAGTACACAATATACGCTTCCTTGCAAAGTTCTTCTCCCTCTTGGAAGCTAAGCGCGACCGACAAAAAAAAAGATCATCACCCAAGCTCACAGGCACTATTGCCACCTTACCAACCGAAGAATCTAGTGAACTACCCCGCCTATCAAATTCCATTGATGACCACGTTGCTATCCGGATGCTTTCAAAGCTGTCTGTTCTTACATGTGACATGGAGCAATATCCCGCCATCACTCCTTAGGGTCATCTTCAAAATGCCTTTTCGGGGTCTGGTTCATAACCTTTCGTTTTTATATGAAAGATACTAAAACTTGAAGCCACTCTAATAACCATTAAACGCTTCACATAGTGTACTTTGTAACCTAGCCTTCTTTAGCTCCTCACTATACTTGCTGTCTTGCAAAGCCTATCCAATCTGCTATATATATCTTTGAATGAGACTAACATAAGATACTAACCAAAAGACCCCAGAAAACTGATATATTTTCCATCACTACCATAGCCATTTTTATTGTGACACAGCGAAGCAGCAATCTATCAAGGGGATTATCTAGAGTAACTGTAGATAGAAAGTCACCAGTAATAAGTTTTGTAGGCTTCAAAAATGATTCGCATTTGATTGTGTAACCTTAGCGATATATATGATCAATGGCGAATATGTAGTAAAACCCCCTGGATTTTGGTTTTTGAAAATCATACATTTCTTATAGTTTCTGTGTCAATTGGGTCTATATGTTTAATGTACTAATTTTCTACTCAACATCGTGGATTTTCCCTACTGTTGTGATTTCAATATGTTAGGAAAGGGATTTTTCCAAGGCAACAAAATTCTGCTCAACGGAAAGGATGTGTCTAGCGCTCTCGCTGACCATGAGTGGTGGATGTGGCATAGATTCTAACTATGAATTTGAATAACAAGGTTGGAGAGCTACGCATATAGTATGTTGGGAAACATTTAGTGAGGATTAGAAACTAGATATATGAACCTACACTGCGGACTTGAAGGAGTCCATTCATTTGAAAAGTTCTACTATCCGCAATCGGAATGTTTATAGAAATAGCAACTCACCGTCACTGGGAAACTAACGCTATGTGATACCACGTAAGATAAATGACATAGAAAGGTGATATTTGATGGGCCTATGGAAAGTGAGTTTAAATCCTCTTCCATTTAACATGCTGAAAGTTTTTCCTTCTCCGCTAAGAATGCAATCCTACTGAAAAGGCTACAATCTTCATTGGGAAAACCCACTGTGCCCATCGCATCCACCAAATCTTCAATGTCCACGGTGTCAACTAGCGTTTCTATTCAGGCTATTTCCATCACTGAGTTGAGCCTGTTCTTAACGGCAAGCCCACAAGAACTTGTAGAGAGTAGTCAGAGATATGAACCCTCAAGGCGAGCAGACTCTCTTCTATGGTAATACTACGGGATTCCAAGTTCTGTAGATAGTTTTCTTTGCTGATTCCTATCACCAGACTAGTGGTTGGATGCTCTAGAATGCTTATAGTGAGCCGCTTAGGGTGAAAAGATATACCCTTTCTTGGTAATCATGTTTTATGCCGTGGAGCTAGTAAGCACCAGTCTCGTCCTTTGGACTTTCGTGAACAATTGCAGCGTATATTCGATAGCGTTTCATGGTGTGGCTTTATTCGCTCAAATTGATGCTATCATTATCATAATCATATTTTGTCTGTCGTGGAGTCCCCATGTATATTATCCACATTCACAGCGATGAGTACGTGGATAGAAAAGCGAGAAACAACAGTTGGCTTCCTCGGACCAAGGGGAAGAACCGGGGAAGGAGCGGATAGGTATGTGACGCGTTAATGCTGTTCTAAGGTTGGATCGACGATATGTAAAAACGTACACAACTTTAAACTACGGAACACTGCCAGCAGGAAACCCGTATTCTAAGATACTAATGACTTTATTCCACATTCTTTTCAGCTATAGGATATTAAAATCAGGTACAATGAATTGTCTCTCTAGCATCAATCTCGAATTACTATACAAAACAGTTGAAATGAGCCACAAATGGTTTCTTCATAGCCAATAGAGCTTTAGCTCGTAAATTACCATACAGAAGGACTTAGGCTATTGGCTACTAGTATTTCAATAACCAGCTCTTCTGGGGATTATGCCCGTTCCAATAGTTATATTCGTAATTGTAACTACCCCGGGGCCCCGGAATATCGGCCCGTCCGGGGCGTACCCGGCGTGGGGAAATTGGCAGCACTTATCATAGACAAATCTATATGAAACCACTTTCTCTACTATTTAAGGCAGCCAAATACCGCCAGCCTGTCTACTAAAGACTCAGCTCAAAAATATATTCTAGCAATTCAGTGGGTTGAACAGCAATTCTACCAACATACATCGCCCAGCAATGAATCTCATTCCTCCACCAACTAACCACAAATATGACCCCCTCCGGTGGCCACGTTGGTTGAAAGTATCGGTCGTGCTGTCGACATCCCTTTTCAACTTTGTGTCCAACATGGCGGGTGCAGGTCCTTCTGTGGCTGTAAAGGACTTCATGCAAGACTTTTCAAAGTCTCAGGCGCACGTCACTCAACTTTTGACGGTTAGTTCCTCTGATCTCCACGTGTGCTGTATCATCCCAGGAAAGGGGTTAATGGATAGTGCTCTCATTAGTTCAACTTCCTTCTCCTTGGTTTGGGCAACATATTCTGGGTTCCACTTGCATTGAAATTAGGCAAGAGAGCATCGCTTTTGATGGCCATGGCCTTGCAAGTGGGCGCTTTGATTTGGTGTGCGCTCGCCAAAAGCTTTGATAGCTTGCTTGCTGCCCGGATTGTACTTGGATTTGCTGCCGCTGCTGGAGAGGTAAGACATTAATCACTGAAGAAGGGGAGCTTACGTGTCCCCTGCACTCGCCATATTCTTGCTGACGACTCCTCTTAAGAGCATTGTCCCAGAAATAGTTGCAGATCTCTTCTTCCTTCATGAACGGGCCACAATGATGTCCATGTAAGAACAACCTGAAGCAGTGTCTCACCTAACGTACTCTCTGACTAGGCCACTTTTGCTTTAGATACGTTATCTTGATATCCGGGGGAACGGCTGTTGGTCCTCTCATCGCCGGCTTTATGGTTCAATCGACTGCTCAAACATGGAGGAGTTACTTTTGGCTCTGTGTTGGGTTGGCCGCTGTTAATCTCGTCCTTCTATTCATTTTCTGCCCAGAAAGCAACTTTCGCCGGCCTGACTTTGAAGATGACGGTCAAATTGGAATGAAACCCGTCGGAGATGAGGAGGCAACTGAGAAATCGAATACTAGTTTTGTCGAAAGCGCTTCTACAAATGTGGAGTACACGGTTCATCTCTTGCCATTCAAAGAGCGCCTTTCTTTGATTCGATATAATGACAGTATTAATTTCTTGAAAGCCCTTGTTGACCCCCTTCGACTCTTACGCCATCCGTCCGTACTGTGGGCTATCTATGCCTATGGATGTTCCCTAAGCCCGCAGATTATCATGATGTACGTTTTAATTCTGAACTTCGCAAGCGAGTGGTACTTACTTTATCTTCTTTTCTAGATTCACCATGTCCACGCTCCTTATGCCTCCACCGTATAACTTTTCATCAGGCGATATAGGTCTCATGGAGATAGCTGCGATAATCGGTTTTGTTGTGGCATGCTTTGGTGGCGGGTATATTTCCGATATTATCACCACACACATTGTGAAAAAAAGCAAAGGAGAGATTAGACCCGAGCAACGCCTTGTCTCGTTGCTTCCTGGGATGTTCATTGCCCCGGCTGGATGCATTCTCCTTGCCTTTGCATGTCAGTACAAGCTCAGTTGGGTTGCAATAGCTTTTGGATTTGGAATGGGTAAGCGGTGCTTTTTCTTTATTTTGCTTCTTTCACTCGATCTTCATGGATCTGTATGACTGACAACAGGCAGTTTCATTTGGAGAAGTCTACACACCAAACATCGCTCTTACCTATGTGGTCCATCGTCATCAGAAACATGCCGCCCAGTGTCTCGTTCTCATCAATATTTTCAAAAATATTCTCGCTTTTCTTTTCCTGTATGAGGCCGTCCCCTGGGTCACCTCCCAGGGTTTTACTCAAGTTTATATGATCATGTTCATGTTAAATATGATTACCTTGGTCCTGGCTGCTCCACTGTACTTCTATGGACACCGGAAGCGGGAGTGAACTCAAGTCAGCTCTTTATAATGATTTCGTTGTATTGATTTACTGTGTCGGCCTTCTTGTCGCATTGATATTCGGGGCTGGACCTCGGAAGAAGCGCCGTTTGAAACCACTGGTCCAAGTGGATAGTAGAAATATGACATTGGATCCATAATTTGATTCACCGTCAATGATAATATAAAACGACACTATCTAAGATCTGTGCACACAATCATCCAATGCTCTGTAGGGAGGGTTTAGTCCATAGTGGGGAAGAGGCGGGGGAAGATCGGGATCTATCCAGCGGCAGGCGGGAGGCCCCAGGGTGAACCTTATCTCGCAAACGAACGCGTACAAAAGTTTACTAACTAGGCCCACTAGGGCCTTTGCATCATGTCTCTCTGCTCATCATTTCCGTCAAAACAGAACTTGACATGAAAAACCCAAAGAAATGCATAATTTTACGAGCTCAAGCGAATACCAGGATGGATAAAATAATGTGCATAATACACACCCCTATATCCCTCTGAATTCACTTCTTAGACTGCCTATCTGGATTCCTTCTATATATACTAGTTGGTATGATCCTAAATTACGAGTGCTAACTCGACTCATATACCAGAGAGTATACAGCCTTGAGCGTTCCCTTATTCAATATGTATCCTAGAGATTGACGACGGAAACAAAGGAGAAAAGATACAGTACTCATATGCGGAGCAGCGGATACTTGCGCGGAAACAAGGTTTACATGTGACACCTAAGAAGACCCCAAGGAAACAGTGGACTTCAGCAAGCGCATAGATAAGCCTCTAACCCTGTAGCGGCTGATCTCGAAAAAAAAATCTAGCAGAAATAATGGACCCCAATCACTCGCTAGTTGTTGTCAACCCAGTTCCCGTGCAGACCGGCTCTGAGTCTCAAAGGAAGCAAGATAGTCGCCCGGGCTTTGGTGAAATCCCGACAATCGAGAAGATGCAGCTCACTGGACAAGGTGCGATAGTTGTTCACCAATGCCATCAAATATCCATCACCTTCCTCCTTAGATCCCGCACGAGGAATGAAAACGGGTTCCTGGACAAGATGTGTGCGTCCCGGGAAGTAAACTTCTGTTTTGCCCGTACTTTCAACATGATGTGCCAGCGAGTTATAAGGAGGATATCCCCCGCCCATAACCGGGCCAATGGCTGCAAAGTCCGTCCCCAAGCTGGGGTCCATGAGATCGAAGAAGCTGTGGCTATATTTTCTTCCAGAAAACCGATCATCAATGCGATAGAATTCCGAATTTCCATGGTGCAGAACCTTCGGCTCGGGAAGCTTTCCTTCTTCCGCGTGAGGGTTCACAGTAAAGCGTGTCAATTGAGAGTGGATTTTGCTAGGCTCAGGCGAGTTGCCTTGAGCATCGGGCCACCAGTAGAAGACATTCTTGTCACTGAGTCCGAGATCGAAGACGATTTTCCCGTCATCTTGTTCGTAGGCATTGGCGGTATGACCCGGGAATGAATTCTTGTATGTGAACCACTGCGACTGGCGTGTGAGGAAATAGTAAAATGGACAAGATTAGTTGTAAAATTCCGCTTACCTTAACGTCTGAAGACTTAGCTCCGTAGCGGGGGATCACTCCGATATAGAAGGGAGTTTCAGGGCTCCATTGCCAGTGTTCTCCACCCTGCTTCAATCGTTCAAGGTCACATAGCTGGGGAATCACAGGGAAAAGAACCTGACACAAAGGCTCTTGATTAGATGCCGACATCGTGCCATAATGGACATAAAAGCGCAGCACTTACCCAGTTCTCCGTCACTGCAAAGTCATGGATCATTCCACAGACAGGACTCACTAGCCAGACTGTCTGGGTGAACTTACCATCAGGGCCAATAGTATAATAGCAAATATCGGGGCTGCCGTCGCCCTTGGCTTCGTAACCGAAACAAATCAATTCTCCGGTCACTGGATCCGTCTTGGGATGGGCAGTGAAAGTCACGCTTGGAAGCTGGCCATCAAAGGTATACAAGCCCTGTGTTTCCAGAGTCTCCGGATCCATCGCATATGGAGGAGAGTCTTCCTTGAGAGCCAAGAGTTGATTGTTGAAGCTGACAACATTCGTATTGGCAGTACTTCTAACGGTGAATTCCACGGCATCGGTGAACTTGTTCCGATATTTTCCTAATTGAAAATATTTGTCAATAGCCCGCTCTCCTAAAGTGGGAGACAAGTGTCTAGTTGGAAAATCCGTACCGATGAGCGCGCGGCGGGCTTCTCTCTCGCGTACAAACTTCTCGGTGCGAACATATTTCTGCTGGAATGTCACAGAACCGTTCTTGATGCGGAATGCGCTGACATTTCCATCTCCATTGAACCACTAATTTATTTGATTGTCAAAATATTAAAAAGAAAGTGGAATAGTAGAATCAGGCAGATACATACGGGATCATTGTCGATGAAAGGAGGCAACTGAGGGTCAGGCATGACACGGTAGAAAGTACCGTCGATGTCATTGGGGATATCTCCATGCACCTCCAAGTTTTGAACCTCGCCCTCGAATCGGCATGGTTTCATGAAGTCTGAGAATTGAGGACGGTCAGGAAAATGCTGGGGAGCAGGGGATGCCATTTTTTATTCAATTTGGACTAGAAAATAATCTCCAAGCGACGTAATCAAACTCTGGTGTTTTCTCAAGGATTGAAGAGGATCAGTCAAAGTTGATATAAATTTCATTTGCACCTCCAGCGATTGGCCCCTGGAATAGAGGAACTGGAGGTTTGAAACAGATCCCCGGTAAATCCGGATCGCCTACCCGAAGTGTCTATCCACTTCGGAACGGCCGGGGAAACACCGGGAATAAATAGGATTCTATGGATGTAATGTGACAGTCTTGGTTTGCATGAATTCCTCCATTCCCCACTGAGACCCAAATCGACCCCAGCCACTTTCTCCATGTCCTCCATGAGGCAGAGTTGGCTCGTCGTGCACAGTCATCGAGTTGATGTGAACAGCTCCCGCCTTGATAGACTCAGACAACTTGAGCGCCCGATAGTGGTTACTGGAGATGATGGAGGCCGACAGACCGTAAGTGGCCTGCTCAGCAATCTCAATGATCTGGGCTTCAGACTCAACCGTCACAATGCCAACAACCGGCCCGAACGATTCTGTCTCGTAGAAAACCATTTCCTTGGTGAGGCCGGTAATGACTGTCGGAAGAAATTCCTGGGGTGAAAGTGGAGTGAATGGAACCGGGCTGGTATAAATCTTAGCTCCCTTGGCTTGGGCATCCGCCACGAGCATCTCCAGCTTGGATTTGGCAGCCGGCGAGATGACTGTAGAGGCGTGATCGATTTTTTGCACCAAGGAGAAAATCTTGGCTTCGAGAGTAGAAGCGACGGCGCTTGAAGTGATTACCATGTCTGTGGACATACAAATCTGGCCATTCTATTTTATGAGGGGCTGGATGTGAGCTTTTCTCGAAATACATGGCTGCAACGATACCTGCGATGCTTTCACTTACATTCAAAAATGCACCCTTGACAATTTCTTGGGCTGCCAAGTCTAAATTGGCATCCTCCAGCACAATAGTGAAATTCTTGCCCCCTAACTCTAGCAAGACTGGCTTGAGTGCCATTGCCGCTTGACTGGCGATGATGCGGCCAACCTGCGTAGAGCCGGTGAAGTTGCACTTTTTAACCGCGCGGTGTGTGATCAAAGTGTCAAAGATCTCCGAGGCATCCTCTGGGCGATGAAGAAGGAAATTCACCACGCCTGGAGGGAATCCAGCTTCCCGAAACAGGGATGCCACAAAATAATGGACTCGAGGGCTAAGTTCAGATCCTATCGTATATGATTAGAACCAATGCAGACGGAACAGGGGATGAGAAACGACAGATGAAAAGGAGCAGAAATTAGAATTGGGCAAATCTTCAAAGAAGAGGCTAGGGCTACCTTTGAGGATAGCAACATTGCCCGCCGCAATGGGCGCGATAACTGCACGGAATCCCAAAATGACCGGAGCATTCCATGGAGCAATACCTAGAATAACTCCAAGAGGCTCTTTGAAAACAAACCCATAAGAATTTCCCTTTGTGAAAGGGATCGAGCCAGTAGCTATCGGAGTGGTGAGGGCTGCACACTCCTCGATGATGCCGATGCTGTCATTGGTGATAATATCGGCCCAAAACGGACCACTGTAAACTTCTCTCTCACAGATCTGCTTGATCTCAGCTGCTCTATTTCTCAAGATCTGTAATTAAAAATCAATATGCCAAAGTCCGACTGCTTTTTGTGGGGGAATTCTTGGGGACCACTCACCTCGGCCAGTTTCAGGAGGAGTTCGCGTCGCTGGACTGGTGTTGTCGAGGACCATGTCGTGAAAGCGCGTGCACTGGACTCTACAGCTTGTATCGCCAGTTCCTTTGTTGCTCCTTGAAAAAATGAAGAAGTAGAGTTTTCAAGAGTAGGAATTGGCATCCATCTCTCTCGGGAAGCAAGGACAACATCCTTGCCATCTATTATAAGGGGCACAGTAGTGGTGGTTTCCATTGTGGTTTGGTTCGGCAGCAACTGATACTATAACTTCTTTCTGATGCGTATGGGAAAGACCTCCTTTTACAGCATATGTAATAATCAACTAATGCAACATGGAAATCATGGTGCAGCGCGAAGAAGACCCCCCATGCCGTACCCCCGGGGAGACACCGGGATGGGGGCGAATGTTCGGGGGAAGCACGGATTGTTTCGGCTACCATGGAGAAACTGAGCGCTCAATAAGTGTGTGGCGAACCCTAACACTTAAACACATGTAGATATGCACTAACTACTGATAGCCATATCAAACACAACCATATGTTGGCCTAACAAGCCTGGAGATCCCGTTTGTAAAGCTCCTCATGCATTTGCTAGGTAGGTAAGACTACTCTCACATCGTTTCTCCAAATTTCCCAGCCTTTCTCGAACATAAATGATATGACAGGCCCCATGAAAGGTGGACTGGCTGTGGCATTTCTGTTGAACAATGTCTTCTATCACGTTGGGTCATTTACAGGAGCAGCATTCGGAGAGCAACAAACCTGTAAAAGCAAGCCGATAAGCTTTCACGATAAGCACTCGCGATAAGCGATAAGATCTCCAGGGAGGTCCCCAATAAGGCTGTAAATTGTTGAATAGTACTTGGAACAATATGTCCAGTGAAGAGTGAAGTTTACTGCATTAGCTCTTACAGATTCTCTGTAAGGAATTAATACTCCAGGTCTGATGTCCCAGTATAAAGGCATTTCTAATGGCGGTCAGATTTCCAAGTCCTAATAGCACAAAGCGGTCAGCTCCTCAAAAAGGGTGTATATATCACGTGCCACAATATCGCCAACGACGTCTGGCAGCCGATGTTTATCGCCTTGTTCTTCAACATATCCACGCTTCTCGAGTCTTATACTATACCAGTAGGAAGCTGTGTGTGAATCAGGCTGTGGGCTCTGGAATATTTGCCTCTGCCTTGGTTCACTATCAAGGCCCGCTTGCCTCTACAAAGCATCCCATATTGCTAGGGCAAATGGAAAGTCTCGGCGTGTCTACGTGATTGTATGGACTTTCAATTTCCTAGGTGGTGGCTCGCCTTTCGATTAAATAAGCGACCAGGTAGGTTCCAAAACAATGAAAACGCGACACGAGTGCTTTCATCCCCTCTAGGCTTCTCCCTTTGTTCAATTCACCCACGGGCTCGATTGATATGCGATCTATGTAATTCCAAAGACAGAATGGCTGACGAGTCTCCCAGTCTCTACGACCTAATTGAGGAGCTCGGATTTCCTCCAAGCGAGCACCAATTCCTGCTTCGTCTTTTCGGCTCATCCGACCCATTTGCTGGGCTTCCTGGTGCAGACCTAGAGGCTAATCACAGCTCTACCAGCATTGCCCGCAGACTTGCATCTACTAGGCTCTGGCAAGATATTCCTCCGTTTACTAGGTGGATTTCCCTAACTAACCTACCGCATCACAGTGAACGCGCCAATCAGTTTCGTCTACGATCCACCAACAATCATCCTTGTAACTTTCGTGAAGGTTCAGAGGGCAGAGACCTGGTTCACTACGAAGAAGAGTGGACTTCCCTCATAGGCACCGATTCAGAATCTCTGTTCTCCGAGTTACTTCAACAGCTTGCAACAGAAGACGAGCCTCACTGCCTTGAGTCCCCTGAGCTTCCTGGACATTCCAAGGCATCTGAGAACATTGCACGCCCCGGATCCGTTGAACCCCCGAGCTCATCAGTCTATGACAGCGAAACAGGTGAGCCACCCAACCCTGTTGATAACCTCAACGAGACCCCTGGAACCCAAGGCAATTGCGAAGCCTCCCAGGACCCGAGAACTCCAAATCAGCCTGGGAGTTTTGAGCAGCTACTTGAATCATTTCCAAGACCTCCCAGTCACAATCACACGGCCAGGGACCAAGTTTTATCCCACCTTGATCCTAACGCCGAACGAGTGCCACCGAAAGACAGTGCCCAGGCTAATACGTCGACGCTCACCAGCAGTCAGATCAAACCTGCGACCAGCCTACCTCGGATTCCTCGTTTCTCTGAAGATTTTGGGGACAGTACCCCGATCGGAAAGCAAGATTCTTTTAGCAGTTGTGCCAAAGCTGATACATCTGCTCTCGACACAAGTGGGCTAAGGAATACATCAACTACTTCTTCTAGAAGCTCCCCGCCTCCTTCTAACGACACTTCAACCATCCTCAACACTCGGAACGTTTCCCCTCAGATCCCTTCCCTGTCTCCCAGCGTTCCTTCCAGAGAGTTACATCTCCCCATTGACCGTCACGAGGGACAACAAGTGGATCTTGAAAGCTCTCACCAGACCCAGGAGCGCGCAAATCGGTACACCTACGCCATTTTCCCTGAATACTCCTCACGAGTTCGTCCGATCAGCTTCGTGATCAGAAAACAGCACTCCTTTCGCAGTATATTCGAAGGGCGCGCTACACCTACAGCTTCCCCTCGATATTACCAGAAGACGCCTCTTCATATCTCTACTCGTCCGTCAACAGTTTCTTTCGCCTCTGCAAAAAGGGGCACATCAAAGCGCAAGAGAGCCTTGAAGCGCTGTGTTAAAAAGCTCAAGCACCTGCTGTGTCGAAGCCGCAAACGCACTCCATCCACCCCCAATCATTAACTTTACGCCAGAGGAGCCGCATATCTTTATACTTCAAACTCGTCTCACCTAGCCCCCATCTCTATCTTTACTCCTTGCTCACTTTTACACCTACTTCATTCTTACGGCTATCTTACTTCACACCTCGCTCATTCAAGCGGATCTTCACTCACAATGGATTCTCGAATATCCCGACTCTTGGACCCATCCTCTGCAATGGCGGCCATCACAAAGCACAAGGCAGAAGCATTCAAGCTAGCTCGTGAACAGGGGGTGGCCGTCCAAGAGATGTGTCGTCGTGCGAAAACCGAGGTTCCACCATACGAGTTTGAAGAGTTGATAGGCAAAGGTGCTTATGGTCGTGTTTACAAGGGTCACCAAAAGCCATCGGGTCGGGTGGTTGCCATCAAAGTCCTAGATATTGACTCGCTAGACTACAAGTCACTTCGAGATTTCAGGGATGAGTCGATAAAGGATTTCATCCATGAAACAAAGGTGATGAAGCAAGTGAAGGATTCCGGTGCCAAAAACATCAACGAAATCATTGAAGCCATTTCCATTCATTCTCAGTTGTGGCTGGTTTGCGAGTACTGTCCCGGTGGCAGTGTCCGTACCTTGATGCGTGCAACGAACGACAAGCTCGATGAGAAATATATCATTCCAATCGCTCGTGAGCTAGCTGTTGGACTTCACGCTATTCACGAAGCTGGAATCATTCATCGCGATGTGAAAGCTGCAAATATTCTTGTTCATGAAGAGGGTCGTCTGGAAATCTGTGACTTCGGTGTTGCTGGTGTTCTCCAATCACAGCGAGACAAACGTTCCACCTGGATCGGAACACCACACTGGATGCCGCCCGAGATGTTTGCAACCCGGGGAGAGGCCCATCAATACGGGAATGAGATTGATGTGTGGGCGTATGGGTGCACACTGTTCGAATTCGCGAACGGCAACCCGCCAAACGCAGGCCTGCGAGAACGAATGCAAATCGGTCGCCAACTAAATCGCAAGACTCCCCAGCTGGACAGCGATAAGTACAGTCAAGGCCTGAAGGATCTTATTGCCTACGCCCTTGACTCCAATCCAGAGACTCGCCCCACAATGGCAGACATCCTTGCCCACCCCTACATTGCCGATACAGATGAGGAATATCCGACCACCTCTGTGGGTGAGTTGGTGAGAAACTACTACCAGTGGTCCCAGCGAGGAGGCCAGCGGATTTCTTTGTTCCACCCAGGTGGCGCGGCGGCAGCTGAACTCCCAGGCATCGAGGAGTCAGAAGATGACTGGAATTTCAGTACAACAGATGGGTTTGAGCGAAGATTCTCTGTCATTGACATGGATGAAATTGCTGCCTCGCTGGCGGAGATGGAACAGTCAATCAGTCCCACCGACACAACGCCTGAGCATGAGATGTATGAAACGTTTTCGGAGGACGATCTCAACTATGAAGATAAGGTCAATTTCGACGAACGCGTGCGCCGAGGTGCAGAGGCAATGGAAGGCCTGTTTGATGAGGAAAAGCCCAGCTACACGTACGAAACAAAAAATGACTTTGTCCCCATCGAACCTGCCCAACCCACTTCAGATCTCCCCCTCCGTGCGGAAACAGACCGCTCTTCCGTCACATCAACCTTTCTCGATATCGACATCGGGTCATTCGAGGCCTCACACTACGCAGCAGGAGCTCCATCTGCCCAGCCTTTTCAATTAGTCGACGCAAACACTATCCGCGCAAACCGATCCAGTTTTCGATTGCACAGGAGCTCCTCTGAGACTAGCTCAAAATCATCTGATAGTGGCGTGAATGATGATGCAAACCTCGAAGATACATTCGTGCCGTCTGGTCCTCGACCTCCTACCATGGACTGGAAATTCCCGTCATTCACACAAGATGAAGAGGAACAACCGGAAGAAGAAGAGAAGGAGGAAGCTCCTGCACAGGAGCCCATAACGGAGGAGTCTTTCCAAGCTGAGAAGCGAGCCACCATGCAATGGACATTCCCAGTCATGGGATCTGTGCCCGAGAGTCAAACCTACGATGACCGACATGATACTCTCCGAGCTCCGCTGCCTGAGGTTAAGCCTCCGCCGCCATCGCAGCCACTGTCAATAGATGAACCAGGTGACTCACGTCCTTCAACTTCGGCGTCCAATACCTCCGACTCAGATTACGATCCCTTCCGCTTCGATCGCCCCACCACCCCAGAGGGGGCAAACTCGCTTCATCATAGTCATTTCTTCGACACCGAACTCCCTGCAATGATGGAATTAGCCGGCTATAGTGAATATGAGGCTTCCGGTGTCCTCGACGGCCCTGGGCCAGACGAAGAATCTCACCCTGTATGGAAGGAGCACTCCAGGACTTCCTCGTACGAAGATAGTATGACAGCTTTGCGCACAGCCGTTCCAATTCCCCAAACCCCCACTGCTTCCTCGGTGACTTCGGGCCCCGTCTCAGAGCCGGGTTCTCCCGTCTTTGAAACTATGCGAAATGTACGACACGACACATCTGAAATCCCCATGTTACAGGCAGAAGACGAGGGACCAATCCCCTTCCCGGCTCTCAATCCCCCAAGTGCGGCGAGTCTGATGGAGGGTATGGATGATGGTGTGGTGACAGCAGAACTTGACCGTTTGCTGAGTGATTTCCTCGAGTCACTTTCGGCAACTGGTGAGGCATTGTCACGGGCTGAGATTAGACATGAGATGAATGGTGTTCATGTTGTTGAGCAGGTCTAGATGATTATGGGCTCGTGGAATATTTTACTGGCAAATATCCTTAGTCGGAAGCCATGTAAGGAGGCCCAGATATGTGGGATCAATGAGTCAACTTATCTACGATTCCAGTAACTAATATTATGTTCGGTTTTCATGCACATTATGTTCACTACGCAGATCTCTATGAAGGATGTAGGCAGTGCCTTATAGCTGGTAGAGACAAAGATGGACTTTCTTTGATGCCTGTGAAAATAGTTGAAGCTAGGCCCGTAGTCTTGAGTGAGTGTCCTTGACGCTGGTCAAGCCTAATAGACATGACTAGACAAGGTAGAATCATAGGCACTGGAGTTGTCTGGCAAGATGTGGAATGGCACCTCAAGTGCCCATGTCTTAATTTGGGGAGGCAGAGAGTCCAGTTTTTGATCTCCTCTTCCTTTTCCTACATCCCATCTCGTGTCTCATCTCTTCCTCCTTCATTCACTTGTTCCCTCTATTTCCAAAATGGCTTCCTATTCGTCCTCAAATATTTCAGAAATGCCACCCGCGGCCTCGTTGCCCTTTGGTGTCTTCTCTCCTCCACGGAATTCTTATGAATGGAAGAGAGCCCTCCTTGATGTGAAATGGCTATGTTTCAACCAGCAATACAAGCAATGTGCCTTGCGTTGCAATCAGCTCATAGACACCGCTTCTAGTCCGGTTTGTGTTTCACACATGTCATCTCAAATTCTGATCGCTAACGGGTTTATACATAGCTCTATCCAATCCGTGCGACCTACCTCCACTATTATGCAGCCACCTCATATGAGTACATGGGACGAGCAGCCCATATATTTTCGGCTGTCAAGGTCCCACTTCTGACTTCTGCTATGGAGCAGTTTCAGATTGCCTATGAGTCTTTGCCAGCTACTCTCCCACCCCCGGTTCTGAATCCCAACCAGACCTACTCACCAGTTACTTTTCTTCATTCGCCCAACACGTCTCCTCGGTCTTCCTTGAGTACCGTTGTGTGGAGTCCCACAATTTCGCCGACCTATGATCTCCCTCCAGGCCCTGGCCCTGATCCAAATGCTCAAGCTCTGTCAGTTCAGAATCTATCAGCTCATAATACTAAGCTAGCTCAAACTCCTCCCTCACCTGTCCTTTCTCCCTCTTCTCCTTCCCACTCGTCTATTACCACTGCTTTTTGCGTCACACCACCTCCTACTGTCCGAGAAGCCTCGTTTCTTAACTATGACGTTCCACCCCCAGCTTTTCATATCCCGCCTCCGACCCGTAAGCCCCCTCCTCCACCACACGGCAGCTCTCCTCGCCCAGCTACGAGAGACCAATTGCTCTCTTTCAATAGTGCCAGAGATGGGCTTCCCAATGGAGGATCTATCGTCCGAAACATTGCCCGGATGATCGATAACTCTATTATCGCGGGAGCCGACGACCCATTTGTGACCCGCGTGCCGCCGAAACATGACAGTCTAAAGCGGCCGCCAGTACGTCTATCTCCGATCAAATTCCCAGCTGAACTTGAGGACCCAGCAAAGCGCAACGAGCTTATCCCACCCCCACTTGCAATTCGGAAGAGCTCCGGCGAAGTGCTCATGTGCAGCAGCTCTGCAATGGTAATCTGTGGAGGTTCAGAGCAAGAAACGTCTAGGAATGAGGTGAATCGACGAGTCCGATCTCGCCCTCCCCGGCTACCCTTGAAGATAATCCCATCCGGACGACTGAATGCTAACACAGAGGAGGCGAGCCCTTCAACCCTAGCACCGCAGCCGAAGCGTCTGAGTCCCGTCCTCTCTTCGCCCAGTACCATAACTCCATCGACGCCAACCCCCGTTATGAGAAAGAAGATCCCCATCCTCGGCTCCCCTTTCACCAGCCGCGCAGGCTCACCAGAGCAGAGAAGCACCAAGTCGCCCTCGTTGCGGTCGAGAAAGTCCTCCCCCGCGCCTGTCAGCGCCGAGCGCGCCGCCCAGATCAATCAATTCAACAGCGCCGTCAAGTGGCTCCGTGAGCATATTCCCGCCGACGTGACCGGACTCCGCAAGCAGATCAAGCATGTTTCGGATCTACAGCAGGCTCGTCGCTCTCGCAACACGACTATGGCCCGCTCTGCTTCCTTCTGGACCTTTTCTCCCGTTAAGCCTAACCCCGATTCCGGTGCTGCCCAGGAACCTCCTGTGATCGAAGGACCTAATATCGATGAGTATGGAAATGTTATTCGGGTTGAGACTAAGGCGCAGCGCATTAAGCGGCTCAGGGAAGAGGATTGGAGGATTGGTATTCGGTCGAAGCATAGTCACTGGAAGGGAACTGAGTACTACGATGAGCTTTGCGAAACTGCTTTGGCTGAGCTTGGTGAGACAGGTTATGGATCTCGCGAATGGCTGTATCGGTGAGATCTTACTGCTTGTTCTCTTCCTGATCTCTTTTGAATTATTTGCACTTTTTTTTTGCTTTTTGCTTTTCTTGTTTTTTCTTTTTCGGAGGTTGGGTGTTGTGCAGCACCAATGCAGTTGCATGACATTCGAGCCATTCGATTCAAAATGGTCGATGGATATTGCATTGCGCAATACCTAGGTGGTTGACAAGATGGTATCATCAGCACCATTATGGTCTGTGTTTGATCATCTTGGCTGCCGAGGTGGTTTGGTGGAGTTGAGTATGCCATCTGGTATACTGGAGGCAAAAAAACATTGTTGCGTCTTCGCTCACTTGGTTTGGTACAAAAGACCACGTTATTGATGATCTTTGTATTTTACTGCTTGGACGAAGGCTGCCTGGAAACATCCCTATGGTTGGATCTGTTTCTTAAAACTTAATCTTAATCTTAACTTCAAATAATCCAAAGTGAATCTTGCTATTCTTGTCCTTCGTCCTAACAGCCAACTTCTCAAAGACCTTTACTCAATACAGAACCAAATCCCTCTCCTAGACCTCCTTTCCCAAAAAGGCCACCCAGTTGATTCCCGAGTTGATCTTGAATCTTGCTCAGATTCTGGTCCTCGGTGAGTTTCTTGCCAGTCAGACTTTCTATAAATGAACTCTGGTTAGTATAAATCTTTTTTCCTTTTCTTTTCCTCTTTCTCTCTTTGAGATAACATACTTTTCAGACCATAAGAAACTTTTGTCTCGCCCATATAGTCTAGCAAGAGCTCTTGGAGCTGTTTCTGGTATGGGTCCAGGTAACCAGCGACCCAAGCGGCAAGTAGAATTACCTGGAAGGTAAAGAAGAAGAGGAAGGATAGCATGATTGAAAGTTCAAGTTCTTGAGGATATTATGATAGTAAATTTCAAATTCAACCGAGAATGAAGCCAGCAGAAATCCATGGTTGCTGTGGTTCATATACCTCTGGCTAAGCCTATGACGTTTAGTGACGACGCCATGCCACACACGCACCCTGGTGGGGTCGGGATGTTCATTGCCAATCAGGGAAGAGCTTTGATATTAATTTTCATGCATCATAGCTTCAAAATTTACACAGGTGTCATTCTTTGCCATGTTTTAATTGCCGGTCTAAAGTGGTTGTATGGAGTACAACATAGTGTCAGGGCGAAGTGGTGTTGTGGCTCTAAATACTCCGTACCCACCACAGCTCTTGGCGCTTTTTATCTGTGATGTTGTCTTCAACTAGAAAAAAAAAAAACAAGGCATAATCTTTGCATTTCAGGTCTAGAAACTTGAAAACAGCTGTGGATTCTTATATAGTGTATGTATGTAGTAAATACACATCTGCATGTACACTAGTAATGTACGTAGTAACATGTCCCCAGTCACGTCACATGCAAGTAGATCTATATGCAATGTACGGAGTAGTTAAGTTTGGGCTTCAATGCTAGAAATTTACATCTTACTTTTAGTGCATGGACATGATTATGATCAAGTTTTACCCCTTTTTTTCAATATTTAATTAATCCTATTATATTGCTCTATGTTGTATATTAATTTAGATGTTGGAGAGTCAGCCCTGGAGGCAGTAACATTCCCGTTGTGGCTGTGCTGGCGCTAAACCCTACAACCCCAAGTGCAAGGCTTATCGCGTCTAGAACTCCTGATCTTCCCCCCTCTTCAGCCCTTTTTTTTCCTATCTTTTTTAAATTCATCTCAGGCGCACTTACAATTGACCTGCGATTTCTGATAATTGTTCGTCTACGTGTGTGTGTGTGTGTGTGTGTGGTATGTCTACTCCATTGGTTCTGTTTGGAATCTTCATGCAGCCACCCCCGCGCATGATCACCCCTCGAATTGGGCGTTTTTATATTTTCGATATCGCTGACCATATTCTTTTACTAGGTTGGACTACATTTTCTACTTTAAAAGCCTCAATCCTTGAATCCTCCTCTTCTTCGTCCTACTCGTTGCTACCTAACTGGTTCCGCGCCCATTCGAGCCCATCTCACACCGCGTCTGCCACCTTGGGCGTCTGCAGCCCTATCCCCACATCATGAGTTGTGAGTCGATATTTCATATTTGCGGGACTTTTTTTTCTATTCAATCTTGCTATGATTCGTCCATTTGTGTTGGCCAAATATTTTCCGGCCTCGCATCAGCCTTGTGCATAATCTGACTCTTCGTTGCGTTGGAATTGCCATGTCGATCTACACGTTTCCTGTCAGCCCCCTGTGGAATATATGGGGGCTAGGAGGACTTGGACTTCTAGCTATAATTTTGTGTCAGGGTCTACTCCGCCATGCCTAAGCCCTCCCCGCTCGGTCGGCTCCTCCAGGGGTCCTTTGCTTCATTTGTTTTGCGCGATTCGTCTGGCAGGCCCCGCAATTTACTAACTCGCATTTCTCTAGTCGCAAACATGCTCAACAAGCTGTCCGGGCAGCCGGAGAGCTACGAAAAGAAGTACGGTTCCTTATCGTAGCTCCCTTACCCCACATTCGCTGACCTATTTTTCGCTGGCTATAGGGCACTCTACAAATTCGGACGGACGCTGGGCGCCGGTACATACGGAATTGTTCGCGAGGCAGATTCTACCGACGGAAAGAAAGTTGCGGTCAAGATAATTCTGAAGAAAAATGTCCGTGGCAACGAGGGCATGGTTCATGATGAGCTTGAGATGCTGCAATCACTCCAACATCCCCACATTGTCTCGTTCGTCGACTGGTTCGAATCTAAAGTGAGCACGTCTCTGTTTTGGTGCGGTCGTTGTAGAGCTCTAACCGTGGATCTAGGACAAATTCTACATCGTTACACAGCTAGCCACCGGTGGCGAGTTGTTCGACCGGATCTGCGAATATGGCAAGTTCACTGAGAAGGATGCGTCGCAGACCATCCGCCAGGTCCTTGATGCCGTGAATTATCTGCACAAGCGCAACATTGTTCACCGAGGTCAGTCTTATTATGTCATACCAGCGCTTTACATGTAACTAACCCTTACGGAGACTTGAAACCCGAAAACCTCCTCTACCTCACCCGTGCTGCCGACTCTCAGTTGGTCTTGGCCGATTTCGGTATTGCGAAGATGCTGCACAGCCCCTCCGAGGTACTGACCAGCATGGCCGGCTCCTTTGGATATGCTGCTCCCGAGGTCATGCTCAAGCAGGGCCACGGCAAGGCTGTCGATATGTGGTCGCTCGGTGTCATCACCTATACCCTCCTGTGTGGCTACTCCCCCTTCCGATCCGAGAACTTGACCGACCTCATCGAAGAATGCCGAACAGGCCGCATCATCTTCCACGAGCGGTACTGGCGCGATGTGTCCCAGGACGCCAAAGATTTCATTCTCACTCTCCTGAATACGGACCCCACCAAGCGAGTTTCCTCCGAGGAAGCCCTGAAGCACGTATGGCTGACTGGAGAGACTGCGAGCGACCGTGACTTGCTGCCTGAAATCCGCACCTACATTGCACGTGCCCGTCTCCGCCGCGGAATCGAGATCGTCAAGCTCGCCAACCGTATCGAGTCGCTCAAGATGCACGAGGAAGAGGACGGGGATGCGGAAGATATTCCCAGCGCGGTGGACATGGGCAGTTCAACCGAAGATTCAGGTGCAACGGAACCACCAGTGCCAAGCAGCGATGCCAGTCCGGCCCCTGGCCATGTAAAGAAGAAGAGTCTGGCCAGCGCTGCTCGCGGTGCTATTTTCCGTGAAGTTGTTCTGGCTAAGGTCCGTGAGCAGAAGGAGACTGAGGAGCGGGAGAAGGTTGAACGTGAAGCTCGCGAGAAGGCTGCTTCTGCGTAAATTGTTTGCCGTCTTTCTTTGTGTCTCTACATCTTATGTTTTGTTCATATCCTGTTCCTATGTCTATCCTGCCCTGTACTTCTCTTTTATCTACCTGGCGGTTCTTGGATATAATTCTGTGATTCCCATTTATCCTAGTCAATCAGAGTGAACATACAATTCTCAAGTTTTATACACAATCAGCCGCAAAAATTTCTCAAGCGAACTAAAAGTATCTCTGGGGCCATAGTTATGACCCAATATATAGTCAGGTGTCGATATCACGTGTATTAATAGATAACCTCCCCACTTAGCTTCAGACCCTCATTTATGATCTTTTTAACAATATCTCTTCTTTCTTGACCATATTATATCTTTTACTGCTTTAGTTCAGTCTCATCTCACTTATTGAGAAGTTCCTGCATTTCCGTCAACGTCATACATCCGCTCTACTCCACTTGAGACACCGCCCCTCCTTCTCCACCGGAGCTCAAACATCTAAATCTTTTTCTCTCAGCACTCATCGCAACAATGTTCGCCACAAAGCGTCTGAGCAAGGTGAATATACTCTGAATCTGAACAAAACTGGAATAACAATCTTGCTGACTCTATATTTGTGAATCATAGGAGCTCATTAAGGTACCAACCCCTCCGTTTTCTTCTTAACCTTATCGCCTTTGTCCCGCCGATGGCATACTTTGCCCAAGAGCATACCATGGCGCACATGCATATTATCAGTCAATGAACATGTTTCTCTGACCTTGTGACTTTCCAGATGCAAGAGCATCTCCCACCGGGAATTACTATCGTCAAATGCGACAATCTAGAGGAATGGCAGATGGACATCAAGATCCTTGACCAGAATCCACTTTATCTGGACCAGACTTATCGCCTGAAGTTCACCTTCAGTAACAAGTACCCTATCGGTAAGCCCCATCTTCTCAGCCAGCAGCCTCTTGTCTCTATTGTCTGCCTCGGTAGCTTCATTTCATTCATCTTGTCTTTATCTCGTCCTTTCAATTATCAGATCATTCTGGATTCTGACACACAATCATTTTAGAACCCCCCGAGGTCCAATTCATCCAATGTCCTGCCTCCACTGGCACATCCCGTACAATCCCAATGCATCCCCACATCTACAGCAATGGCATTATCTGCCTTGATCTCCTGGGTTCCGCCGGTTGGTCCCCAGTACAGACAGTCGAGAGCGTCTGCATGAGCCTCCAGAGCATGCTTACCGCCAACAATCGTAATGAGCGACCCGCCGGTGACAAGGAGTTCATTGCCACCAATCGCCGCCGCATCCGTGACATTAACTTTGTCTATGAGGATGACAATGTATAAATTTCCAGCTCCTTGCGGGTTGGACCTGGACCGTGGTGTGTCTGATACGGGGTGGCTTGCGTTGGTGGAGTGGGGACACATACATCGGCGTTTTCTGCATGGATGCAATTCCGCCCCTTGATATTTAAGCGGCGGGCTTTACATAGTGACTGGTGAGATTGTATTTTTCTTATTCTTCGCGTTTGCATTCATCCTGGCGCTAGCCCATTGTTCTCAATCGTGGAATGGGTGGTTTTTTTGCGGGCGTTCAAGGGTTTTCATTATTTAGCAATCCGATCAATAAGAGAACCATTTCTCTTTCAACAATATTTGGTAAGTAGAGTAGACAACAGAGAATAAATCAAGTAATAGAATCCACAGTATGAGCGATTGTCTATATTATCCGGGGAAAATGATAGCGGATGTTCAATGTGATTGGCCAGATCGCTTATATTCCCAAAGCAAGAATGGTACAAACTATCCACGCCCCGAGTATAAGAACAAGCCAATTTTCTCAAAAATATCCATAGGTATTATCGTCTTCAAGAAATGAAATGATACCTACTACTCAAATTGACTTTTTCCAGGGATGGCCCGCAACGGCCATGCTTCCAGTGGAACGCCTCAAACAAGCAGCCAACAACGCCCTATCCAACACATCCATATTCACTGAAGGATTTGCCTATGGCCCTGACGAAGGCTACTTCCCCCTAAGAAAAAATATAGCCGAGTGGCTATCCCAATCCTATGCACCTGCACAGCCCATCGGCGCAGAGCGGATATGCATTACCGGCGGTGCCAGCCAGAATCTAGCATGTGTATTGCAGGTATTCACAGACCCAGCCCAGACAGAGATTATATGGCTCGTGGAGCCAACATATCATCTTGTCTTCCGGGTATTTGAGGACGCTGGATTCAGTGGCCGGATGCGAGGGATCCCCGAGGACGGGGAGGGGATGGATGTTGCTGCACTTGAACTTGCTTTGGATGCATTTGAGCGTAGTGGAGATTCGGGCTGTCAAGATGACCGGGTATGTGCTCTTTTCCATGCTCGGCTGGTTGCTTTTGGTATAACACATGCTAACAGAAACAGGAGAAGACATACAAGCCCCACAGGCCGTACAGAAAGATATACAAGCATGTCATCTATTGTGTTCCGAGCTTCTCTAATCCGTCAGGGACGACGATGTCTCACTCGAGGCGTGAGGCACTTGTCAGATTGGCCCGGAAGTACAATGCTCTTGTTGTCGCTGATGATGTGTATGATTTTCTCAGTTGGGGCGTGACACATCCCGCCAACAAGGTTCCACATCTTCAGCATCGCCTCGTGGATATAGATCGGGTAATTGATAGTGGGCCAGAAGATCGATTTGGAAATGTCGTGAGCAATGGATCATTCAGCAAGCTTATTGGTCCGGGATGTCGAGTTGGATGGGCTGAAGGGACTAAAGACTTCATCTATGGTCTTTCCCAAGCGTGAGTCCTCATTCTTAATTCAGAATATTGAAAATAAGCTAAAATTTCACTCACAGTGGTTCTACGCGCTCTGGTGGTGCTCCTTCACAACTAACGTCAACTTTCATCAATGATATGCTGGAGGATAACTTCTTGCCTAAATATATTACCAATATCCTAGTCCCAGAAGGACGACGAAGGCACTGCATTCTGGCATCAGCAATCAAAACACATCTCGGTCGTTTCGGTGTGTCATTTACTCCTGATCCGGAGACCAGTCCAGTTGCGGGGGGATACTACATCTGGATTCAGCTCCCGGCCGCATTGACCGCAACTCAAGTGTGCCACGAGGCCCTAGAGTTACAAAATTTGGTGCTGGGTGGCGGTCAGAAATTTGCAGTCCCAGCGAATGTTCCAGGGGGAGATTTACATCGGCGGCTGAGACTTTGTTTCATGTGGGAGGATGAAGGGCGGCTAGTTGAGGGGGTGAGGAGGTTAGGGCTTGTCATTCAAAGTATACTGACAAACAACAAATAGAAGAAACAGGACTGGTATCACCTCTTAGGTTTTAAATAAGTGTCTTCTTTATAAAAGCGCCTACTTTCTACTTCAACCTTCAAATCTATTGGAAATCCTACCATATACCTACACGGGCGACTACAAACTGCTTCTTAGACAAATCCCATCGAATTTCGTGAACGGCATTTTTCACACAGTTCGAGATACATATATTAAAAAAGGCTTGCTATCGGTTGCATATCGCTTGTAAAAAAAATCCAAAGATCCCCCGTATGGCTCAAAACAAAAACTTAGCACGCTTCTTTCACCCATAAAACCAATATTCTGCGGCATAATCAACCTGAATCGCTGCATCTTGACCAGAGCACGTAGATGGCGGGTCACCTTGGGATGTCACAACTCGGTAAACTTCCTATATAGAACAGTGCGGTCAGATATGTATACTCCAGATCCGGGGGTTATGGATAACCGGAACTTACCCGAATGTCATTTCCCTTCTTGTATCCTAACTTCAGCCACGGAACATCACCAGAGGATCCCGATTTTAACTTTGGCGCTGAAGTAGAGGCTATTTTACTCGTAGCAGCCCAGGAATTGGAGCCACTCAGTCGCATATCGAAAACTGGGTCTCCAGCAGCGTTGAAATAGTGCTCGCCAATAATAAGGTTGGTACTTCTCGTTCCTTGCCCCACAAGGGCTGCCATGAACGCGAGAGATTCAAGAGGAGTGGCGCTGATAAGTGCGGGGACTTCGTGGAGGAGAGATAGAGATGATGATGCAATGCAAGAGGCGTCGAAGAGTGTAGCGGCAGCCCCTGTGGCTTTGGGCATGATGGTGATATTGGAGTTCAAGGAACCATTCGATAGACAGGTGTAGTTCTGTGTTCCTCGGCCCAATGCAACGTATTTGAGAGTAATATTTTTTGGATGGTGCTGGAAGCGGTGAATGTGTCTCGTTCAATGAGAGGGATACATTTGCGAGAGAGCAATTCCCGAGGTTGATATTGTTAAGTTGGTGGTAGATTTGGGAGAACGAGGAAGCGAGAGCCAGAGGATGAGGAAGACCCGAGTGTCCTTCGACATTTGCTGCTACGAGCAGCAATGGCAGCGCTAAAAAGAGCCTCATGGTAGCCGGGTGATTTTGGATCTATCAGATATAGATTGTTTCTAGAATTTGCTCGAGCAAATCTAGTGCTGGAGTCATGGAAAGTAACTGGGGTATAAGGTATAAGAGCAAGGATGAAACCAACAAACAGGGAGATATATCTCATTTAATGAAAAGGTTGGCAGGACTATTCTGGTATGTAACAAAGGACATGCTCGGAGTTTGAGATATGCCGCACAGGTAGCAAGGCTCTCGAGGTAAACCGAATCTAACTAAGCGTAGTGGATTTTGGTTCAATGAACCTTTGGGGGGGCCAATGATAGATTCCATATAAGTTTATACCGCCATTCACATCTGAGTTGTCTACATTCATAGATTGTGTCCGAGTCTGCTTACTGGGCTAACGGTGTGCTAAAATTGGCTTCTTTGTTGTCACCCCCCACCTATCTTGAAAGGTTGCTAGAGATATAGGTAATGAGATTTTAATTCATCTGTGTTGATTAAAATGAAAAGGATGTAACCACAGGGCTTTATAGGTTACACTAGCCCCATTGTTGTTTACTGGCCGGCAGCAAATTGTCTTCAATGTTGGACAACCTTAGAATCCATGGATAGATTGGGGTATGAGTAATATTGTGTAGGCTTTATCAATAACAACAATTCAGTATAATCAGCCTTAGAAGAAGCCATATTGATCAAGTACGTTCTTTCGGATCTTGGAATTCTACAGGCGCTTATTTGATGCACCTACTTTAGCCTAGATTTCTCATTGGCTATCGGAGAGTTTCTTGCTCTCATCCCCAGTCGTATTAAGAACCTTTTTCCTAAATTAGATAATCAATTTCAAGTGCACAGGAACACTAAAGTTCATGCAGGCCTGCAATATCCCTGATACACCGGTTGTGAGACATAAATAGACTATACGCGCCCTTGCAGCGCCACAGATGTAAGTGCTAATCAGGCAGCAATACATAATTTACGAGCCATAAACACAGTGTGAGAGTTGGCCAAACGCAAGGAATTATACAGTAAAGAGCCCAGAATGGCACTTCTATGTTGTAGGTAGAAAAAATATCGAAATATCAATGGTTTCTAACCAACTATTAGCATTGGTGGCTCACAGGGAGTTCTTAAAATACTGTAACATGCTTTGGGGGCTAAAATTTTCTTTGAGCAAGATCAATCGACTCTCACTTTGGTCTCTTTAGGCTGTTGTTTAATTCGTTATACCCCTCCCTTGCGGATGTTCGCCATTTTCCTTTCAGCCGCCAACATTGTTGACTGCCCAAACCTGGCCTGATAGAGCTTTTAAAAAAGTTCATGGAGTTCCGACAATGCGCAGAGTCGAACGGCGATGGTACGTGAACTACATAACTAGTGAACTGTACAAATGAATATGCGTTCGAAACAGCCCGTACTCTAACATCTTAAGCGAGGTCGCGTGAATTAAAAAAAATAGGTAGCTTCTCTTTGATTTGGCATGTCAACCTTAGTGCAGGGGCCATGCTAATCTTCTCTGTATATTTTCAGTTCACCGTATGCCCCGAAGGGCAAAATATCTCTGCGTTTGGTTCAATATAACCTCACTTTGTGGCAGAAACACACCACCTGCCTATTTAGGCGATATAGATGGTTGGGCAGGTGCCCAGGTGGGCATGATCATGCTTATGTCATGAATTCACGTGATGAGACACCGGGCCACCCAAGAAGCTAAGGTCTCTAGTCACGTGCAGCCTAATCACGACCTTTTCATCACGAGGCGGCTAGCAACACAGCATCCTCAATCACCATTATTGTGACCGTTACAGCGGTTTTCAATCCGGATGTAGCTGCGGTGTTCGCTTCTGCGGTAATACAGGCTCACTCACATCCTCGCGACTTTTACATTTTGTCACCATGTCTGACGGTAGGTCTTCACAAGCTCTCCCACCTGACCATATACTGATCCCCACTGTAGCCGATATCGAGGCCGTTCGACGGCTCCAAGCCGAGCGCAATGCTGCTGCTGCTAGTCAAAAGGGCTCTAAGACCTTTGACCAATCTTCTCAGCGCACTGATAATTCGACCAAAGCCTCCCTGACGGAATCCTTCGACACCTTTTTGTACGAACGGGATGGAGCACAGAAGTTTTCAGGCTACGATACTTCGATCGCTGTTGATGGCGATGAAGAAATGGAAGATGCGGATGGAGGACACAAACTGGTTGGCCAATACACTGCTACCAGAAGCCAGATTGATGAGATGGCGCGAGGAGCTGGGGTTGAGGAGGAGGACATTTTGCTAGGCCGTGAAAAGGCGGCGCGAATCGCAGACCGCGAGACAGACTACCAGAAACGCCGATTCAACCGTGGCGCCTTGACCCCGACGCGCGCCGATCCCTTCGCTGCCAACGCGGACGTTGAAGGAGAAAGCCAAACCTATCGTGAGGTCATGGCCCTCCGCGAGATCGCCAGGGAAGAAGAGCGCGTTCAAAAGCTGATCGCAGAGAAGCGCGAGAAGGGTGAGGACGTTACAGAGCACCAGGCTACGCTGAAGATGGTGGAACACGATAAGGAAAACGCCGAGGCAGGCTCGACCGTCGCGGTGTCTTCCGAAAAGAAGCGAAAGAACCGATGGGGCGAGCCTGCTGCTGAACCAGGCAAAAGATCGCGTTTCGATGAGGCACCTGCTCCAGCAGAAGCAGCCAAATCCGGCCGATCGAGATGGGATCTGGCGCCATCTCTCACAGCTGCCACTCCCGTCGGCAACCAAGGACTCGCCACTCCCATGCATCCATCCCAAGCAGGTGCTGCTACTCCGGCAGCTGGTTTCGGGGATGTACCCGGTCAAGTTATTGGCTGGTCCGATGAGGAGCTCGATATCATGCTTCCCGGTGAGGCCGATGGCTATAAGGTCCTTGACCCTCCTCCCGGGTATGAACCAGTCCGAACCCAAGCCCGCAGGCTCATGGCCACGCCAGCACCTATGTCTAGCGCCGGCGGTGTTGGAGGGTTCATGATGCAAGAGCCAGAAAGTGTTCAGTCTGTAGGAAAGGATCTTCCAACTGATATCCCCGGTGTGGGTGAACTTCAGTTCTTCAAGGCGGAGGACATGGCTTACTTCGGTAAGCTGATGGAGGGTGGGGATGAAACCAGCATGACTGTGGAAGAAATGAAGGAGCGAAAGATTATGAGATTACTACTCAAGATCAAGAACGGCACCCCGCCCATGCGCAAAACTGCTCTGCGCCAAATCACAGACAATGCACGCGACTTTGGTCCCGGAGCTCTTTTCAATCAGATTCTCCCCCTGCTCATGGAAAGGACCCTAGAAGACCAGGAACGCCACTTGCTGGTGAAGGTCATCGACAGAATTCTCTACAAACTGGATGATCTGGTCCGTCCCTATGTTCACAAGATTTTGGTTGTCATCGAACCACTGCTCATTGATCAAGACTACTATGCTCGTGTTGAAGGCCGAGAGATTATCTCGAACCTTGCCAAGGCCGCCGGTCTTGCTACTATGATCAGTACTATGCGTCCTGATATTGACCACGCCGATGAATATGTGCGAAACACGACAGCACGCGCTTTCGCCGTTGTGGCCTCTGCCCTCGGTATTCCCGCCCTCCTTCCTTTCCTCCGTGCTGTCTGCCGCAGTAAGAAGTCATGGCAGGCTCGACACACCGGTGTCAAGATTGTCCAGCATATCCCTATCCTCATGGGTTGTGCCATTCTCCCTCATCTCAAAGAGCTGGTTGGATGCGTTTCAGGTAACCTTAGCGATGAACAAGCTAAAGTTCGAACCGTCACCGCTCTATCTCTGGCCTCTTTGGCTGAGGCCGCAAACCCATATGGTATCGAAAGTTTCGATGACATCTTGAGCCCTCTCTGGACCGGTGCCCGCAAGCAGCGTGGCAAGGGTCTCTCTGCGTTCCTCAAGGCTGTCGGCTATATCATTCCTCTTATGGACGAAGAGTATGCCAACTACTACACCACTCAAATCATGGAGATCCTTATTCGAGAATTCGCCTCACCGGATGAGGAAATGAAGAAGGTCGTATTGAAGGTGGTTTCTCAATGTGCAAGCACTCCAGGTGTGACTGCCAGCTATTTGAAGGAGCACGTCTTGACAGAGTTCTTCAAGGGCTTCTGGATGCGACGTATGGCGCTCGATCGACGAAACTACCGCCAGGTAGTCGATACCACAGTGGACCTGGGCCAGAAAGTGGGTGTTGGAGAGATTCTTGAGCGCGTCGTCAACAACCTCAAGGACGAAAGCGAGCCATATCGCAAGATGACTGTGGAAACGGTCGAAAAATTGATTGCATCACTTGGAGCCGCTGACATTTCTGAGAGGCTGGAAGAACGCCTCATTGATGGTGTCCTCTTCGCCTTCCAGGAACAAAGCATCGAAGACCTTGTCATTCTTAATGGATTCGGCACAGTGGTAAACGCACTTGGCACACGATGCAAGGCATATATTCCTCAGATTGTCAGTACTATTCTCTGGCGTCTAAACAACAAATCCCCCACTGTTCGACAACAGGCGGCCGATCTCATCTCCCGCGTTGCGCTGGTGATGAAACAGTGTGACGAGGAAGCACTCATGGGCAAGCTTGGTATCGTGCTCTACGAATACCTGGGTGAAGAATATCCCGAGGTTTTGGGCTCCATCTTGGGTGCTTTGCGTGCCATCGTCACCGTGGTCGGTATCACCCAGATGCAGCCACCCATTCGCGATCTTCTTCCCCGACTTACACCCATTCTGCGCAACCGCCACGAAAAGGTGCAGGAGAACACAATTGATCTCGTCGGTCGTATTGCCGACCGTGGTCCCGAGTCCGTGAACGCCCGTGAGTGGATGCGTATCTGCTTTGAGCTGATGGATATGCTCAAGGCTCACAAGAAGGGAATTCGTCGTGCGGCCAACAACACATTTGGTTTCATTGCCAAGGCTATTGGTCCTCAGGATGTCCTCGCCGCTCTTCTCGGCAACTTGCGAGTACAAGAGCGTCAGTCGCGTGTTTGCACGGCTGTCGCCATCGGTATCGTGGCCGAAACTTGCGCACCGTTCACTGTGCTCCCGGCGTTGATGAACGAGTACCGGGTGCCCGATCTCAATGTGCAAAACGGTGTGCTCAAGGCCTTATCCTTCTTGTTCGAGTACATCGGCGAGATGGGCAAGGACTATGTCTACGCTGTCACGCCGCTGCTAGAGGATGCACTTGTCGACCGTGACCAAGTCCACCGACAAACCGCTGCCAGCGCGGTCAAGCACGTCGCACTCGGTGTTATTGGTCTTGGTTGCGAGGACGCTATGGTCCATCTGCTCAACCTTCTTTTCCCCAACATCTTCGAGACCAGTCCCCACGTCATTGATCGGGTCATTGAAGCCATTGAAGCTATCCGAATGGCAGTCGGCACTGGTATCGTTATGAACTACGTTTGGGCTGGCTTGTTCCACCCTGCTCGGAAGGTCCGCATGCCTTACTGGAGACTGTATAACGATGCATACGTCCAAGGAGCCGATGCGATGATTCCTTACTACCCGGATATGGAGGGCGACGTGGACCGACCAGAACTATCCATCATTATCTAAGGATGATGCATTGGATGGTCTGATTTCTCTTCATGCATTATTAGATACAAGTTCTATGGGGTGTGTTATTTGCTAGCCGGTGTTTTCTTTCTTCTGGTCAATATTTTCTTCATACTCGGGGGGATGTTTGGCGTCTCATGTGTAACTGTAACCCATTTGTGAAAGTTAGAGAAATTTCAATATCAATTCAAAATTCGATTCATGATTATTGCGTTTTGTGATGAGTACCTTGGGCGCATATAAATGTTTTGTGGCTGCTTACTGTCTTGTGATTCCGGAGGTGATAACTATATATATCTATCTACTCCGTATGTACAATCATTTGATGACCTGCAGGAAAAATCTTCCAATGAGTCTGTAATATCCGTGATTTTGATTAATTTCAATATCTAAATCCAAAAAACAACGTGTAGAGTTGATCGTTTCTATAAATCGTACTTCGTACATAGAATAATCGACAAGGCCAAGCATGGTGACAGGGGCAATCAGGCAGGGATCGCTCCTAAGGCCGACAATCATGTCAATCATCGAGATCTTTAAATCAACAGGGTCTATCTGGGGTACAACGTCGACGTCACGTATTCGACAATAGGTATACATATTGACACTACATACTATAAGACATAGTGTAGCAAAACATTTTAGCAAAGAGAATAATCAACCATACGGGTGGGGGAATCCAACAACCCCTTTCCCACATTTTGCCACACAAAAAATAGAAACCAGAAAACTCGTCATCACAGGGTCCCGACGAAGTACAAAATAATCAGAAAGGAGGGGCAGATTGTGTACTTCCTAATGGTTCCCTATTGAGTAATCCCCCCCATAGGTACTCCCTGCCAAGAGCGCCAAATGCCTAAGCTTGCCGTGGAAGGGTCTTGGCGCAGGATGTGGCCGCGTAAGCTCTGGCAGATGTGGTTCTTGTGGGGAATATCCATTTTAGAATTACGTTTATACTTGCTTTTATTCTTTTTCGAGGTTACAATATGTGCATGTATGTTGTAGAATACTCCAATATAAGCATAGCAACTCCAAGAGAGGCTTACATATGTTGTGGCATTATAGCAAGTACAACATATGCATATATACCCTGACCTCTAAACTATAAATCACCGAGTACGTATACTGATTCTCTGTGCATGGACCTTGAATGTACAGTGTACACTGTACAACGTAAATGCTAGATATCAAGAACCTAATCGGGACTGGAGTATGTACAAAGCTTCAAACTACACAGCCTCCCCCTGAATTCAGGGCATCAATCACAGAGCTGAACTACGAACCGCGGAATGGAGGAGATTTCGATTTTGGTCAACGTACTCCGTACTCCAGACTCCATACACAACAAGGTTGGAGTCGAAGGAGAACACACAGACCCTGATAAGGGGGGCATCGGTCGTGTAACGCCCCTTTTTTTACCTTTTCCATGGTTTGTACACGGTTCCTTTGTTCCAAGGTTCAGATTTCTTTTTTCTTTTTGGATTTCCAGGGTCTAGGTACTATCCGCTTTCGGGCGTTGAGGATCTTTATTTCTTATTTCTTATTTAATTTCTTATTTCTTATTTCTTATTTCATTTCTTAATTTTATTATTACTCACGGATTACCTTCTATATTCTATAGCATACTCCGTACTCCGTACACGGGTAATCGCTCACAGCTATCAGTTCCTCTCTTAGCGCAGTGGCGGACACGGCACAGAATCAGGATTCACTTTCGCTGCAAGGACCATGGGTCCAAATTGAGGTTCATAGATCCTTAGATCGTGGTAGCATGCAGGGAATGAACTCCGAGGTGACTCCACCGGCAAAGTGTAAAGTATAAAGTGTACATTGTACAACACAGGAGGCACAGGTATATGATATGTACAATGTCTGTACGGAGTACGGAGTAGTGTGATGTCTACTGTTGTACATCCTATAGCAGAGGTGGAGAAGATCGCGTGACGCGCATCTACCAATCCCAAGGGTCGTGAGTAGTCTGTGTTGGTGCATGTACTAAAGTGCAAGATAGCTGTCAAGCATGCGAGATACCGAAACTCCTCGGTTTTCATGTGAAGGTCTACATATGGAGCCCCCCCAAAAAAGTTATGTGGACATAGCATACAGGGCTGTGAACCAATCAGCGGACACAGCGATTGACTTGCGCAACACAGAAGGGATCATGGATCTCGGTTTGGAGAAGACTTGCGCGTTGGATGATTGGAACTAGCTTAACAATGCTGGTAACTCTGCTATCGATGCTTTTCTTTTGGTTCTCATTCTAGGACAACAGAACCAACCAAAAAGCAAACCATGAGTACATCGTAGGTAAGACAGAATTCCTGTTCTGTGAGTATTTTTTATATATATATTTTTTAATTTATGAGTCCGTTGCAAGGGATCGGAGACCCTGCAGTACGCCCCATTCATGACGGTTGAGGCACACACAGCGAGGGGTGTACACACGCTTTGTGGATCAGGCGCCTCTGGCGCGTTACCTTTTTCTTTGGGTCTTTCTCCGTCAACAGCGGGCTGTAGTACGCACTAAGGCTTAGGCTAAGACTACGGCCCCTCCTTCAAGGCCCTTGGTATATTTCCTGCAGTGTTGACAATGTCTGGTGACATAGGCCAAGAGAGTAATCTCTCCACTTTCTGCAAGTGCGTCTTTTACTTTACAATGTTCGATAGACAAGGGGAAGCTTACTCTTTTTATATGATGCTACACAACACTTCCGATGAAGTTTTTTTTTAAACCCAAGTGGTCTGGTGGAAGGGAGAGAGAGAGAGAGTTTCTCTTACAGCGCACACCGCAGTTTCTACCATATCCACAGTGACATCTTATTTCTCGGGGAACTCCAACTTGAACCGCAGAGATGGGACTGGATCGAACTTTCTTTTTTGATGGTGGCGGGGGGGTCCGATCAAACAGTAGAGTTAATCGCCTGTTAAGGCAAAAAGTATATTCTTCAGGCAAAAGAGGCGCACTTAGTCTAAAACCCCACCTGGGCATAGATGTCAAGTCTAAACCATATCCGAAGTTTTCCGGTCGTTTTCCGATGTCCTCCTTGACACGAGACCCACTACGTAATGAAATCGCAAAATGAGTACTCCGTACTGGTAGACACTAGTGGCCAGGGATTAATCGGTGCGGCTTAGACGATAATGCAAGATTTCAGTGTTTATCTACATACTCGTACTTTGTATATTGGATCTCTCGAACAGGAGGGAAAGGAGAATACATTAAAAAGAATGAAAAATTACTGTATTCGAAATTCCCGATCCACTTACGGGCGTTTCAGGTTGTTAGCGTTGACCCTGAGAGTGGCAGTGTTCCTAGCGGGAAATGTGGAGTCTAACCAGGATCGCACGCAGGGATCTCAACTTTGGGGACCAAGCCAAAACGGGCTTTGCGGGGAGTTGTTGGGGGAGGGTCACGTCATTTGACTTTTAAAGATTGGAGGGGTTCGTGTCTGCGGGAATGGATAGAAATACATGAACTCGAAATAAGAGACTTGAACCTTGAAAAAAATGGAAACACTAAGAAGAAAAAGGGTGTGAGATGTTTCGAATTTCTGAATCCAAGGTTAACCTTCCTACTTTGTTCGACCTATACCAAGGAGCAGATAACCACGTTGACTCGAAAAGCGCGGGATGAGCACGCGTCAGCTTCTGGTGGGTCTACAGATACAATTGGTCGATCAGCGACTGCCAAGATCGGCTATCGACTATCTGCCGTCTCCAGGTGGGACTGGGTTGCAAATAATCATCTGTGATTGGCTGAAAGGCTCTGCAACAAACATGTAAGAATGTGGACCCAATGGAATTAAGCTAACCTAGTCTGAATAGGGCCGAGCTAATCCGTATTAGTCTGAAACTTTGAAAATAAACGGAAAGGGGTCCGGTATCGGGAGGACCCCTTCAGCCAATCATCAACATTATAGTTCTACGTTTTGGGTGATTGTTTTTCAGGTGTGGATGCCTTACTCCGTATGGAGCCTGGGTTTTGTCCCATTTACCCGGATTCTTGTTGGACCTTCCACGGTATTTCACAAACCCGAGAGTCCACAGGCCCACTCTGTGGATGTAACGCTGTGAGCATCGCAAAGAATGGTTCAATTGAGCGTTTCAGCTGTTCTATATATAGAAAGCCAGGTTGTTGGGATTTCTGCAGTGAGGCAGCGTGGCAGTGATGAAAATAATAATCACCAAAGTGCAATACATTTACCTATTCCGAGTTTTTGACATACAATATAAGTGATTGTAATCACTAGAATAAATTATATTATATCCAATGTGAGACAAAAAAAACAGCAACGATGATTTGCACACAATGTCAACCTTGATTTAGGGACAATGCCGATCTGCCGTGTGGGAACTGCCAAGATTGGAGCCCCATGCAGATGACAGGGCCTTGTTGGTCAAGGGTACCTGATTGACACTCGGCATTGAGGCGGATCGTCAACGTGCTAGATAAGGATCTGATTACTGCGTACTTTGGGAGTGATTTTCATTTCAGCCAGGTGATAATCGTTCTTTACATGGACGATCGATTGTAAATTGAGATCAAAGTCTGGGGTTTGATCTAGTTATTTCTCCGATATTCCTGTGTTGAACTGTCACATCAATGTCTGACCGCCCTTTTCTTTTTCTGGGATTTCCCAGCGGGTTCCTCGGGAAAGCAGATAATCCCTACGGAGTCGACAATGATGAAATTGCAAAGTGATAAAAAACATCTCAGGGTCCCAGAGGACGCGTCATTAATATGAGCCGTGTCCGAGAAAAGCGGTCAGGCCCGTCAAGGCCCGTCTACTCCGTAGGGGAGCTTGAAGAGCTCAGTCGCGACATCCATGACCTTGGGATAATGATCCACCCCTCCCGTGTCTAGCAGGGGCCTTCTGGGCCAGTGGACCTGTATAACCTGTAGACTACGAGTGATACACTTCCACAATGTGACTCCGTTCTCAGGCTCTGTCTATCCGGCACGCTCCGGCGCAATATTGCGGCCAAGGTATACCTTCCCTAAAAGTCGCACATATTTTTGGACTACTGAACGCCATGCCAATGTATACAGATACGAATTGGGATGAACCAAGCAACCACATATCCACACCAAAATCACAACACATCTTGGCGGTCACACTTTCCATCTCACATCCCCCCCCTCTCACCCACTTCACCATGCACTCAAAAATCAGTACCCTCAAAACGCCACATTTGCCAACACAATTTGCGTTCGTTGAAAGCGACGGAGTCCTGCCGGTGAGATGCCAAGTGGTCCACCAACACGGCATGGGTGCAAAAAAAGGGGGGTTATGCTCAGACTAGAGCCTAGATGTTGCATTGCTTGTTTTTTCTTTTATTGGATTTGGGGTTGGGTTTGGCTGGTCGAGTTCGCGCCTCTTAATTTTAAGGGCTCCATATGAGCTATTCAAAATGGGGCAACTTGAAGCTGAAGTAACCTGGGTCTGTATCTGGGTTATTTTGCCCCTTTCACTGTGCAGTGTGGACTTGGGATTTGGGTGCCCGACTGACTGCCCAAGTGCTTTTTTCGGTTTTTTTCCTTTCTTTTGGGGGATGTCCACCCCGACCGTCTAGACACGGTCGGGACTCTGGCTAGACTCGAGCGGCCCGCACTGAGACTTTTCTCCTGTTCATATGTAGTTGGGATGTATACAAGACAAACCTAGTATAACATAGATACTGATAGATCCATACGGAGTAGATTCATATAATATAGATCCATTTATTGTCTCAGCTGGTAACCTTGGCTCTGATTACTAGGAAACCAGACAACCTCGTTCTGAGGTTACATAGATGCATGTTTACAATAAACAAAACACTAAAAGTGCTAGGATAAAGTGCTTGGAGTCAGTTGATGGAGAGAAACCTAATCGATACTCCAATCTTAATCCGGTAACCCGGGACCCACGGTTGTCTTCGAGGCACACTTCCGCCATCCATGGATAGCCACTCCTCTCTCCTATACTGCATTCGGCCGAGCGAGCTTCTTAGGTCAATCTTGAAACTCGGGAATTGGTGAAGACTGAACTCCCGATATTCGTCTACGGCCCACAAGTTGTTTAAGTGCTAGTTTCCAAGGTTGGCGGCAGGTCTAAGTTTTTCTGGAAAACCCGTGCACCCAAGGATGCCGTGGTTGCCATGGTTCAGTGGAATGCGGAGAAGCTGAACAGCCTAAAAGCAAGAAACTTCCAAGGTTCGAACTGGATTTATTCGGGCCTTGGTTTTGGGTCTGCGTGGTCCCAAGCTCCCCGCTTAGATCTCCGCAGTGGCGAGAACACTCTTGAATATGTCTTGTCCTCTCGTCCGGGAGAGCAGCGGTTGATCCTGATCCCCGAATGTTTTATGGTTTAGGCTACGGAGTACAGAATGTACCATATATGTATAACGTACTTCGGTCTTACGCTATACCTTTGTTTTCTCCCCGGGCTCAACGCTAATCATTATGATTTAATGGAGACTTTTGTCCGGAGTACTCCGCATGTGATTGGACCTCATGAACTCAAAATTATGTAAGTTTTCTTCAGCCTCTTCCTCGGATTTTACTCGACGATCCCCTCTCGTGCCTTGTGATCAGCACTGCACGGAGTACAGAGAGTACGGAGTACCTGTATCACAGAGAGCGACCCCCGGGGGGTGACATCAATCCCCGAGTCTCGGGGACCATAATGAAATGAATCGATATCGGAAATTTATTTATTGCGAATTTACACACTATTGAATAGCAAATTTGATCGGATAGAACAGGAAATATCTGGTTCCACTGCACGAGGCATAAGAATAATCTCCTAACAATCCACCAAGGAGAGAAGAAACAAAAAAGGGCAATAGATTGGGTGTGATATGTCCCATTCAGGCTTTGTGCTCTAACGCGCTATTGCGGGAGCCGCGCCCGCCAATCTGTCCAAAGCGGCCCTTTTTCCCGTTTTCCCACTCATCCCCCTCCCCCCATGAAAGGTTGCGCTGTTCCGCCCCTCTGACGTTGATGTCCAGCTGTCTCAATCCCTGACAGGGGAGGGAAACAAAAACATGGCTTGCAGCCCGTGGTCCTTATCATCCATCATAGACCTACGACATAATACGAGGTTGTCATGGATTCCGTTTTCGTCCGCCCGAGTGCCTTAGGGGTGGACTTAAGGGTGGTTTCTATGTGATACAACTCGCATGGCCCGGCTAATGGCAGCGTTGGTATTCAAACTTATTCCTTCTTCCTGCAGGAGGCTTTTTTTTGTGTACCGCTGTGCGCGACCTCATTGCACGCTCGTATTTTTGTGTGCGTTTGTGGTTCTGCGACCGAGGGAACACTAAACGGTGTGACGGATAGGAATTTTTGTTTTGAAGGTCGGAGGACATCCCCGTATGGGATACGAGTAAGAGAGTGTGGTTCCCGCTCTCGCTCTAAGGTAGTTTTGTCCCGTGTGGGAGTGTGCTTCATTGGACTGCACTGCACATCCTTCATATGTTTATGGAGCATAACATACTAAGACGACTCTGTATATTCGGCCTAATTTCTGAAACAGGAGCCCTTCGACTTTGGATGTCAAACGTCATCGCATTTTTCCCAAATTCCCTGACCGAATGGAATTAGAATGCAGTCAATAATGTTGGCGGCTAGTGATTCGATGCTCCCTTCTCTGTATGTAAGGTCGGGTTGACGCGCTAAACCCTCTCTGTGCCGTGTCAAAGGCCCCCTCCATGGCTTAAGCCATTCCTTTTTATCTTTTAATTTTTTTTTGGAAAGAATAATAGAAATTATGTTTCCTATGTTATATGTGCCCTCCAGGGCTATGATCCTGCAGCTTGCCAATAATGAGAGACTCCAGTATGCCATCCCAGATGTGGGTATGTCTTTAAGCCATGTCCTTTTCAAAGGGTCTACTATGTATTGGATCTACTTGAACTAATGGACATAGTATGATAATAACATTGAATAGACTGGACTCCGTGCTCCATCAAGAACTATCACTATAATCACTCATATTAACCCCCACGGCAACGGGTATACCCTTTGACACTGGGATCTGCCCCGCTACATTGAAACAGCGGACTCAGGGCGAACCTTGGTGAGTTTATTTCTTGGCGGTCCCTTCCTTTTTCTTTTTCTTTTTTTTTTTTCTTTTCTCTCTGTTTTGTCTCTTTTCTCTCTTTTCACATATTATTATAAATCATTATGGTTTTTTTTTATGTTCATTTTAATTCTTAAATTTCCTTTTTTTTTCTTTCCTCCTCCCTCAGACACGGCACGGTTGGACCACTCATCAGTGTTCATCATGGCTAGTCTACAATTGAACATTCCCCTAGTCTACACCCCCTTTGATTCTGAGGTCACCGACTGCTTTTTGGGTCTCATGATATTCTCCTTTTTTGTCCCCTTATTATATTGTATATAGATAATATTTTTTTTTGCGTTATGCTTTCACTCTGGCTACTCTCTAGTCCGTACCTTCTATGGCTCATTATAATTGCTGTTCCGATGCCGGAGTCGAGCAACTTTTGACATTCCCATTTAAATACTGAATTACAGATTCCTTAGATCTTCCATTCCTCAGCCTAGTTGATGCTTAAGCAATTAATATATTTTAGACCCTGATTGACAAAGGGTAATACATGACTAGTATGCTTAGGGTAAATATAAAGAGTAATTTCATATCCGAGGAACTGGTTCCCGTTGAGGACCACTTTTGCCTAAGCAATGTCTTTAATTCACCAATCCTGAGAGGGGGAAAAAAAAAAAGGAATTATTAATAATAAAAATTCTTAAAATGAGAAAAACCAAAAAAATGATAAAAATGATAAAAATCAAATAAAATCAAAGTCAAAAAATGATAAAATAAATCAGAATTAAAATAATAAAATAAGAAAATAAGAAAATAAAACAATAAAAATAAAATAAATACCGGTATTATATTTTTCAACGATCTGCAACCCCCGACGGGACGTCGTCAGTGGCACTTTGGAGTATATGGGATCATGCCTCACACCTTATATTCCTTCATAAGCTTCGCCGATCCCCTTCCCCAGACTGTCTCTGCTTTCACTTTTCTCCCTTTAAAAATATAAAATAATTGTTGATCATCGGGTTTATTACTTTCTCTTCATATTCCTCCGGATCAACACAGACGATCACTCTATTCCAAAGGAAAACCCTTTGGACTCAATCTCCCAACCCTCTCTACAGTTTCTACTCGCGATCGATTCGCGACGCTATTCCCCATGACGATGGTTATGGAAAACCAGAACCGCCCCTATGGCGGCATGAGCTTCGACAATGTCTATCACCACACCCCACCACAATTCACAGATCCGTGGGCGGCGCACACTTCGTCGCACTCGACACCCCCAGTCTACGCGACTTCCATGGGCAATGGTGCCAGTATGGGACTTAGCCAGGTCAAGCAAGAGGAAGTGAACCGCTCCGCCATGTCTATGCCTTACCCCAACATCCCTGTGTCCGCCCCGTCAATGGTGGCTGGGAGCACTTACGCGGCCGCCAGCTATGGCCCAGAGGTAATGGGAATGCAACACGAGGTGCCGCGCACAACTTTCGACCAGGCTCCTTCCTACACCACCGCTCCTCCAATGAGCAGTTTCGCGCCTTCCAGCTATGCATACGCCCCCATTCACCCCTCCCCGCAAGACGCCCGTCGTATCTCGCACTCGTAAGTTGAAATCCGAGTCCGAATCATTTACATCGGAATCGCAAAAACTTACAAAAATTCACAGAGACGCCGCTCGCGTTGGCGCTTCAGCTTCGGCCCCCACTTTCGGTGATGCGCTCGACGCCAGCCGCGGAATGGTCGCTCTCAGCCAGGACCTGACCCCGCGCAACATCTATGGCCCTGGCCCTCGCGGCACGCGAGGCTCAGCCGATTCCTACGGTTTCCCCTCCGCCCAATCGTCCGCCTCATCCATCTCCTCCGGCGGCAACTACCCCTACTACAGCGCCTCGGTCGGCTCGGTCGACTCCTCCGTGACAGACTACAGCTCCACAACCTCCGAGTCATACGAATCGCGCACTCTCCCCCGGCCGACCAGCCTTCTGGCCGGCAGCGCTCCCCCTGGCCCGCAATCGATGATGAGCCAATTCAGCTCCAAGATGCCCTCGAACACCCAGAAGAAGCACAAGTGCAAGGTCTGCGACAAGCGGTTCACGCGCCCATCTTCGCTGCAGACGCATATGTACAGCCACACTGGTGAAAAGCGTAAGTTTGCTCTCTTTTGAAGACCAATCATTTGAAATTCATGCTCTAACATTTTCCAGCATTCGCGTGTGATGTCGAAGGCTGCGGGCGGCACTTCTCTGTTGTCTCAAACCTGCGCCGACACAAGAAGGTCCACAAGGGCGAGAAGGACACCGGCTCTGGCGATGACGACGAGTAATCTGCGAATATCCTTTCATATGACTACATTCTTCTACTCGACACGGAAATCCTGTCGACTGCTCTCTCTCTCCCCTACCCCCTTCGCGCACAAAGCGCCAGACCTTCCACCCCGCCACAAACTCGTTCTCCATATGCCATTAGCCAATCCATGAACCAACTGTGTTGGCATGTTTTATACAAACGGCTCGGGCATTCTCGTCTCCTTGTACAACAGCATGGATCACCTTTTCATCCCATTTTTCTATCAACTCCCGACAAACATTTCCTGATCGGAGAGAGAGACGCTTATACATACCATACTTCTTCCAAAACGGTTTGTGATTTATGGGTATAATGGGTTCTGTTCGAGGGCTACAGGCAAGAGAGAGCCTTTTCTTTTCTTTTTTTTCTTATATCTCCATGTTTCCTTTGTTTCACCCACGTTACGACCATAGAGGTTTCCGGCTGGATGCGTTGTTTTCATTTCGTTTCTTATTCTTTCGCTAGACCTGGGCGTCACCTTTCTGCTTTTTTCTCGATACCATGGGGGCTTGTGATGATTCGATGTTTCTTTATTTTCTCTACAGGCCATACCCTGACTCTTTGTTTCGCTTCTTAATCTTCCATGGCTTGCATTCTGCACGGCTCAAACCCATTTATCATTTATCATTTACATTTTTCTTTTTTCCCCAGTCGCCTTTTTCCACCAAGTCTGCGTTTCAAGTGCATGGGTTCACGTGCAAGTTTGGGTTGGTGTTGGTGATGATACCCATAGGAAGAAGCATTGTTCCTATCCTTTTGATACTGGCTGGGCCTGGCCTTGTTCGAGTTTCACATTACAGTCGCTACTAAATATATTGTCTAATCAATACAAGACATTCTGAACATCCTATGATTCTCTGTAGTTATGTAGTTGCATCTCTTGGTATGCAATCCTTTGACCTTCTCTATAGACATCTAGTCTCTTGGTACAATGAGTATCATAAGCGTTCTAGTCTTCCACTCTTTCCAACTCGCTCTGCTGCTGCTCGACCAGCGCGACGCCCAAAGATAGTCCCAGCAGTCAATCCACTTCCACCAGGGTAGTTATCATAGAAGATACCTCCAAGCATCTCACCCACACAATACAAACCAGGAACCTCATCATTCGTGGTCTCCGAAATGACTGCCGCAGTTTCCGGATTCACAGCCAATCCACCAAAAGTGAACGTGATGCCCGCCGTAACCTTGACAGCCAGGAAAGGCGGCTTGTCAATAGGCAAAGCCCAATTCGACTTTGGAACAGCCAGCCCTTTAGTAGCAAGCCCATCCTTGACAGCAGGATCCCACCTCTTCTGCCCATCCCCACCCTCAACAGAAGCATTGTACTCCTTAACACTCTCCACAAAACGCCTAGGATCAACAAGTCCAACTTCTGCACACTTCCCCGCAAGTTCCTCCAACGAATCTCCTTCAATGCGTCGAACAACCTCACCACGATACTCCTCCTCACGCAGCCACGCCACAGTCCGCGCATCCCAAACCTGGAACGCAATCTGTCCAGGTTGCTCAAGCACCCGCCGCCCAACCATCGCATACGTATAATTCCGCATATCAAACCCTTCATCAACAAACCGCTCCCCATCCCGATTAGCCATGATCCCCAACGGATACCCACTCTTCGTGAACTCGTTGGAAACCCCCCTATTCCCCGAATCCGCCGGCGCATCCGCATCCCACGCCACACTATGACATCCACTCCAGTTCCCGGCCGCTTTAGCCGACACATCCCGCTGCGCAATCCGCAACATCTCACCCGTATTATACGGCGTGCCACGCACGCGCGCACTATCCCACCCAGGACCAAGCCACTGCGCACGCAGCTGGGGGTTTGCCTCGAAACCACCTGCAGCGAGAATGACCGCGCCGACAGCGATGGTGAGTTTATTGTGTGCGCCAGTACTGTTGTCACTATTGACAACTTCAACACCGATAACAGCACCGCTAGTCGGATCAGTCGCTAGCGCTGTAGCAGCCGTGTCGAAGAACACATCCACGCCGGCGTTCTTCACCGCGCGCAGCTCATCCTCTACAAGACCCTTACCGCCATCTTGGGTTTTCAGCGCGAGTCCGCCCCAGAACTTGATTCTGCCGTTGACTTCGTAGGCCTGGCGGTTGAAGGAGAGCTGGAAGCGGATGCCGTTGGCGGATAGCCAGCCTACGGCGGCGCGCGAGTCGTGGACTAGAGCTGCTGATAGCGCAGGGTCGGTGCGGTTTCCTGTCATGCGCTGCAGGTCGGCGGTGAAGTCTTGCTCGGTGTAACTTGGCATGTCGATGCGGGATGTTTGTGTTGCGTCGATGTTGTTGACTAGTGGGAGGAGGTCGTGTAGGCCGTTGTGGACGGTGCGGAAGGCGCCGGCTGTGAAGTAACTGTTGCCGCCTGCCCATGAGACGGGGCTTTTATCGATCACGGTTATTCGTAGGGTTGGGTTGGTTTGTGCGGCTGAGAGGGCGGCACTGAGGCCGGCGTTGCCGCTGCCTATCACGAGGATATCGGTTTTTTGGGGTAGAGGCATGATGAGATCTTGGTCAGAGATTGTAAGCTGGAGAGGAAATGCCTTGTAAGAATAAGTGGCTTGTTCTTAGGTTGGAAGTGTGGTTTTATACCCCGATACCTTTAGGGCTCTGCGGAGGTTCATTCTCCGGGTGCTCACCCCACACTCCCCGCAGCCGGGGTGTCGATCTCCGTAGAATTTGGATATTGCGATTGAAGGTTTGAGTAGTGGAATGTCAAGAGTGCTCTGGTCTCTTGGGAATACCGGGCATTATTGAAGGATCAATTTAGCTCGTATTGCATACCCAAAGGCGTTGGAGCATCACAAAGTGCATGGGCTGGGCTATTCCCTATGTTGTAGTCAATTGAGTTGGCATGATACACTCGGAATGAATCGCAATGAGATTATGATAATTGATGTTCAACTAATATTCTAGTCGCCGGTTCTAGTATGACCACGACAGACAATGAAGAACCAGCCCCAACGCCAATATGTGATCCATGTCCAACGGACAGAAGGCACACAGAAAATTACTGAGCTCGACAGCACCAGGCATACCGCAGCCCCATTTGCCTTGAAAAAGCAACGCATCTAACGAATCCGGTCCAGCTTGGCCCGGTTCATGGCAATCTGATCGTCGACAAAGTCGCTCTATAGCCAGTTAGTCTCATCTTTATGCCCCATACCATATTGAACAAATTTAAAAAACTCACCTTGCCCATGATACGCTCCAGATGTCTGTTCTGCTCGTCCAGCTCCTTGCCAGTGGCCTTGGCAAGACCGTTCAACCGACCAGTAGCACCACTGAGCAGATCCAAGTTCTGCTCGATTTCGTCCTCCATTGCCTCGTCCTCGCTATCCGCCTCGAATTGGTACTTGGCACGCTCGGTGACACTAGCCTTCTTTCCCTTGCCCTGTTTCGCCGCATCGCGGTCAATATCACGGAACACCTTCTCCATGCGCTGATTAGTCGCGTGTGCCTCGGACCGTGTACCTTCGCGGATATCACGATCATCACGGTGTGTATTAAGGACCTTCTCATCGCGGTCGCGCCGGCGTCGCGAGGCCGTGAATGGGTTGGACACGTGCACAGCGAACATGCTCTTGTTGAGAGTCTTGAGCTCCTTTGCCTTGTCTTCCGCAATGCGGCCTTCGATGGTCGTCATATCCAGACTCTTCTCCGTGTCGTGGACTGACTCGCCCTGCGCACCGAGTCGGGCCAGAGTGGCACGACCGGTTTCTTCGGCCTGTGCGGCAGCTCGGAGGGCATTCCGTGTCGAGGCCACATCGCCCTGCTTCACGAAGCGCATCTCGTTCTTCGTCGCCTGAACTTCCTCTTCCTCCTCTTCTTCAGCTGTCAGCTGTCGATCTTGGAAGGTCGCCATGCTGTATTCGTTGCTGCCGCCACCGTAGTTGTTCTGTCCTTGACCATTTTGGCCCTCGGAGTACGGCGGTGGTGAACCGGCCGAGTTGTTGTCCGGTGATTGCTTCTTGTTCTTGTTGGCGCCGCCGAACAGCTCGTTGCGAGCGGAGTCTGCAGCCGCGGGGTCATTGGGATCGCCGCCGCCCAGACCTCCGTAGCCACCGCTTCCATACCGCGAGCCGGAGGCTGGAGAACCGGCGCCTGCGCCGGATCCGCCAAATCGATCACTGCCGTAGCCGCCTTGGTTTCCGTATTTGTTGGCCGAGTACTTGTTGTCGGAGGGGATGGAGTGGGGGCTCTGCGACGCGGGGCCGCCGTTGGCAGCAGGGTAGTTGGCAGGTAAGGGGGCAACACCTGCGCCAATCTTGGCTTTAGTGTATGGGTCTACCGGAATTGGCTGGGCGTAAGGGTTTGAGGTGTTCGATGGGCTCTTGTCCTTCTTCCGTGAGCCAAAGAGTGCTCGGCGGCTCGAGTCCTCGTCGCCATCGGATTTCTTGAAAAGACCCATGATGTTGGGGGATGTAAGCTTGTAAAGATCTGTTGAATGAGATTAAAATGATCGAGTGTAAATGGAAGTACAAGAAAGTAAGGAGAAAGAAAATGAAATGAGACAAGAGAAAGAATTAATGTGAGACGCCTTCAGGGGAGCTCGATATTCGAGATCGCCGCCTGATGGTAATATACATACGAGAGACATACCAAAGTTACCCACTAAGTCTGTTAGGTATGGCGCATTAATAACCATACTAATACCAAACATACGCAGTTACATCAGCAGTGGCAGTGCTAACCTAATGCGGGCGCAGTGGCACTTCAACGTCTCTGTTTATTTTTGGCCACAACATTGCCTCTGCTGCCTGGATGAAATGGCTCCTTTATCGGGGTCTGATGCGGACTACTTTAGAGACAAGGCGCGGAGAGATCTCTTGACTTTACTAGAAGGCGTGCGTACAGCTCCTTGATATTTTGATCTGCTCTAACTATTATCCAGGCCCGGGGTAAGAAGAACCTCGTCATAAGCCAGGAGCTGGCCGGCCCAGTGGGGCTATTCGTCAAGTTCTCCGTGCTCCAGGAGTATGGTGTGGACCGGGTCTTCTTGCTGGAAAATGCAAACATCGACTCATCACAACGCAATGTTGTATTCCTTGTTCGTGGCGAGAAAGCTCGCCACGTTCGAATTGTGGCAGGTATGACATTGTCTCTTTTTTGCCCCCTCTCGGCTTGTTAGGCTGCGTAGATTGGATCTCTTCATTTGGGTCCATGATGGGCCATCATTAGATTACATAGAGGCTTTTCTACTCTATGTAATCTGGAGAAATATTCCCTATATTGATATTCACCATTACAACATTTTATAAGCTCATTTCATTAGGGCCCTTTCCTGCTATCTCTGATTGAGTGCCATCAGGATGAGCTGACATTTCTACTCTAGAACAAATCAAACGCCTACAGAATAATGGGAACGTTGAACATGAGTTCTCCATCTTCTTCGCTCCAAGACGGACCCTTGTAAGCAATGCGGTCTTGGAGGAGGCAGGAATCATCGGTGACGTGAACATCGCCGAGCTTCCTCTCTATTTTATGCCTCTCGAACAAGATATCTTGTCACTAGAATTGGATGAGTCGTTTGGAGACTTGTACTTGGTAAGTCGATAGGTTGCACGTTTGAAGGAGACATTTTCTGACTTTGCTATTCAGCACAAAGATCCCGGGTGTATCTTCCATGCCGCTAAGGCTCTCATGGGTGTCCAGCAGCGCCATGGTTATTTCCCACGAATTGTCGGAAAAGGCGACAATGCCCGGCGCCTGACAGATCTCCTATTGCGCATGAGGAAAGAACTTGATGCAGAGGAGAGCTCCGGACTTGTTGATCCCTCTGCACGAGGGCTGTTGCCAAGTGCAAGTATAGAGAACTTGATCATCATAGACCGTGACGTGGACTTTGGGACGCCCCTTCTCACACAGCTCACCTATGAAGGCTTAATTGATGAATATGTCGGTATAAAGAACAACCAAGCAGACGTTGATACAAGCATTGTCGGTCCTGCTCCCTCGCAACAGTCCCAAGAGTCATCCAAGCCACCCCAGCAAGCCAAGCAGGGGCTGAAAAGAAAGATCCAACTGGATGCCTCGGATCAGTTGTTCAGTCAACTGCGAGATGCAAACTTTGCAATCGTGGGCGATATCCTGAATAAGGTGGCACGCCGCTTAGAAAACGAGTACGAGAGCCGCCACACGGCTAAAACAACAGGCGAGCTTCGAGAGTTTGTCAACCGATTACCAACCTACCAGCTGGAGCACCAGAGTCTTCGAACCCATACCAACCTCGCAGAGGAAATAATGCGACTCACCCGCTCCGAAACCTTCCGCAAAACTTTAGAAGTCCAGCAAAACAACGCAGCCGGTGCCGACTCCACATACCAGCACGAGACAATCGAAGAGCTTATAGCCCGAGATGTCCCGCTAAAGACCGTCCTACGGCTCCTGTGTCTGGAATCCTGCATGTCTGGGGGTCTCCGCCCTCGCGACCTAGAGAATTTTAAGAGACAGGTTGTCCATGCGTACGGCCACCAGCACCTCCTCACGTTCTGGGCGCTAGAGAAAATGGAACTTCTCCAGCCCAGATCTTCAGCAACCACGATGCTCCTTCCTACATCCGGCGCGCAAGCAGGATCAAAGACGAATTATGGCTACCTGCGCAAGAACCTTCGTCTTGTCATCGAGGAGGTCAGCGAGAAGGATCCGAACGACATTTCTTACGTGTACAGTGGCTTCGCACCCCTTAGTGTTCGCCTGGTTCAATGCGTGTTACAAAAGTCCTATATGGTGTCGTTGATCAAGGGAGGTACGCCGGCCGTCTCGCTGAATACCGCTAATACAACATCGCCTGGCTGGCTTGGCTTTGAGGACGTTGTGAAGAGTGCTCGAGGTGCAACTTTCAGTATTGTCCAGAAGGGCGATGATAAGGCTGTGCGGGCTCGTCAAACACTGAGCGGTAACTCTGCTACAAAGGCTGTGTATGTCTTTTTCTTAGGAGGCATTACGTTCACGGAGATCGCCGCGTTGCGCTTCATTGCTGCACAAGAGGCTCCACGGAGGAAGATTATTATCTGTACCACGAGTATCATTAGTGGTGATCGGATGATGGAGGCGGCTATCGAGAAGGGTAGCTTTGCCAAGGCGGAGTAAATGGTTTAATCTATGCCTCAGTGATCATAATGATAGCTACATATGTATGTCATTATCGGAAGAAAGGGAGCAGCACGCTCTACCGTCTTCTATCTAATATAAAGGCCAAGGCGCGCCGATGGCTGTTTGATTCGTTTGGCGTGGAATTTTTCAATGATGTTCACATAGTTTCGTCATCTGCTTCGATTCTTGATTTCAACCAAAGATTAACTTAATAGCTAAATCCAGAATGGACGCCCATCAACCGGCCCTGGTACCGCTCTATCACCTCCCCAAGCCGTACCATAACACCAGCAGAAAGGGTGCGTATCTGCTCCTGCGGATCAGTAACCGCTGAGCTGGGATCAGCCCGCGCAGCTGAAGGCGGCGTCCGGTCGAAGACCTGGGAAGCCCACTCGCGCAACTCGATCACCTGCGTAGCGTATTCGGTAACAAGACGCTGTTCACCATTTGAGCCAGACGCAATATTGAGATCCACTATAGCGAGGAAGAGAGATAGGAGTGCGGCAGTGACAGTTGGTTCGCTGGAAACTGAAGCTGTGTGTAGCGGTAAGAGGAGGGAGAGGGTTTCATGGGTGAGGGCTGGGAGGAAGGGGGTGTGGGGACCTGTTGTGGAGAGGATAAGGGAAAGGGTTTGGAGGAAGAGGGTCAGGAGATGGGGGATAAAGAATGGGTTGTATGATGACGTGGAGGATCTAGGGCAATGTTAGTGTATATGATTTGAAATGAGATGGGGAGATGAAACATACGATGAGAACTGCAGCATCATTATTTCAAATCTGCCCTGCAGTGGGAAGAAGAAGCCCTCGGCAAGCACCTTGTGCAGATCCTTGATTGTGGAGTTTTGGCGCTGGGTGTCACGCTGCTGGCGCTTCTTCTCGACTTCCATACGCGATGAGAAGGTGCGAACTTTGAGAGCGTTGGGACCAGTCATTGTATCTGCTGCGTTGGCTGCGAGCGGTTCCAAGGATGTGCGAGACATTTCCCGGGTGAGCGTTGCGATGGGAGACTCATTTGATCCTGAGTACATCGCCTCTAGGGCAGGCGAGAGCCGTTTGGATGGGAATGAGGTATCGCCGGTAGTTGGGAGACGCAATGCTTTAGCATCACCTTCTCCATTCCCGGCTAACTCGCGGGCACTCAAACCCAGAGCTGTAAGAACAGCGGATCTCTGGACTTGAGAAAGGTCTCCATCGAAGTAGATGGCAGTAAACCAGCGGCCCATCTTGAAGGGCTCGGACACAATCAATGCAATCATGCTTTGTAGGCGAGATTCATGGAATGATGGATGGTTGTTGTCGTTTTGAAGACCCACGATAGTCAGAGCTAACTCCTCGATCTGCTCGGCAAGTTCAGTTCCGAATCCTATCTTCCGTCGAATTAAGGATGGGGCAGTGGTGATGCCGAGATGATAGCGCTCGACATTCTCGGTGTCTCGGAGAGATGGGATCAAATCACGGATGTATCTTAGAGTTGTTAGCAAGATCAATATCAGTAGGCAATTTGTACTTACACAGGCGCTGTCGGCTTATTCCGTTGGATCAAAGTGGGATCATCCTCGGAATCATATGCATCGTCGTCCGGCTTTTCATATGGAATGAGATCGTCATCTTCATCCTCATCCTCATTTTCGTCACTATCCTCGACTTCTTCAATCGCAACAATCTTGCTTGTATGCTGACGCGAAAATTGTGCTTTCGGTTGTTTTTTAGGCTTGGGGCGGACTATTTCTGGGTTTGCTGGCAATGGCTCTTGCAATGCTTTGATGGATTCCGGCGAACCGACCTCGTCTTGGACCTTTGTCAAATCCAAATACCATAGAGCTTCCTCGCTTCGCATTTCCTCTAGGTCAAATTTCAGCACTTTGCCTGGCTCCTCAATGAGTTCAGATATTCCTGTTCCAACGATCATGCCAAGAAGTCGTGCTCTGTTAGAGGACGCAGCAAGTCGATTAGAGACTGCGTTGAGATATGCTCGTGATCGGCCTACTTCTTTCACTTGCGCTTGATCTAGCCGATAGAGGTGGCCGGCGGCGAGAAGAATCACCTGTGCAGTTGCTATTCAATGTCAGAGCTAATATTTTGGGAACGGAGGATTGTGGATTGTTGACAAACCATTCTGAACCACATTTGGAACGTGTTTGATAGAGAATTTGTCACCAAATTGCTCGAGGCTGCGTATGAGCAGTGGCTTTAATACACCTGTTGGAGGTCCTTAGCTTCGTTGTCTCTTTCCTTCGGCAACACGAACTTACTACCGCGGTTAATGAAAGTGGCTAATAGTGCACGACGCAGTCCCAACGTGTTTATCGAGCCACCTTGCGATTTTGACAGCCATTCCACGACCTGGTTTTCCAGGTCTGGCCGAGAAGAGATGACGGTAGAAATCAAAGCTGCCATTCCTTTAATGGGCTCTGAAGGAGTGATTGACTGGCCCACTGTCCCCGATAGGTCATCTGAAAAGTGCTTTCGTTGTATATCACGGAAGATCGCTTCTACAAATGCAAGCTGCTCTGTCCGTCTGAGGTGGTCTAATAAAATTCCGAAGTGCGCTGGCGAGGACTGCCGAACAAGTAGATCCGAGTATATTTTTTTGACAAACTGATCTGTGCGATGTTAGCCTGGGGCTCAAAAAAATCCCTCGCTGTATATTCACCTGTATATCCAAGGCTTGAGGCGCGCCCTGTCAACAAAGCAACCGAGGCCCAGTCGCTTTCGTTATCTGGGGCTAGTCTCGTCGCCATATGAGAAACGTTGCGCCCAAGCCATGATGCATATTGGGAACCATTCCCAACCCAGGAGATTGAAGATACTGATCTTGACTCATCAACAACAGTGAGAGCCTCGGCTGCTGTTGATAGAATCTTGCCAGCAGCAACAAGCGACACAAGCTCTCTCCACGTAACTTGCTGTCGAGTTTTGTTGTCATAGATGACTGAAATGTCAGAAGAAAGACGGAGCAAAAAGTCTTTTGGTTCTAGCAAAGCAGCAAGCACAGCCAAGAGATCCCGAATACCAAGTTGGCTGCTTGAACCTTGCACTTGCTGGGCAGAAGCGCGGGCTGCGTTGATTAGAGATCGTAGCTGAGCCACCAAGGAACCGATACCGGCCACGCTGCTAAGACATCTCAATAATGCTGCTCGAGCTTTGGCGTCTTTCCCTTTGCTGTCTTTTGCATCTAGCGATCCCCAATGATCTGGAATCGTGGTGCTGACTAAGAGTTGGAGAATCTGGCCTGTGATGGGACTTGCAATCCGGAGGTCGAAGTCCTTTGTAGTTTTGGATTTGCTGAACGGATCAAGAGCTCCCAAAATGGCAGACAGCTGTTCACGATCGGGGCTAGTTTTGAGTAGATCTATAATGCGACGTGATGATAGATGTTCAGGATCGAAGTCATTTCTTGCTAGCGGATCAGCACGCAGAGGCTCGACAGCAGATGCAACAAGGGCATCTGAATCTCGCTTTACAGTTTTCACTGCCGTCAGAAGGCCTTCCATCTTTGATTTGAATATCACTTCGGGTGAAGAGGTTGTGCCTGAGGTGAAGATTACTGTAGGCGGGCTTGGGATTAGTCAGCCATACTAACCCCCGAGGCAGCCCACGCGCAGGTGATGTTGTCAACTCAGCCTCTTCAGTCTTGGTGACTTGAATACTTTGATAATCCGATCGAAAGCTAGACTAGATCTGTGCCTGATACCACTTTTATTAAGGTCACTCTATCTGCCATCCACCACAACGAGCGTTGACCCGTGCAACGCGACTTGATACTGCGCCTATTTACTCTCACCAGCTGCCTATAACAGGATCCTATCAATATGGATGTGGATGTGGAAACCCCAGATGCTCCAGAATCTCCGATTTACGTGGACCAACAAGGTCGATGGTGCGTTGGATGACCCTCGAGACCTCTGATCTGCTCTAATACCCCACAGGAAGCACCTCTACAACGTCCTAAGTAAACGTGGTCCTTTTACAGATGACGACTGGAACCCCGGCCCCGAGCCTATCAATGCTCTGGAATCTTCCAAAATCTTGTAAGTTAATTTATTTCGGAGATACCACTTTTACTAACATGAATTCTAGGGTGATGTTTGTCAACCTTGCAAGATTATGGTATTCTATCAAGATGAAAGACTGACTGAAATCTAGCGGAGCTGGTGGACTAGGATGCGAGATCTTAAAGAATCTTGCACTGTCAGGATTCAAAGATATTCATGTCATCGACATGGGTATGTGTTTCAACTCGGAATGCCAAGACCAGAAGCTCACAGTCAACAGACACCATTGACATATCAAATCTCAATCGGCAATTTCTGTTCCGCCAAGCAGATATTGGAAAGCCCAAAGCTGAAGTTGCCGCTGCTTTTGTGCAAAAGCGAGTGAAGGGAGTGAATATCACACCCTACGTCGGCAAGATCCAGGACAAAGATGAAGACTACTACATGCAGTTTAACATTGTCGTCTGCGGCTTGGACAGTATCGAAGCGCGACGCTGGATCAATTCCACGTTGATCTCAATGGTCGATGAAGATGACCCTTCGAGCCTGAAGCCACTTGTTGATGGTGGAACTGAAGGTACCTACCTACCTGCCTCGTCAAATTCAACTAGAACTTGCTGCTGATATATCAAACAGGTTTCAAGGGCCAAGCCCGTGTCATTCTACCCTCTATTTCCTCCTGCATTGAGTGCCAACTGGATATGCACGCCCCTCGTCCAGCAGTTCCTCTCTGCACCATTGCCACCATCCCGCGCCAGCCTCAGCACTGCATTGAATGGGCGCACCAGATCGCATGGCAAGAGAAGCGCAAAGATGACACCTTTGACAGCGACGACATGGAACACATATCGTGGATATACAATGCTGCTTATGAACGTGCCCAGCATTTCCATATCCATGGCGTTACCTTCCAGATGACCCAGGGCGTGGTCAAAAATATCATTCCGGCTATCGCATCAACGAATGCCGTCATTGCGGCCTCCACAACTTCAGAAGTGCTCAAGATCGCCACTGGCTGCAATCCATTCCTAACCAACTATATGATGTATGCTGGCGAGGAAGGGGTATACACCTACACCTTCGAAGCGGAGAAGAAACCCGACTGCCCCGTGTGCGGAGAACTTGCCCGGAAGCTGAACGTGGATCCTAATATGACCCTGGGCGAGTTCATTGACAGCCTCGGAGAAAGGGCCGAGGCTCAATTGAAGAAGCCTAGTATGCGGACTGAAGAGAAGACACTCTACCAGCGCTTCCCACCTCAGCTTGAGGAAATGACCAGACCTCACTTGGGAAAAAAGCTAGCAGATTTGATCGAGGATGGAGAGGAAGTCGCTGTCAGCGACCCAGCCTACACCACTACATTCCGCTTCCGTCTTCACTTCAAATAAAGGCCATTCTGTCCTCCCTCTCATGCGAAAATTACGAGAAATCAGATAGCTTATGACCGGAATGATTAGCCTTAGTTAACTGCGTAGAATTCAAAAGATAGCTGTTGGGCTCTTTTCCAAGACAATTAACACATCCAGACTCCAGCCTCGTGAGGCGAAGCCCTGATCGACTTTTAGTAAATGTACAGCGCAAAGGCAGCCAAAAAATCCAACGCCAAAGAATGCATATAATAAGGTGTAGCAGAGAAAAGACCCATTGATCAACCCATCAGATCGGTCAGACCTCTCTTCCACCGGTTGCACTTCAGCTTCATAACCTTGACAGCCTCCAGGAAGAGCATATCACTCTCAAATTGACCGGTGCTCTCCACGTTGAAAATGAAGTGATCCCGCACACGTCCCAGCTTGACCTTGCCTTGGAACTCATCGTGGCGCAGACACTCTCTGCTGACAGTATCATTAAACGCATCCTTCACGACGGCCTTCTGCTCGCCAGCATGGCCCTCGTATCCACTTCCATGCTGCGCGGCCTCTGCAGAGGTGACGGGCTCAAGACCAATCACACCCTTAGGGAAGCACTTGGCAAACTTCTTCGCATCCTCGCCAATGATAGGACGCTCAATGTTAATAACAGGCAAGAGACGGTATGAAGCGGTAGCCACGGGTGAGAACTTGGCGTGATCGGCACCGATACCCTTCTGGCAGTGAAGTTCCATCTCGATCTTCTGGCCGGGACGGAGCTTGGCGATCAGAATGTCCGGATTGACAGGTGCGATAGCACCGTCGCCGACGAAGTACTGTTCTTGACGACCGACGGGCATGTACATGAGGTCCTTGGCGTAAACATGGGCGTTGGTGTACAGCTTGCGGGGGTCCTGCTCGTCCTTGTCTGCGTACTCATTCTTGTAGCATTCCACGTCGAGGTGGAGCACAATGGTGTTGAAGTCGCAGGGACCATCTTCCTCCTCGCCTCCGTCTTCGGAAGCCTTCTTGAACCAGTGCATCCAGTTGATTCCCTCGATAGAACCCTTGAGAGGGATCAGGCCCAGTCGTTGTGCGAGCACTTCGTCTTGAATGACTGAAGTGTTGTTGTGAATGAAGCAGTCTTCAATGGCGATGGTGGGGATCTCGGCCATAAGGATACGACGGAAAGCGTTGGCGACGGCGGCGTCAAGTCCGATCAGCGAGAAGGAAGCCTCGAACCGTTCATTTCGGTGGAATTCGACTTTGAAATTCTGTTGGATGTAATGGTCAGAATTGACTGAATCCAGTAGAATATACCTTCCTTATAATGTTTCAGCACATACATTCTTGAATTCGTCGAGTGCCCACCCATGCGACTCTCCGGGCCAATGGCCAGGAAAATCTGTAGAGGGGATATTGGTGACGGTTTCCGCATTGATACCGATGATCTGGGACGATTAGTATTCTGAGTTGCATGGAATCATTCTTGGAGACATACACGGCGGCGCTGCAGCTCCTCCTGCGAGGCAACAAGAGGCGCCATGGTGAGCAACTATAGAGGGTCTGGTGAAGGTTGATGGTAAAATCCGCGATCACCGATAAGAGAGATTTCTCGAAGCAATTTTCTAGTTTGCCTAAGGCAGCAAAGGGGGCTTTATTCTGCGCACATAATGAGATATTACATAATCTGAAAATACCAGATTCTGTGAGGAATGCACAGCGCTAAACCAAAGAAAGGCTAGCGTGGAGCCACCACCCATACAGTATAGTGGCCCCTTCAAGCCAACCAGCGCACGGCTGATGACCCGGCAGCTTTTCACGTGACGAGCCAAAATGCGACTCCCAAGTTGAGACCTTCAGCGAGTTCCCTATCCGTAGCGAGCAATATCCACCCATTGAATGCGCGTGGATTGAGGATAATCTCCCCTCTTTTCCCTCTTGGACCCCCCAATTCTCCATCCTCCATGGCCGCTTCTTTCGCTCGCCTAGCGGGCAATGCGCCCAAAAGGCTCTGCCTCCGCCCCTCCTCGCTCAACACATCCATTCCTCGTTCCCGGTCGATAACCACCTCTATTCCTCGCCGTCAGGCAGAGGCTACTAGCTACCAGGCCACACGACTTGTGCCGACCGACCCGACCTTCACCTCCCTCGCCAACAAGGGTTCTCCCGAGAATCCCGATGCTGCTGGCCTTGAATCCGAGGCCGAAGGGATCGACCGCAAGATCCGTCATTACACTGTCAACTTCGGTCCTCAGCATCCCGCTGCTCACGGTGTGCTTCGATTGATTCTGGAACTCAATGGCGAAGAGATCGTTCGCTCCGATCCCCACGTCGGTTTGCTTCACCGTGGTACTGAGAAGTTGATTGAGTACAAGACCTACATGCAGGCCCTGCCTTACTTTGACCGATTGGATTACGTCTCTATGATGACGAACGAGCAGTGCTTCTCCTTGGCTGTTGAGAAGCTGTTGAACGTCGATATCCCTGAGCGTGCCAAGTGGATCCGTACCTTGTTCGGCGAGATAACCCGAGTTCTGAACCACCTTATGTCCGTCCTGTCCCACGCAATGGACGTTGGTGCTCTGACTCCTTTCCTGTGGGGTTTCGAGGAGCGTGAGAAGCTTATGGTGAGCAATCGAGAGCTGTGAAAAGCCACTACGGATAGATCTTATTTACTGACGCTTCGGATGCTTTAGGAATTCTACGAGCGTGTCTCCGGTGCCCGTCTCCACGCTGCCTACGTTCGCCCCGGTGGTGTGTCGCAGGATATCCCCATTGGTCTTTTGGACGACATCTACCAGTGGGCCACTCAGTTCGGTGACCGCATTGACGAGACCGAGGAGCTGCTCACGGATAACCGTATCTGGAAGGCCAGAACCCAAGGTGTCGGTGTTGTTAACGCCACCGATGCGCTCAACATGAGTTTCACTGGTGTCATGCTCCGTGGCTCGGGTGTCCCCTATGATATCCGCAAGTCGCAGCCGTACGATGCCTATGACCAGGTTGAATTCGACGTTCCCGTCGGTGTCAACGGTGACTGCTATGACCGTTACCTCTGCCGTATGGAGGAGTTCCGTCAGTCCCTCCGTATCATCCACCAGTGTCTGAACAAGATGCCCGCTGGTCCGGTCCGCGTGGAGGACTACAAGATCTCACCCCCTCCCCGTGCCGCCATGAAGGAGAACATGGAGGCTCTCATTCACCACTTCCTTCTCTTCACCAAGGGTTACTCTGTGCCCCCTGGTGAGACCTACTCAGCCATCGAGGCCCCCAAGGGTGAGATGGCTGTCTTCCTGGTCAGTGATGGCAGTGAGCGGCCATACCGCTGCAAGATCCGTGCTCCTGGTTTCGCCCACTTGGGTGGCTTCGATCAGGTGTCTCGTGGTCACCTGCTCGCCGATGCTGTCGCAATTATCGGTAAGTCTTTGTTCTTTTATCTACTTCAATTCCCAGCTTCTAACATTGAATCTCTTCTAGGTACTATGGATCTTGTGTTCGGTGAGGTTGACCGATAGACGGTATTGGCAACACAATAATAAAAATGAAAAACCAAACCCGAAGAAAACCTTCCCATGGCACCCTCTTAGATGGTTAGATTCGCCTGTGCTGGGGGAAAAATCAGAAAAGAGGAACGACCTTTTTTCCTTGATGTGATCTATAAACCCTGGAACTTTCGACGCTGGCTAGGGTGTACCAAATGTTCCATGTTTTCTTCCCATGGCGTTGTGCTATTATGTCTTGTCATTCTCCTTTGTGTGTCTGTTTTTTTTTCTACCTCTACTGCTTCAACCAAGCCCTGTGTATAGTGAACATCTGATTCTTCTTCCGTGAGCTGTCTCTTTTCCAATGTAGGGATATCATTTATGAATCTAACCAGCACGATTCAACCTTGATTTATATAGTACAAGGTACCTTTTCATCTGAACCTATATACTAGAAGACCTACATAGACTGATAAGTTAATTACCCGGGGAAATTGCTTGAGACACCATAATCATTTTCATCATTGCATTTCCAGCAGACAACACCAATATTACAACCTTATGAAGCCAACTTCAACGTTGAAGGAAAACAAGCGAGCGTTTTGTTGTTTGCCACATTTGTCAATTGTTGGCAGAAACCGACCGCCCTGGGGATATAAGAGGGCCCTCCTTCCCCCGGATCTTCCTCTTCTTTTCTTTCTTCTTCAGCTCTCTTTGCCTATTGGCTTAGATCAAGTGTAGTATCTGTTCTTTTCAGTTTAATCTCTGAAAGTTTCCGTCCAGGAAACACTTTGATTATTCCTATTTTTGGATCCCGCGACTTGGCCCCTGTGCTTGCGCATGCCTCGTTGCACAGTGTCATTGGGCTTACACTACCCCCGATCGACGCGAACTCCTTTTTCATCAACTGTTCGGCTTGTCCGGGTGCTTGGAGAAGATGTCTGTAATCTACGTCCTGGTCAAAGACTCGAAGTATTGTTTAATGACCCTTGCGTCAATAGGAAACGAGGTTTTTGTTTTTTTGTAGGCTCCATCCAAGGTTATGCAAAGTTTCCTGGGCAATCTCAATAACGCGTCCAACCAACTCATGGCTTTGACCACTCTAACTGTCCCGGCCATGTCCATGGTAGGCGCATTCGATAAACATATCAGGATGTTTGATCACTTGATATTCTCACTTGGTATTCAATCTAACATGTTGAAGTCATTGCCACAACTGCTCGGTCTTTCTGATATATATATGACGTTGTTTTTGACAACTCCCAACGCAGCTTTGGTTTAAATAGATAGATTCTCACTCATTGATGAGATTCCCGCAGCTCTGACTACAGGAAGGTCCTCTTAATTTGAAAACAAATGGCAATGCTTGCCACTCGCTTGAGACTAGATTAGAATTCCTAGAATTGAATATATCAGAGGACCTGGGCTGACTGATAAAGAGAAAAACAGCGGTACCCTTTCATCTGCTAGCCTAACACGAACATGACAATCTCCTTAATTCATGTCGTACATAAAGAAAATTACAGTACAAAGAGTATTCATATGTAGACTGAAGATTCTGGGGTATAACCGCCTACTTCATCTATTCGGTAACCCCCCGCACTACAGCCGGCTTTGTGATGGCCTCCAAATCGGCTATATGCCACCATGCGAGATACAAAAAGATCCAATGATTCTTAAGTAGCCTGAAAACAAAGGGGGATCTATTTGAGATATTCAGTATGAGCAAATCAGTAGACATATCTCAGTCAATCGTTTATCCGAAGTGGTTTGGGGGTTCTGCATCATGTATGGCGGTCCTTGTTTCTCACCCTTTGGACTTGAGTGAGTCCAGCTATTTCAAATCTTTTGAAGGCACAGTTTTCATTGATAAATCATAGTCAAGGTCAGAATGCAAATGGAGCAGGGTGGTGGCAAAGCCGGGACACTCAATACCTGCATTCGAATCGTTCAGGGTGAGGGTGTACTTGCGCTTTATAACGGGGTATGTCTAATGAAGAACAATGTTGATTGTGACGAGATACTGATGATTTTGAAGCTATCAGCAGGGTTTATGAGACAGTGTTGGTCCACCTAAAAATTCCACCTCTTCGATCAATACTAAATTGATACTCACCCATTCGGTAGTAACATATGGCTCAGTCCGTATCGGCCTCTACGAGACACTAAAAGAGCAAACCAAAGCGAACAACATTCCCACCTCCCCACCAGTTCTTGGTCTATTAGCAGGGATCTCTGGATTTATTGGCGCAATCTTTGGCAACTCTTCAGATATAGGCAACATCCGCTTGCAAAATGACGGTTCACTGCCTCCTCACCTTCGTCGCAATTACCGACACATATTCGATGCGTGGAGACAGATTAAGCATCAAGAGGGATGGAAGGCCTTTGGACAGGGATTGTGGCCGAATTCTTTCCGCTGTGGTATGATGACCAGCTGTCAGCTTGCATCATATGATAGTTTTAGGGATCTGATAGTGGCAACTACTGGCATTCATAACGATCATCCCGGTTTGCATTTATCGGCTTCGTTCTTGGCGGCACTAGTTGCTACGACACTGTGCAGTCCGATCGATGTAGTTAAGACTCAGTTGATGGGATCCTCAAACAAAGAAGGAGTATTGCACGTGATAAAGGATCTTACAACTGCAGAGGGAATGAGATGGGTCTTTCGAGGGTGGACGCCCGGTTTTGTTCGGCTAGGACCACAGACTATGGCAACGCTAATTCTCCTGGAGCAGCACAAGCGGTTATATAGGGATTTGAAAGAAAAGACAGATAGTCAGAAAATCTCACTCTAAGCCTGCCCTTCGACATATTGTTGGGCTTCATGAACGACTGAGTATTTGATCTCTCACACTTGCTACATAGATGTACCTATATATGTACCCGGGCTTTGTGCGACTCGCCTAATTTATGCTAGACGTGTTTGTCTCTTCCCACCGTGAGAAGTGCAGTTCAAAAGCTTGGGGATCTTAATGAGGTCTAATATCTCAAACGTTATTTTGTGCACACTTTACAGCGTTTCAAACCTAATTCTTCATGCTTTCATGGCTATCCTGTGAATAAGGGCACATGCATGTCTAGCTAGATAATATAGCTGGGCATTGTCAGAGAGGCTCCTAGCTCTCATTGTGTTTAATGTTTTGTTCTAGCCTATAGATATCGGAGCCTAGAGCCACTGCAACGCCGTTATCCAACACCCTCGAGGGCAGGATATGAACCGTTTGATCCCCACTAAACTAATGAAGGTCCTTCGACGACTCAGCAAATCAGGCTCATCTTTCTTCCTACAACCCAGCTCTCTGCATTTACCAATCACCACATCCAAGCTATTTTCCTACTTGGCCCAGCTGTCAAATTGGGCTCCCTACCATCCCTCCTATCGTCTATGTGACATATTCACTTGCTGCTATCTTTACTATCAATCTTTTTCTAATATCTCCCTGGCTACCGGGGTCCGTCGTGGATTTATCTCAGAATCGCCGATCTGATCCGGTTGATAAGGTACACAAACACGCAGGGTGACGATTCTGAATATTCGAATTTCTAGCCAGCATCTGAACGAAACATACGAGAAGTGATTGGATCTACCTTTCCAGTTCAACATCATGGAGAGCCCACAAGACCACCAGACTGAACGACCAAGTCCAACCACTACGACATCTCTACTCTACATAATACCCACCGAGCTACGTTTGAAAATATTTGCCTTGTGCATCCCCCGAAAATGCGCCATCCAAGTGACAAATGCGATGTATCGACCATATGGCGTCGAACCTGTGGTTTCCACGCGTGACCCGTCCCTTCGAGACAGGTTCTCCAACACTACTCCTCTCTGGACTAACATCTTGCATGTTTCCAAACAAATGAGTAATGAATGCTTGGACATCCTTTATGGTGAGAACTTGTTCGAAGTCTACCTGGACAAAGGAGTCGAAGCTACACTCAAGAAAACATTCAGCAAAGAGAATATCCAGCGAATCCGATCAATTCTCGCCATTGCCCCCGGCCCATGTTTCAGCGGGGAACTGAACCCACCCGACATTCCTTTCTGGGCCATGATGATCCCAAACCTGAAGATGTTTGGATGGGTGACCGAACCAGACAAGAGAGCTGAGTATCTCACGAGCAATTTTACGATGATGCAAGGGTTGGAGGGCTGGAAGGAGTGGATGGAGGCCTACTTGGACTGCTTCGGTGAATTTATGATGCCCGGGGTGGAGTTCAAAATGAGACTTGAGAATGGAGATGGTGAATACAGGCGGATTGGGAGGGTTTCTTTCCGGCGAGGACCTTTCTTCAATAAGGATGGAGAGTAGGAATGAGTTGACGATCGCCATGATGAGGATCTAAGAGGCATCCTACGACAATCAATGTAAGATTAGGGTTGTCCTTGAAATACAGCGTTCCGGGTTGCCGAACCCAACGATACTTTGTAATGCTTAGTTTATTACGAACCGGTCATCATAGCTTGAGAAGCTCTCTATCTTCGTAGCCTATTCGGAGCCCTGTAAATTTCCGACGCATGTATTTTAGCTTGGGAGCCCTGGAGCCCTTCTAATGATTACCCACAAGAATAGTCGCTTATACAGCCTTGACACGTCTTTGTAGTTTTTTTCAAAGTCCCTGGTCATACATAGAAAAGTCGTTTGCACAAAATATGCTTCTTTAACCCGCCTCACATACATCTAAAAAGACACTTTAGGGCTCGATTGTGCTCTTGTCAGAGCCTTGCAACAATAGAATCAGGGAAGGAAAAGAACAGCGTAAATGTTTGTCAGAACCTGCCGATTTCCAATGGATCCCGCAAAGCCTCAGGCTATTGTGGATGGCAGGATTATATATGCGTGCTTCTCACCTCTTATCTCCCTTCCACCTTCCACCTTCTTCTCACCTCTCTTTCGTCTCTTTCTTCTCTCATCTCTCTTTCATTGACATCTACATTCTACATCGTAAATCTGGGTTTATATTTCTCAAGTGCTAGCCATATTCTCTGGGTACTCTTGTATCTGGGTGCAAAAAGCATGCTCCACGAAAGACGTTCTAGAATTCCACATGCTGCGTGTAATTTGTGGGGTAGTAATGTTTTCACCTTTTCGACCATTGACATTTCCGGGATCGTATATCGCGATGCAGCGGAAAATCTGAACGTTTCCCCACCGCATTATTCATGGATCCACGGTAAACAAGCAGATTTGGATAACATACACTTCAATGAGAAGTGGACATGGGCTTGCACGTATGGAGCTGGTTAGTGTTGTTTTCAACATCTTTATCAGATGGTATTCATTTTAGCTTTAAGCGTGATCTTAATGATTATTAGGGCTGACCAAGGAGTCACATTCCATCTCTCTGGCGTTGGTGAGCTTCCAACGTTTACCGGTCACGGGCACATCCTTGGAGGGCGGATGTGGGTTTCTGCTCAATTCTTCTATTTCCTACTTTGATTGATTAGAATGAACAAGAATACTCGGCCGCTTTTGCGGCCTTGTGACATATTTTCGATTCATCTTTTTGATTTTTTTTTTATAGATATTTTGCCCGCCTTCTTCGGTTTCATAGACACACGGCAGAAGAGGGTGGATAAAGGCTTAATTTGTAAAATGGACTTTTCTATGTATAACATTGATGATTGAAAGACCCATCGTGTGCGTTTTGCCTACTTTGTACTCGTACTTTGACAACAACATTGGAATAGCATGATAGCAGCGTATGGTTCATGCGATGCCTGAGGAAGCAATGTGGCGTATGATGTACGTAGTCCATAAACCTGCTTTTGTTGTGGCGCAGTGCATGCAGGTCCCCCATATTCCCCCCAAAAAATTGTCGCGGTTCTCCGTACGTTGTACAGTTGTCAACCTCTGATTCGGAGATGAAAGCGCCTGTTAAATTTTCGATGAGCTCTTGGTCTTCGTCTGGATTCCCAGCTCGAGTCCCGCAGCTTCTGCACTGTGGCATGTGGATCGCTGCACGGAGCACTCTAGCTGCCAATGACAATGGATCTTTGTCGTGTCTCGTATTCTTTGGAAATGGAAACCTGGACAATCAAGCATAAATCGAGGACATGTCATATTGTATCAGTTTTCTGGCCGGAAGCGCCGAATTATACGTTCACCAATAGCTCCCAGCGAATCCATATAGGTATTTAGCTCTAGTCTCTCAAGTATACTCCGTATTGTCGTTGGATACTTATAAATTATGTACGACCGTAGGGACGTAGACATCGTCCTAATTTGAAGGAATAGGTTGTGGAATATAATAAAGGAAGTAAAATAAACACAAGTCGATGATCGAGAAGCTTCAAGAAGAGGTGGATCTGGCTTTGCTGCTTGGTGGCCGGGTGGCCAATGAGATCACTCTAAACTGCTTATGTAATTGTTGTAATTGCACCTGGGGACCTCCACTGGGTGAGATCGCGTCTCTGAGTGTCTTTCCTTCAGCAATTCATTTTCCATTCTTTTGTTTATCACATAGTATGATATTTGGTCTCCTCTGAATATCAAACATCTGATTATTATTCCAACTACTTTTACTTCCACCCTCTCTTCCCTTTACCAATTGTAGCCTACCCATCTCCGATCGCAAAATGGCCACCGACTACAGCAAGAAGACCAACGCCGAGTTGGTCGAGATTCTGAAGACTCGTTCTCTCCCGCACACTGGAAAGAAGGCCGAAATGGTCTCGCGCCTTCAGGAAGATGATGAGACTAAGCCATCCGACGCTCCTGCCGCAGCTCCTGCCGCAGCCAAGACTGACGCCGCCGAGGACGTCATTGACTGGGACGACGAACCCGCAGAGACAATCATCGAGCCATCCACAGAAGCTGGCGCAGCTGCGATCGCAGCTGGTGGCCAGGGCGCAGTTTCCAACCCCGTCGCTGTCCCCAACCAGCAGCTCGACGAGAACCCCGCCACCACCGAGGACTTGAAGGTCGAGGCGACCGGCGCTGTCGCCGAACCCACCACTCAGCCCGAAGCTGCGACTGAACAGAAGCCCGCCGTTGACTACACACGAGGACTGCCCCAGACCGATCTGGAGGCAGAGCTGGCGAAGCGCAAGGCTCGCGCGCAGAAGTTCGGTATTGTTGAGGACGACGACACAGCATTGAAGGAGGCTACGAAGCAACTGGAGCGCGCTAAGCGATTCGGTACCGGTGCCGAAGCTGAGACTACCCCCGCTGCGGGTGTCAGTCGTCTTGATCAGGCACTTCCTGATGAGCGCTCCCGCAAGAGACGTAACGAGGGCCGCAATGATAACCGCAACGACCAGAGTGGTCGCGGAGGCAAGAGACGTGATACTGGAGCTGGACGCAACCGCAACCGCCAACGTGGCGATGGAAATCGCAACCGCGACCGTGGCGATGGGAACAAGACCAATGCTGGCGTTAAGAAGCCTAATGCCGGTGGGAACACTGCCCAGAAATCTTGGAGTGAGAAGGATAATGCGGCCATGGAGGCTCGCAAGAAGCGGTTTGCAGCCGCCGCTTGAATGTTTCCAATAGTTTGCTTTGTCTAGTCTTTGACTTGGGCTTTGGTTCCATCTCTTGTTTCATCATGGGCGTTTGTGTGTTGATATGCTACCGGACAATTTCAGGGTCAATCATTCCATTCTATTTGTTTTAATATATGTGGATCTCAATGAAAATGTACAAGTGTATGGAGTTTTGTATATTGTATAGAGAAGTAGCCCTGTCCGTATAATCATATGTAGGCAATTCAGGTGTATGAGGAAACCTGAGCTCTCTCAACTTCTCTATTTGCTATATCTAAGCATCGACCTACCCAGACCGAACTCAATCCCAAATTCTCTTGCGGCCCCCAGAAATAATTTCCCGGCGACTGCGTGCGAAGTCAGCTGAAGAGTGCATTAGTCGCTTGTTCCTGCAGGATGGGCGTCAACCAGTACGACCAGTCACTAGTCGAGGAGAGGCCAGGCCGTGATTGTGGGACCTCACGTCTTTACTATTTTTGAGAGTCCGAGAGTGCCCATGCACAGAGTGCATACAGTATTAGTTACAATTGAATAGACAACATACACTGGTCAATGCCATTCCAGACTCATTTCTCGTTGGTTGTTCCTATTGCCCGGATTGACGCCCTCCCCACTTAGCTCAATGGCCTCCCCGCGAATCGCAACCCACAGCTGGCTTTTTTTTTAGATGGTGGCTGCGAGCTAACATTTGATTCTCGTCCAGGGCTTGTTCATTGCTCGATTGTCCAGTGGGCCGTCACAGCCCAGTGCCTAGCGGGCTCCACAGTCTCGAGGCTCCATGCCTCGAACATCGAACCCGGGCCAAGGACGAAATGCTCTCTACGGACAGTCACTGGCTCTTCGAGTCATACAAGTCTAGAAGTTAGACTCAACTTTAAAGCCCCTTCAGTCTCATCCTTGGAACCTTGGAACCTCGAAAGGTTCGGGACGGGCCTCTGTACCAAACTATTGACCAGCATGACCGTTGGGAAATCTTCCAAGCTCGAGATAGTGTCTTAGAATATACGAGTATACGAGTGTACGGTATCAAACAAATACTCTGGGAAAGAAATATGCGACTGTGTTGGAGAAGTTGAAGCGTTTGAGGGTAAAAGACACCCTTACGTCTATCCGCATATGCATGGTCCCTTGAAACCACCTTGGGAAATTCTCCGAACGTCCGGGAAGGGCTGGAATTGTAAACCGCCAACAAATAAAAGCACGAAAAAAAAAATCACCTTCGCGTCGATCATTTCACCATTTGGGTTTGAGTGGTTCGGCGTCTCCGAATGCGCTGTTTAGGAGGCGAGGGAGACGCGATAACCAGACTGGTTGGGTTGTTAATACGAGGTTGTCCGCTACATATCGGTGTACAATTCCAATTGTGCAGATGCTCAGCTTGAGTCTATCAGCTGATCTGACGTGCGATCGAGTCACGATTTGTAGCATTTTTTCTTTCTTATCGAGTCAAGGCACACATGACGAATAGCCCAGGGTACGCCACGGGTTGTACTGCCCTGTCACGTTGTGTCTAGCCCGATACCTGTTTGCCGCCGCGTGCCCATACCGTTTAAGCAAAGTAGCCAACGACAAGTCTGTGCTAGGGGAGAACCCTCGAGTGGACCGGTATTTACCTCCCCATGTGGGCTTCCGTGCGCGCAATCCTGTCCATCCGGCCACTGGGGGGATCGCCCTGGTTTGTAGAACTCCCTTTTGACTTTGCGATGGGGGCTATCGTCGCTTCAGAAGCACCGCGCAACTTTCGCGATGTTCTGGTCCTTTTGACAGGCTCCAGGTCTGCGCAGTCTGGATTTCTTCCCGTCTTATCACAGTAGTGACATTACTTTCTTGCCAATGAGATCCCTGGCTACGTTCTATATGGGCATTCCGGTTTCGAGGCATTTTTCCCCCACATCAGAGGGGCAAGACCAGTCAGCACATAAATGTCCAGCATCTCAGAAATTCCTCAATGTCTTTGATCTCTTTGTGACAACACTACAATTTATTTTTGTATACTTCAGCCAGATTTTATCTCTGACGTGGCCAACGCTGGAGAACAACCCTGAAATTGAACGCCACATTGCTCCAGACTGTGGCGAAGCTGCAGCTTTAAGGCTTCGCCGATCCACAGTGGACTTTTCTCGTTTATCTACTGACGTCTGTTAGTCCATGTCTTTTTTTCCTTTTTATGATTCTTAACATCCCTGCAATGTCTATTGACACCTAATTTTTAGTTGTGTGACTTTGAGATACCCTTTTTCTTTTTTTTTGCGAATTTCATCTACTTTTTACTTACTTAATTCTATACCCCCACTGTCAAGCGCTAGGCGCCCATCAATCTTGATATTTTCGTTTGACATGACTCAGATGCCGTGAGTTTATATACTAAGCATGAGGAATTTGGACCAAGCTGATTAGATCAGATAGCTACATATTCCCATAACGACGTGATGATTGCTATAACGAAGTACATGCACCCACCGATTAATCAGTTGTCCCTGGATTGGAGCCGGGAACTTTCACTCATCCGTACGCCATGTCGTACAGTTCTGGCCATCACATGCCACACGATGCTTCATCTTTAAACTTATCACGTACCAATGCTGGTGCTTATGCTCGACCTCCACGGTCCCAAATTGCGCGACCAGTCAATTACACCCCTAGGAGCAGAACCTCATCATTCTCAGATGTCGAAGATACTGCCCCAGTATCAGCGGCGTCAGCTACCAAGCGATCTACCAGTCGTGGAAATCGCCTATCCATGCTTCCGCGCCCCAGTATTGGTAACACAACATCTCCAACTACGCCCGTGTCTGCTTCCTCTCAGAATTCTACCCAGCCAATCCCCTCCTCGCTTTCGAGCCCGGAGATTAACACACCCTCGCTTTTCGTTGCTGGACAACAATTGCCCCCGCCAAAACGAGCACGAAATGTTCTTCGAAGGAGGGCACCGACAATAGGGAAACATGTGGAGCAATCTCACTCTGACAAGCTTAGTCTTGTTATTCCACAAGAGTCTCATTCCCTCGTCATGAACAATGTGTCAGGGCACGAAAATTCGTCGTCCTCGCTTTCAGAGCAATCGGCTTCCTCTTACAAACCAAACCGCAAGACTGAGAGTAATGTTACAGTTAACTCAGTGAGGTCTAGATTTAATGGTCCAGTGGAACTGGCAAGTCTTCGAACGACAGTTGATACGCAAAACTTGCCAGCACCTCCCGCTCCCTTCTTTTTGGCAAGTAGCCCCTCGACAAGATACTCGGAGTCTCCGAGTATTTGGAGTCGGGGGTCTACCCCAACATCATTATCATCATATTCCCCCGGTATTACAAAGATTGGTCGTTTGAGACAACCGAGTCCGTCTCAAACAAGACTGCCTGTTTTCTCTCCTCCACCGGCACATGCAAGCCCTCAACAAGAAAAGCCGGAGCTGAAGACTCAAAAGCGGGCACTTCCTACAAAGCCTTCTGTCTCAAGCTCAATAGCGGCCGACAAAAGCCAAAGGGCACCACCATCTAAATCTCCTTCTACAGTACCCGGGGGGCCACCTTTCAGTCCGCCGCCGAGAAAGTCATCGGTCAATTTCAGCCCTTCAAAATCTTCCGAAATCGACGTTGAGCAGGCTCGGAGGGAAGTTGAGGAAGCCGAGAGAAGTTTGTTTGACCCACGAAGGGCCGTGGAATGTTCCCCCTCACGGAATGCGGAGACACCACAAACTCCACCACGACCGAGCAGAGATGGAACGCATCGCTTGGATCTTGAAACTTCGCCGATTGTGCAAAGCAACCTACGGTATCTTCGAACAACGGGCCATACAAGACGCGAGTCGATAGAAAAGATTTTAGCGACCCAACAGCAACACCCAACTCCCAACCAGGCTGCCGCTGCATCAATTGACTCGCTGCAATCAAAAACCATCTCCCAAGTTTCTTCTCAGGATGGCGGATCTCCCATACTATCTAAAAAGACACCTCGGACATCGACTAAGGAGACTCCCAAAGAGAAGCCAGAACCAAAGCAAATACCAACACAAAAGCGGTTTGGTCTGTTCACAAAGAAGTCTAAGCCGGATATGTCTGAAAATGTGACGGAGCAAGCTCGAACCACTCGCAAAGGTCCAGCCGCGGGAACAGGCCACGAGGGCTACGGAAAATACGGACAGCGCGGCCGCAAAGCAAGCGGTAGTGGTAGCAGTGGGACAAGAACCAGATCAACAAGCACGACACGAAGTGCCGTTAGCAAAGGGAGTCAATCGAGTCGCCCGGAGTTGGACATTGACGATTTTCTAATGAGCCGTCTAGAGCCTGTCATTATCAATGGCGGTGGACTGGACGGCGCATCGTTGTCACGAACACAAAGTGAGCAGAGTTTCAGCAGCATTAGTGTTGCGTCGACCTCGAACTTGCCGCGCCAAACTCTTCTATCATACTCGACTGGCCAGTCTACTGAATCCCTTGCGACGTCGACGGGGACATTCGGTGAGACTATCACGCCAAGCTATTCTAACGGCACCAAGCCGATTGGAAGCAAGAGCCCTGGGTACCAATCTAACGCAACCGATCGTCCAATTGCATCAAAGTCACGCATGCCCGTTCCAAGAGGAAAGAGACATGGCGTGTTTGCGAACCCCCAGGCTGCTGTCACAAACACGTCTATTCATAGCCACGAGCCAAGCAATACCACCGTACACCAGCCGAAGCGTGCTCAAAAGTCCCCCGAGAAACCCACCAAACCTGAGCAGGTCGAGAAGCAACAAGCCAAGAAAGGAAAGACATCCATGTGGAACTTCTTCCAGAAGAACCGCGCCAACGAACAGACGAGCTCAACTCCTCCAACAACCTCATCCCAGACCGCGAAACTTCATGCGGCGATCTCCCCGGTCCTGAACACTCGGTCCGTTGCCCATTACGCCTTGGTGGATGCTGATTCGGACGAGCTCGATGAAATTATTAACAACATCGAAGACTCTCCACCAACAGAGGAGGAAACAATTTTCCATCCTGTAGAAGTCCCAAGAGGGTTGAGCATCCGGAAAAGAAAGCCGTCAATTCTGTTGCCATCTCCGCCAAAGATGCACGGCGAGTTCGAAAATGATGACCGTCCATCGCCGAGGACGGCCATGTTCAATCGCAACCTTATGGCTCCCGAGCTCGAGATGTCACCTGAACAACGTCCACGCTTGGCCTCGGTCGGCCGAATTCCACAAGTAATTTCGCGGCGCGATCGCCATCATCACCCCGCCATGCAGTCATTCTCGCGTCCATTCAGTGTTGTCGAATCTCCTTCTCTCACCGTTCCAACAACAGGAAGCTCATACGAACCTCCACTTGTCGCCAACGTTCCGTTGGACTTGGGGATTGGTCCGAGCGAATCTTCTAACTGGGGCGATGGGTTCAACCCGACTTTTAGCGCTTCCGAGGAGACCAGCGCTTTAGAGTTCCTCGCCGGACCGTTCTCAACTTATGAGTTCCTTCAATTTCCACCAAAGAAAGGCTCAACCTCGTCAGATAGCTCTGGAGCTCTGGCTGCAGTTACAGCCGTGCCCCCGATTCCAGGTTCTCCGCCGACTGAGGACGAGGTGTGGAATGAGTACGATGATCTTATTGACCATGTTCTGTCTCCAGATGAACCGAAGCCCGAGGAGGCAGAAAAGACTGAAGAAGAGGACAGATTTGAACTTGCAACGATGGCGAGCAGGGCTCTTCAGGACGAGTTGAATAATTCCAATCTCCCTCAGCCAGTACGCGGTGGCAATTCAGTGCGCTCGAGTGGTAGCTCTGTTCATCTTCGTCGTTCTCAGATTGTCTCTGCTTTGCAATCCTCTACCGCTCCTTCATCTCAACCGTCGTATAGTGATCTTGTTGCTGGATATAGAGGCTCAAATGAGGAGAAGACCCAGCAAGCTGCCAATCCTACTGAGCAGCCTTCTTCAGCTGATCAGCGTCGTGAACAGCAGTCTACGTTTCTTAACTCCCTCGCTGCTGTTCCTTCACCTAGACCAAAGTTCCACCGAGAACAAGAAGCCGCATCTTCGGAGCGTGAGTGGGACGCAGTGACACGGACTAACATGCGCTCTGCTTCGCTCATGACTAGTCGCTGGTTATCTTTCGGCCGAGTCCTTTTCAGCCCGGCACACAACCACGTCAAGGCCGGAGGACAAGGGCGAATTCTTGTGATCGACGGACTGGGAAATGATGACTGGTCTTTCTACTGTTCCTTGACGTATCCAGATGCCGAAGTATATAGCCTGGGTGGACGTCCTATATCCGCGGCACCTCCCCACCCCGCTGCATGGCAGCCCCCTACCAACCACCACACTGTGTATCACGCAGGACTGGACAACCCTCTCCCCTTCCCGAAGGACTACTTCACAGTCGCTGTGCTACGATTCCCCACAGTCTGCTCCGAGGCCGTGCAATGCAACATCATCCAAGAATGCAGACGTGTCCTCCGCACCGGAGGATATCTAGAAATGAGCCTTTTAGACCGCGACATGGTCAACATGGGACCTCACACGCGCAAAGCTATTCGTCAACTCAAAGAAATGACCTGTCTCTCAGACTCGAGCCTCAGCCTGAAACCAACCAGCGACAGCGTCCAACGTGAGCTCGGCGCACAGGGCTTTGACAGTCTCCGTCGCTGCATGGTTCGCATTCCAGTTGCAGGAATGGTCCTGCGATCCTCCGACTCGAGCTCATCAGCACACTCTATTTCAACAACCACCCCTTCCACGGAATTCTCGCTACCTACCATCTCTGTCACTACTGCGGGCGGTAGCCAAAGCACGGGAACTGCATCTAAATTCCCGTCGAATGATGCGAATATCTCTCTCGGCGATTTGCTCTCTGACCCTTCCCCATCTCCGGCAAACGATGAGTCAATCGCCAAGATTGTTGCTCGTGTCGGACGCTGGTGGTATTCGAAATGTTATGAAGATCCCATTTTTTCGACTGGAAATACCGATCCTAGTATCTGGAATGACCGGAAGGTACTCCGCGAGTGCCAGAAGCGTGGGACTGGGTTCCGCATGTTCATTGCATACGCTCAGAAGCCCAGTGAAGTTCTGCGACGCACGGCGAGTGTGTAATGGAACGCCATCATGATAAGTTTCATATTTCGTTTGCATTTTTCGTTTTTGTTCTTTTTTTGATGAGATCCATGATTTATTGATACTACACGCTGCATGGAAAAATACCCATATATATGAATTTGAATTTAATGTGAAATACGTTATAGCTAATAGTATTACGTCGATGATTTCTATTTTAGGACTATTTCATTATCAGCCTTAATATATAGGGCTTCGTGTGACAAGACTTACAACAATTGCCAAGTACAAACTTAACAGAGAAATATTTGTTGTAAGAGCGGCGTCCTAGGCCCTCTCTTAAAGAAATATCACTTTTATCTATTGAGAATCTAACAGTAACCGGGTAGTATATAGTTAGATCTAAAAAAGCTAAAAATAACCTTAGACTTCAGAATTCCAATCCAAGATGTGACACAAGTCGAAGCTAAAGACGGCGAGGGAGGCAGCACCTGGGCAATACAATTGGATTACGAGATGCCAATGTGGCGCAAGCCTTTTTCTTCTTATGCAGAACTAAAATGTGAAGAGGATATATAGTTTTGACGTTTGATACACCTCAAGTCAATTTGATCTCATAAACAAGCTTACACCCTAGTTAAATGAACTTTCAACGGCCCCTTTTCCCACATCAGGAAGTTCCTCTGTTTGATCCAATCACGGGCTTCATCGGCAATCTCCATATCAAAGTTGAAGATAATCAAAGCGAGGATTAGACGCATTTCGCTATATGCAAGACTAAAGCAACATCGTTAGTATCGCCTATTGCTTCCCATTGTCATCTAGGCCATTACTCACTTTCTTCCAAGACAATTTCTCGGTCCAGTATGGAATGGTTGCAATACCTCTCGGCGATCGTCTGCAAATGATGGATCATCCAGGAATCTCTCTGGGTGGTATGTGTTGGGGTCCTTGAAATACTCTTCGCGCCGATAAAGTGCCCATTGATGAACCGAAACAAAAGTCTAAAAACAAGCACCGTTAGCAGGCATCAAGAGGTAATGTTCCCATCAAATGAAACTCACGTTTGCCGGAACATATTCGCCTAAGACCTTCGCACCACCTTCAGGACACACACGGGGAAGACCGTTCGCAATGGGCGGATACATGCGCAATGCCTCGTCGAGACATGCAAGCATGTATGGCAGTTTGTTAACAGAGACCAGGTTGATCTCTTCCTGGCTTTGAAACACAGTACGCACTTCCTCTTTCAACTTCTGATGAGCAGTCGGATTCATGAGAAGGAGGTATGTGACTCCACTCAATAACGAGGCTGTGGTTTCGGAACCACCAATGATGAGAATTTCAGCATTTGAAATGAGTTTGTCAATACTCAGGTTCTGACAATGGTCAGTTATCATTCTTGAACGAAAATAGTTGAAAACTCACCAGTTCCTCCCTCTTTCTCAAAAGTCCCTCAATCAAGTCCGATCGACCTTCTTCCTTTTCCATCCGACGCATCATCTTCTGTTCGGTGAGTTTCTTGTGTTTCTCATGGGCATCCGTCATTGACGCAGGCATCATTGATAACAGCGTCCGCTTCACAGATGGATAGAAGGAGAGAGCTTGCAAAGTAATGCCAACCCGGCCGGCGTCAAAAATCCCCTTGATCCATCCGTCAAGGTTTGATCCCTGAAGACAGCCAAAAGGCTCACCAAATGCCAGGTCTCCAATAATATCGAAAGTGGTATAGTTGTACCAATCGGAAAGAATCACCGGGCTACCAGACTTGCAAAAGTCATGTAATCGGGCAATCAACGTATCAACGTAGCCACGAATCATCGGCTCCTGGTCTCGCATTGCCTTTTCAGAGAACCCGTGGGCCATTTGTCGACGGAGACGCCCATGTTGCTCTCTGCTTTCGTTGACTACATGTGGCGGTGAGTCTTCAACTGGACGGTAGAACCAATCTGCCTTTGAGAATTCAGGTTTCCCTTTCTGGTGACCCATAATATCTTGCCAGGCATCAGGGTGGGAGAAGGCTAGCTCATCCGGCGCAATACGGACAATGTCGCCATATCGCTTGTGCATTTCTAGCATGTCAAAGGGAAGGGTTCCCCTGATAGATTTGTGGACATATGCCAGTCGTGATATTTTGTGTCCCAATGGCCCCGGAAACCGGCTCAGGGGGTGAAAGTACACATTGTAAATCACTGTATAGACAACATACAATATCGCCTGAACACGTTAGAAAAGAAGCCACAAAAGGCATTGCATGACGTACCGTAAAGAGTCCCGTTACCAGCGCATATTGCACGTTGAAGATGATTCCCATTTTTTCTTGATATTCGCTAGTAATAAATGATGTAATAGATGATTTCAGAGAGGCAGTTCGATGCGAACGTGGGAGGTCTTATATGTGTTGTTGTAGATCTTCATAGGGCCGAGGTTTGTCGTTGATCAACATAGGTATTCCTGCGGCAGTGTCAAATTGAGACATTCAGAATCGATGAAGCTTTAATTAGATCAAGATTTTAACGCCAATGGGAGGGATTGTATTAGGGGTTGAATGGAGTTCAAGTGCGCGTTCTCCCACTATCCGAATCCGAACCCGAACCCGAACCCGAATTCGACCATCCAACGTCCACGCCACGAAAGGTACGAATACGAGCCCGTCCCCTCGGACTAAAACATGGAGATCTCGCTTATTATATGCATAATATGTTGGGCTCCCCTTTAATATGTTGTAGGTGCACGGCTACGAAGAAGCCCATGGAATTTGTGCATGCCATGCATATGACAGACTTGGACTGATTCAAAAAGCCCGTCAGCGCACATAAAATAGCCATGTGTGGATTTGTCTTCTCAGTGCCCTCAACATGGATGCAAAATCGTCTGATCCTGAAGCGCAGTCTGTCAGACTACCAGATGAGAAAGTCAACGAAGAGCACACGGCGGAGGCATCCGAATATGATGTCTTCTGGGAGCAACCAACCAGTGAAGACCCAGAGAATCCAATGAACTGGAGCTCCTGGCGCAAATGGACTATTATCGGGATGGTTTCTTTTATCACTTTCCTAACGTGAGTACTGAAGCTTTTAATATAGACCAAGATTCTAACAAGACTAGTCCCCTCGCCTCTTCGATGTTTGCGCCGGGTATCAGACAAGTCCTCGAAGATTTTGGTTCAACGTCTAGTGTCCTCTCTACCTTTGTCGTCTCGGTTTATGTCCTAGGATTCGCCTTCGGCCCTCTGATTATCGCTCCTGTCAGTGAGTATAGCGGCCGCACATGGGTCTACAATGTTTGCAATGTGTTGTTCGTGATATTCAATATCGCCAGTGCGCTCGCTCCCAACATGGCGTCTTTGATTGTTTTCCGATTCTTCGATGGGTTTGCAGGTGTAGCTGCCATCACATGTGGTAGTGGTACAATTGCAGATCTTGTGCCGAGAGAGAGACGAGGCCAGGCAATGGCTATCTGGTCCTTGGGACCTCTGTTCGGCCCAATCATTGGCCCCGTGGTGGGCGGGTTCCTCGTGGAGGCAAAAAACTGGCGATGGGTGTTTTGGGTTCTTGCCATAGTGGTAAGAGAGACAATGCCATGTCAAAAGCGCCTCATTTCTAACTTAATTTGCAGGGTGGAGCCGCATCAGTCGTCTTTTTTTTTGTCGTGCCTGAGACATATGCCCCAATTATCCTCGAGCGGAAGGCTGCTCGGCTGCGAAAGGCAAAAGGAGATACGGCATACAGATCTCGTTTGGATTCCGGAATCCCTCCAAAACAGCTGTTCATTCGGAGTCTCATTCGACCATCGAAAATGCTTGTTCTGTCCCCAATAGTGGCATTGATGTCCAGCTACATTGCTGTACTTTACGGCTTCCTCTATATCCTCTTCACAACATTCGCGATTGTTTTTGAGGGTCAGTATAACTTCTCTGCCAGCGCTAGTGGCCTCTCATTCCTTGGAAGCGGAGTAGGCATGTTGCTTGGCCTTGCATATGTCGGGACATTGAGTGATCGCAAGATCAAGATCAAACTCTCGCGCAAGGAGACACCTGTTCCCGAGGATCGACTTCCCCCGTATCTTACCATACCTGGGTCACTGGCCATACCGGCGGGTCTCTTTATCTATGGATGGTCGACAGATAAAATGGTTCATTGGATCGTTCCCGAGATTGGAAATGCGACTATTGGTTTTGGGATGATCACCATATTGATGTGTGTTCAGACATATCTGGTAGACGCTTTCCTCGCGCATGCTGCCAGTGCTGTGGCTGCTTGCACTGTTCTGCGAAGCTTGCTTGGAGCTCTTCTTCCTCTATGTGGATTGCAAATGTACGACAAACTCGGCCTTGGGTGGGGAAATAGTTTGCTGGCATTCCTTGCTTTGGCAATGGCTCCTATACCGATTTTGTTCCAAACTTGGGGAGAGAGACTACGGACGAAGTGGACTATTGACTTATAGCCTAAAGGGCTTAGAACATGTAAATATCTAAGTAGCCTATGCCATTCGTTTTATACAGCAAATACAAGTGTTCAGAAGATGATCAAAGCAGAAAATAATCGTTTTAGATTCTCTTAATGTAGTACTCAGCACTATCTGTCTTGCGTAACGCGCATTCCTCATTTCAGATTATGGTATCTCAAAGTAAATGTAACCAATCATGAGCACAAGAGTCATTCAGGTCATAATTTGTACAGGAATAGAAAAAGAAAGGAAAAAGAAAAGAAAAGGCCTTCTACTCAAGAAGAGCAACCATCAGGCGCTGGTAATCACTAGAAGTCTCCCCGCGTACCCGGTCAATCAAGTTCTTCCCGAACTTATGTTGATAAGCGCGCTTGACCATCTCCTTGTGATTGCGATTCCAGTGGACTCGGACGACACGGGCAACAAGGCGCTCGTCCTTGGTTCCCATGCCGCTCATGGCTTGCTCGAGTAGGATTGCATCACGCATGGCAGGATCCGTAGCGGAGCGGAGCATCAGAAGCAGCGCATCTTCCATATGACCCGAGAATTCCTTCTCGATATGCTTCTCAAGCGGGATATGGTAGCGTGACTGGAAAGTCTGGCTAATAGCGCGGAGCTCGGCATTGGACGCCTTAGCAAAGATTGAGCACACTTCCGTGACGTTCTTCCCTTGCAGGGAGCGAACATCGGTCTCGATTGTTTGCGGGTTGATAGGGACAGACTCTTCGTTGCGAGCAGCACGAAGGACAATGGCGAACAGAGTGGACGTCTTGAAGGAGAGGTCGCCTTCGACATCTTTAGAAAGCGAGCGCCTGTGTCTGATTTCGTAGGCGGTCCGGATAGCGTTCATGTCAGCATTGGATCGGCCGAGCAGGACCTCGTTGAGCAACCACTCCTTCGTGCCAGCGCCATCGATTGCCGAGTGCAAGCTCTCGACATCATGCAAAAGAGGTCCGTCGATCACGGCAAGTAGGCCATCGCGGAAGTACCCGCCAGTTTCGGACTTAACATCCTTGGACAGATCGCGGCCGAGGTGCTTGGAATATGTGTCGCGGACAGCGGCCATCTGAAGCGGGTCGAGCTGCGCGAGGACTGCAATAAGGGCCTTCTCGTCCGTGCCGAATCCCTTCATCGCTTTGCGAAGCGCATCTGCTTGCGGCCGGAATTCGCCTGGTGCTACTTGACCAGGGATATAACCGGGAGACGGTTGTGAGGGAACACCCTGGGGCGCAAAGCCGCCGGCTGGTGCGCCGTATCCAATGGGTGGTTGGCCTTGAGGTGGGTATCCCGCAGGCGGTTGTCCTGGTGGGGCATAGCCATGCTGCTGCTGGCCATATGGAGGTTGCGCGGGCGGGGCATGGTATCCGTGGGGTTGAGGAGATGGCGCGCCGTAATGACCTCCTTGCGGAGGAGGGGCACCGTAGTGACCTTGTTGAGGCGGAGGATAATGGCCCTGTTGAGGCGGGGGGTAGTGGCCTTGCTGAGGGGGGTATTGGCCCTGTGGGGGAGGGGCACCGTAGGGCTGCTGGTAGCCCTGGGGCGGAGGAGGGCCTTGCTGTCCGTATTGTTGGGGTGGGTATCCTCCGTACGGAGGTTCTATTGACTTAGTTAGCTCGTGCCAAGACTGGAATTATGTTTGAATTGTCACTCACGATTAGATTGATACGACATGGTATGAAGACTGTGACTTGTTGTTTGGTATGTATGCAAGTCAAGAAAGGCCCGGGCTGAGGGCTGAGGGGCTGTTTATATGCCGGGCTGCTCGGCTGAGAGTGTGGCGCAGTCAGGTGGGGGCGTTCACAGCCTTGTGAGTTTCTAGAATTGTTGACGTCTGCCAATATTTACAAGTGGACTTGATAGTTTCTTATTCATGGTTCTAATGTTCTAATTAAAGAATTTGTTGTTGCCTTGTTGCAAAGTTCGTTAGGTTTTTTATCTATCTATATTGGTGTATACAAAATGGACACCAACTCCACTTCGATCAACCCCATGATTCATTTCAATCCCAAAGCTCTCTCACACATTCATGGATGGATTTCAACGCCATGACTCATCGCAATTACAATTTCAACCATCTTCCTTCACCACCAACAATGGTCCCTTTCTTCACCTCGCCATCGCTGAACGGCATATCAAAACCGCCTGTGATAGCAACCCCATTCTTGAGCCTGAGTTCAATCTGATCCTTTTCTATGGGTAACTCTTCGAATTCTTCAGATTCTTTGTGTAACTGGTCGGCTGAGTCATAGGTGACGTCGGCATTGGGAATGGAAAAAGACTGCCCAAAGCCAGTCAAGTTGCCCACGAAAATATACTGAGCGCCTTCAACTTCGAATTGACCAAGGACTCGTCCTTGGTCACTTGTCAGGGTTCCAGTACCTTGCGGCATCTATGTCATGAGTTGATCAGTATGCGCTAGCACTACCTGCGGGACCACGGAAGGGTGCCAAGTGCTTACTGTGGGGAGATCTTGCCAGATATTTGCTAATATTGAGATTGATGCTACGAATATAGGTGCTCATTCAATCATTTAAAGAGACAGCGCAAAGAAGAGCGGTCAGTTTTCAGAGTTCAAGGTGGGATACCGTGCAGTGCATCCGATGTCATACATGCAAGTCAAGTGGAACGTCGTGCTTGACCTCCATGTCATGGATGGTGGTTCGCCTTATCGAGGTGCTTACAGCATGAAAGATGGTACATATGCAGGGTGCAACGCATACCAGAGATGCGGGGCTACGTAATCGGGGCTTCCGCCGCTCTGTCCGGCTACAGGTCTTGAGTATAATGGTCAAAAAAAAGTCGCAGGCAACAGCGTGTCAAGTTGAAACAACATGATAATCTGTTTCAATGTGACCTAGATTTTAAGGGTTGATTGGCTCGAAAGCTTGAAGTTAATAAGAAATGAGTTTCTTCGGGGGAAATGTCTCATCATTGGAGCATCATCAAATATATATAGCTACAGAGAGACATTGAACATGGATTTAATTTATATCTCGCTCTATATACGAGTGCTTAAAGCTAGATTGATGTGTTCTAGGTTATATATAGACTAGATCAGGCTTCTTTCTTAATTCTGACGATCGTAAGGTGCAGACTTAAGATCGTGAGGTGCAGACTAACATCTCCCCCCACCAGAGCTGATACCGCCTAGCCGTATTCGGTTAGCGCACAGCCCCTTTGCGTCCGAGTTGCCACTGCGCCTCCGCAAAATCCGCAGGATAGGCCCCAAGATTTCCTGTTAATGGTGCAATTTATATTAAATCCTTGTCGGGGTCCACCATAGATTTACAGTGTCTGCTAGTAATTGACATGGCCATGTTTCCTCCAGGTCGCCGTTCGCACCGGAAATCGCGATCTGGGTGCTTACAATGCAAAAAGCGAAAAGTCAAGGTGAGAGATTCATCAATTTTTCCCGTCGAGCACTAGCTTATAGCTCTGTATCAGTGTGATGAAAGCCAGCCAAATTGCCGGAATTGCGAGAAGCACGGGGTGGTTTGTTCATTTGCCACTCCCTCAACCTCAACCGTGCTTTCTACACCACAAACGGATTTCGCAGAATCACCTGTGTCACTATCTGGCCCAGAAAGCATTGGATCTCGAACAGTTCGTGCCCCAGCACAAAAATCACCGGCATTACCAAGTCTGTCCTCATTAGGACCATTCCCTACCACATTGGCCGTTTTTGACTTGGAACTGTTGCACCACTGGACAACGTCAACCTGCTACACACTATCGCGAAGCCCCGCCGTGCAAAGTATCTGGTGTCATGAAGCACCTCGCATTGGATTTTCAACACCGCCAGTATTACACACCTTGCTCGCATTTTCTGCACTGCATCTAGCTCGCTCCGATGGATCTCGACGCGCAAGCTGCCTTGCTTACGCACAGATGCACCACAGCGCCGCCGTAAGAGAGATGGTCCCGCTCGTCTCAACTATCGCGCGAGAAAACGGTGCAGCGCTTTTCATTTTCTCCTCTCTAACGTGCATGTTCTCCTGTGCCAAGCCATCGGAAGAAGGTGAATTCTTGGTCCTCTTCGAACGTGGCAATCTATCAGAGTGGGCCCGTCTTTTCCGAGGGACATCGACTGTTATCAGTACCGGCGGTGAGGACCTTCGTACGGGGAAGCTGGCACCAATCTTTACGATTGGAACTTATCTAGTTGCTGCCCACCGCGAGCCACAGGCCCTTGAGCAAGGGAAACCGCATGTTTGGGAGTTGCAGCAAATGATATGGAGGGAGTGTGCAGCTGACCCATCACTTCGGGCTATCTACCAACATGTTTTAGATGAACTAGCCCGAATATTGGGTCTAGCTATAAGGCCTGCAGTCATGCGGAGACTCGAGACCGCAGATGTATTCAGGTGGCTGCTTGATGTCTCTGATGAATATTTAGAACTCCTGCGTCAGGAAGAGCCGATTGCACTCATCATCTTTGCTCATTGGTGCGCATCTATTCGTCAGATCGAGTGGATGTGGTGGATGGAAGGTCTAAGCTCGCGCCTCATGACACAGCTGTACTCTGTGTTGGATCCGAAATATCGAGATTGGCTTTCGTGGCCACAGGAGATTATTAATGGGAGCCATGAACAGTTCCAAGGTTAAATTAGATTGCAATTATAATCACAATGTTTGCAATTCTCCATTAGGGAGAAATAATATCACACTCAAGATGAAAAAAAAAAAGGTGCAGAAAATAGATCCATATCAAGCTTATACTATAAGGCATTGCCGATCCTGCTGTCAGATTATCTCTCTTTGCATCTATGGATATCTAATTTGCCATGTTTGCCGTTGGCACTCGCGACTTTCCCGAACTCTGTGGACAATGGACGTCAATTTATGCGGCCTTCTACGAGCTTTTCACTACATCATTTCCCAATGTACCTCGTGGTTGAGAACAAATTCAAATAAATTCGAATGGAATGAGCAATCACTGCGAATGATCAAAACCTACACGTATTTCTTGATGAGAGAATATTACCGAAATCTCGCGGAGCTCATGTGTGCGAATCAGTGATGGTCCAATCACAGGAAGGAGTGCGTCTAGTTCTACGCTTGACAAGAACCGTGCATATGCCTCCCAAGTCATACGCACAAAGACTCCAGCAGATGCATTGGTTTCATAGGCATCTGTGATTTTCACTTTGAACTTGGCCGGCAGGTTTTCAACAACTTTTTCAAAGTCTTGGACAACCAGCTTCGGGTTTCCTTCGAGAACGAGTAGAACAAGGACGTGAGTTTCGCGGCCAGAGGGAAGTTGTGATAGTGGGCGGGAATGTAATGCATGGCCTAGGCTTGAACTTGAGGCATGACCAGAAGACGAAATTCCTGGCGAGGGAGGGGTTGAAGTAGACGTGACGTGGAAAGGTAAGACAATGGGATTCACCCCACTATGACTCGAAAATCTTGGCATGTAGCAGCCACGAGGAGTTTCATTCTGTACCGCATTGAAAATTTCATCTGTCGAGATAGATATCTTGCCAGAGTGAGAAAGCTTTCGCATGGTCCGCGCAACTCGCTGTGTGAAGGATATTCCAGTTACACGGGATCTCGCAAACGCCGAAGAGCCACAAGCAGCTAAGACATGGGTTGTCATCGGATTACTCGCAATAGCAGTACCGGAATAATAGCAATCCAGGATGCAGAAGGTATCCATGGGATAAGTGTGGTAAATCAATTCACCCTCGATGGTGCGCCATGGAACAAATTTTTCCTTCTTGGTCGCGGTAAAAGAAAGTTCGTTAACTTGATTGATCGTGCCGTGGCCAGCGTAAAAAAAAACGAAGAGCGTTGGTTTGGAAATGCGGTGTTTGGACACAACTTCTTGATGTAGGCGTTCTCCCAAATCCCAGCCTGGAACAGGATTTTCGTGCTTCATGACAAATGTTTGGCTAGCAACTCCGAAAAGATCAGCCATCATATGGGAAAAGGTTTCTCCATCTTCTTGAGCACGAGTGTTGTCATCGTCCCAATAACAAACGAAGGCCGTAATTTGAGAGTATGTTATCCCTCTGGCCTTAACCGCCCTTTCCAGTGCAGATTTCAAATCGGGAAGAGCAATCCTTTTGGAGCTGCTCCTCGTCGGAATTTTCGATGGAGATTTTGGGGATGCGGGTGAAGTTGCAGAGTTGGGCGAGGTAGGAGGGTTAGACTGAGAAGATTCCATAGTCAAGTGACTCAACCGAGTGCCGAATAGAGGATGTGCAGAAATCGATTTGAGTACAAAGTGAAAAAAGTAAGAAGTTTCCTTGCCTCAGATTGGCTTAAGGGTCTTGGGTATTGAGGGCTCACGAGTAACTGACGAAGAGAACTCGAGATGATAGAGAGGTGAAAAACTAGAGAACTGAGAAATGAGTAAAGGTGAAAGACGAGTGAGAGTTGTTTGCTGAAGTTTAAGGCAGAGATGTTTGTGAGGAGGAAAGAAAAGAAAGAAGAAATTCAGACCTGGCGACTTAATAGAAATACCTAGGTAGGCAGGGTAGGACGAACCATAGTAGAATCAAAACTACTATGCCTATTCTAGCAATCGTAAGAACCATGGAACCTTATCCGATCCGGGCCAAAAGGTTTATTGGAAAAAAACAAGTTAGATAAGTTATGTGTTCGGTATGTAGGTAAATAGTCCTACTGGTAGGGATACACCACAGGCTTTATATTCGTCGGAGTATATCATAGACGATATAGATATAGTCCATGGCTCATGAATCTAACAATGTATAGATGCAATGCTCGGAAACGCTCATGCGACATTCAAATTCATAACTCCGATCTTCATAATCATCGTAACCATGCAACGAAGAGACGCAAAGGAAAGGAGAAACAGAAATGGGTATACGATGCATGTCATGCGTATCATATGTGCGTGCGATATTCAAACACAACAAAAAGCCAAGGAATCTTTACCTATGAACCTCCCTGACGAATTCGACATGCGAACCAGGGAACAGTCCCGTTCGGCCAGCGTAACATCCCCAGAACCAATCGTCGTTGATATTCTCAGATTCAGTGATATGCGCACCACGCGGGAAAACAAGCTCGTCTTCGACTTCTTCTTCTGGGTACCAAGACCACCGAGCGTAGACGATGAGGCCGACACCACCGTCAGGCGGGAACCGGCGGAAGGGTGGGATAATCGGAGTCGCGGTGGCACTGGAAGGGGGTGGATTTGAGGGATCAGAGCCGGCAGTAGTACTTCCGGTGGTACTGTTCATGGGGGCAGGCCCGCCACGCAGACGGGATGCTTTCTTACGGCGCTCGGGGCCGTCCTCCCAGCTCCAGTCACCGATTCCTTGTTCCGGGGATGCAACGGGGCCACCGCTTGCTGGGGAGGAAGTTGGTGATTGTAGTTGTGATTGTGCTACGTGCTTTTCATTCAGGGCGCGGCCACCCACAAGATCACGGACAATGACGCGGCGTTGACCTTCTTCGTGGTCTTCGAAGCCGACAACTATCGTGCGGTGGCCGGCAAGGCAGCGACGCCAGCCGTTGTGCCCGTTCTCTTTGTTGATTTTGCCTGTTGCCACGAGTTTGAGGTAGCAGTTCGTGCAGACATCGTAGTCACCGCCATTGCATTCTAGGCAGTGATAGCGGGTATTTGAGGCTGGGATTGGGTAGGTGCAGATATCGCAGTTTGTTGAGAATGAGAGAATTTTGAAGCTCTCGACCTCGGATGGAGTAGGGGTGGTATTTGATTCAGCCGGCGGCGGTGTGGTGGACGGCGCTGATGGAGGTGGACCATGGGTAAAGCGCCGGATGGGTAACAGGGCGTGGGTGCAGCATCGTCCTTGGTTAACGCAGGAGTTACAGAAACCCCAGTCTCCATCGTTGCACTGGTTGCATTTCCAAAAACAATCGTTTGCCTGCGATTGACACGTATCACAGAAGAGGCCGCTTTGTAGCCGGCGGACTGGGTTGTCGCTGGTCATTTGCCTTTCTCCGCTCATCGTTCGATGGGCAGTCTCGGAGGGCCGTAGGTATTTGAACCACATTAAGACATGACCAGGGTCATTCATTTGCAGAGGGCGTCGAGTAGACGACGATATAATTCGTTGGAAGGTTGTATGTGCGGATGCGCCAAATCCGTTCCATCGAAGACAGCCACGTCCCAAGCGGTAACATTGTAGACACAGGTGGAAGTTCCCATCCTTGCAACTTGGGCATTTCTTGTGTAGATTATATTGGATGTTGCCTTTCCCGCAGCGGTCACAGGAGATGGATGGCTCGGGGAATTGTACAGTGGGCGACGCAGGAACGTTGGATCGGGACGAAGATGGTCTTGTTCGTCTGTCCGACCGGATTGGAACAAGGGGCGAAGATAATGACGGAATGGTGTGCTCCGTGTGAAGCGAATTGCGGGAGGAATTTGAGGGCGCAGCGCCAGAAATGGGAGAATTCGTGGCTGATTGACTCGTGGACTGTCTAGAAGAGCTTCGTTCTCGTCCTCCGGTCACCCACGCTCTTGAGATACTCTGTTCTGACTCGGTGGCACGTCGCGGCCTGGCTGATGCTGATTCTGATCGCAAGCGCCCAGTCTGAGAGACGTGGCGATCTGCAGTTATATCACTCGCGGATCGGGCAGCAGGCCGTATGGCTTCATCCGATGCAGATGCCTGATTCGTTCGGACGGGGGAGGTCCTTCGGCGCCCACTCACTTGTTCTGAGCTGCGCCTTTGGTGACCTGCGGTGCTAGGCCGCGTGGGAGCCGAATCGAACAGATGCGGTCTGGAAACTGGCGGTCGTCTGACATTGTGTTCTCGGGTAGCCGCCGTTGGTTCTGCAGTCCTGTGGGCGGACTCGGACCTCGCATGTGTTCGCGTAGCTCCATCAGCCTCTGGTCGCTGACGAGACTGTGGTCTTTGCATATGCCTCCGACGGTAAGCATCCGCAATCCGTTCACTGAGTTCCTCTTCTTGTCTTGGCCCAAGATTATCAAGATTGATGTTGTCCAGTAATCCGTCCTCAAGAATTTGCCGCAAGATTTCCTCCTCCATGGTCTCCGCATCCGAGGACAAACTCAGCAATGAGCGCAGACTAGATTGATGCTCCACCCGTCGCGTACGGTCCGAATCATCGGGCCGTAATGTACGTTGCTGCCGCGTTGTATCGTCATCCCTCCGACGCCTTGACCGGCTGTCCTCCGTAGGCCTCTCGGTATTGGTGCTCCTTTCACGCGTCCGCGAAGATTGGTCCGTCCGCCTGGTCTCGCGTCTAGCTTGTGCCCGGCTTTCGCGTAGGCTCAACTCACGTACTTCCTCTAGAATGCGTCTATCGTCCTCGCCATCCTCCTCCGCGCTTTCCCCGCCCGAGGGAAGTGCTGGGAATACCGACTCGCCCTGGGTGTACCTGGTAGCAATTTCTGCCTTTTCATCTGCTGCTCTGGCGCGATCTGGGTGTGCGGTCAGGACCATGTCCAGCAGGGTCGTCACGGTGGCATTTGGGCGGGTGTCGCGCACTTCAGCACGACAGGAAGGACACGTGAATGGAGGCGAAGCGCGGGAACGACGCGACCCTTGTGCGGAGAACCATTCTTTCACGCAGGATCCGCAGAAAGTGTGGAGGCAGTCGAGGAGAGTGAGGGGCTGGTAGAGGAGCTCGGTACAAATCTGGGGCAAAAGAGCGGTGTTAGAAACGTAAGGGGCGGAATGGACGAGTACATACCGAGCATACCAGCTCTTTCTCAAGGTCCGCCAATCCGGAACTTTGAACTTGAGACATGAGCAGGTTTTAGAAAAGTCCCGTAAACAATAAACAGAGAGGTCGGTGAAGACCACGGATCGTAAATGTGGGAGAAGTTGGCTCCACCAATGGGCCCCGCGGTGATCTCCCGCTTACAGCTTCACCTTCACCTTCACCTTCTTCACTTTCAACACTTCAACTTCAACTTCGTCTCTTTCGACTTTAAATCCGAAATGCCTGAAAATTTTTGGCTTGGACACTGTTACAAAGTTGGTTTTGACACCGGATAGATTTCTGCACCCCCGATGAAGCTTGATGAAAAGGGTTGAACATAGCAATGTGAAAAGATGAAGATGGAAGATGGTAGATGGTTTCCATCATCAGATCTTCTTTGAAAGATTGTTGGCCTTAGGCGGAAAATGGGCTCAGCTGAGGTTTCAACAGAATACGCATATTTAAATATGCCACCGTGCAATTTCTTTGCACATCCCCAATTTGCATTTCAAGTTGGAATAATATGTCGTAGCCTGCGTAGAATTCCCAGAGTGAAATAATATCAGCAAACATGTCACTTTGCTCTACAACGATAGCCAGGTCTAATTAACCTCCAGTAACTACACTGAGACCCCTCAGTATCTGGTCTTGACCATCAACTTCCAAAGTATGATCACTCGGCTGCGAGGCGAGAACTCACATAAAAGGGTGTTTCTACCACAGGGTACATGGCAGGGTATATACCGGACAAAGGTATTGTATTAAAGAAGCCCAGCCAGAAGAAATCTCTATGCCATTTTTTCCCGCGCACACAAGGCCAAGCGGTCAACGGAATCATATTAGATCACCCGATATCGGTCATTGCAAGTTCACAAGTGTGTTCTAAACCAGACTATAGGGATCTGTTCTATTCTTCGCCATCTCCCCGAAATAAACCACCCATTCGCCGACGCAGTCGTGGCGGCAAAGATGCAGGACACGTCCCTCAACGCCATGGAAGTACAACACGCACGGTCCATGGGTAGAGATAGAGATACTTTCGAGTGACAACGCAATACAAGTCCGAGCACCGGTCCCTGAGCAGACCAGGCCGGCCGAGAAGAAAGAGTTTCAGTCGATTTTTAGTATCGTCCCTAGCCCGCCACATAAGGTGGATGGTGGAGGGATGATGATCCCAAAGGGGAAAAAAAGATACGAATCAAGGGAGGTGTCTTTTTAGACCTCGCCTCTCTTGTGGCGGGCGTCGCGGGTAGTTTGCATTATTCCTATGGGTTGATCTTGCTATCATGCGTAGCGGTGAGGGGGTGGCTGCTCGAAAGCGAAGAATTGACTTTGAAATGCTATTTCCTCGGAGTCTGAGCACAATGTTGTGAGGCCGGAACGTCGGAACTAGACACCTGCCATTATGGGCGTCATGTGAGTGAAGAGCAGAACTTTGTGTTTCTCTGTGTGTTTCAATGTGCATACGCCATCGCGTGGGAGATAGACGCTGATGCTGTCTTTCCTCACGGATCTCCCGGTGCGAGATGCATGCTGTGATCATCTGCGTGAACATGACAGTCAAAATGTGGGGAAGGTCTGTGTCAAGGGAGCTCGGGTTGTAGGGCCCGGTCACTGGCTCCCGCTGTGGCTTGAGGATATGGGAGAGCATAGCTTCGGAGGCCTTGGATGGCAGTGACAGCAGGAGATCTATTCGTCAGCTAGTGTTATCAGTTGAGGGGTTTGGTTTGCTGTCCTTGTCTGGTGATACTACCTGCATTGTCAGATGTTTACTGGCACTTAGGTATAAACACACAGAAGGCTATCAGATGTGAGGTGATAACGTCGCTCGGACAGTATGAGGTGGCAGATGCACCCCGCAATTGAGGGGCGCAGGGCTACAAGCCAACGTACTCACCTCCGCAGACAGCGATATCCGTTGAATACGAGAACATTGTAAGTTTACTTTGTGCCTTTATGCTCAGGAGCCTGCAATATTCCTAAAGCACTAAGTTTTCGGTTTAGTCTGGGGAATAGTGGGCTCACCCCTCTATCTTACTAGGGATATATGTACATAGTTAGGTCGATAGAGACGATGTTAGACAAGTTATTTTTGTCTTTTGGACGTCTTCTTTCTAATTGGATATAATTGGCCTATAAAATAACCATATCTAATCTTCGATATTAAACAAGAAAGAGCAAATGATCAACTTAGCAGCGATCATTATTACTCACGTATCCTACATGGGCCCTCTTCAACCCCACACCCACAGACGAGGGACGAGCTCAATCCCCTTCAAGGATTGTCCTCCCCCCCACCCTTATCTCTGACATCCAAACTTCCAAAAATTGAATGTATCTCGATAGACGGACAACGAGGGCCGAGTCTCCGAATTACGGGGCTTGATGGGCGTTAATTCTCGTATCAAAAATGGGCATTCTATAAATTCTATAACGCTGACGACGGAAAACGCCTCTCCCGCTAAGCGTGGGATGATAACGGGCCCAAAGCAGCCAATCTTCTAGCTCGTAATATGGCGGTTCAAGATAGCCGAGTGTCATTCTATTTGCGGCTTGACTTTTAGGTAATCTATCTGTCACCCGTGGATACACCCAGCTTCCAGATCGCGATTTGTATACTCCGTAGTGGCTACAGAATTAGTGGAGTGACTCACCATAAATAACGACAACTTAGCCGAGAGCGATATCAATTGAAGATTTGGAGAGAGTTCATTAAACTCTCAAATTCCAATTTGTCAGACGAATTGATAATCAACCCTGTATGTATCTGTAACTAGTAAATGTGGAGATAAAACCCCGCGACTTCGGGGTACACCTGCAAGTTGCACATCATTTTCCCCAGAGCAAACAAAACTATCTATGGAACTTTGCAAGCGTAAAGTGTAAAATCAACTATGAAACCCCTGAGACAAACCCACATCCAACAGCCCAGAACAACAACCATGCACTGACCCCGCCCATCATGCATAGATTGTCAGTTCGCCGCACTAATGCAGTGCCTTATGCACGGCCGCGCAGACTAACCAAGCTATCCTCGCCCCACTATCACCGCACCGTCGAGTCGTAGCTCCGGGATCGTACGCACTGACTACCGCGCCCCCGTTCTGGCCAGTGGTCGAACTTGGTGGGGGATGTTTTGGCGCTGGCCCTTCCTCGCAATGCTATGCATAAGCGTGGGGCCCGGCCAAGGTATACCTACAATATACTTACTTCGAGTGAGGCTACTAGTCTGTCGGTGGTATAGGTGGCTTTTGAGGTATAGATTAAGTATACTTTTTGCTATAATGTTACTACCATATGCACGACTAACGTTCCAAGGCCCGTGCTGGCCCTTGAACTAACACGCATCATGTATACCACCTAGACAATGTATATCGAATCGACTAAAGCGGCTGTCCCTGATCGCCTACCCGTATTGTCAGTGGTTGGTTGATGCCAAGATGTACAAGGTGGTGCCACTTTCCTTAACAATTTTTTCTTCGAGATACAACGTCCGGGATACAGATGCCCCTTGGGAACGTGTGCGGTTGACAGGGATGTTAGAAGGTCAGGTGGTGCTCGGTGCAGTGCATTGCAGAAAAGGCGCGCCTAGGATTTACGTGACGTGCAACATTGCATAGTCAGCCCATATGCGCTGCTTGCGTGCGATTTTCTTATTCTTGAGCTATCAGCAGCTACGGGCCAATCATCGTCGAATTCTCTATCTTGTGCCATAACTGTGGAAGGTTCAGGGTTGAAACGGGTTGAAACGTCTATGCCGTGCAACACGTGAGTAATTGGGATACTTGGGTGATCACACCGTTCCTATTGTCGTATGGAGGTCAAATCGGAAGGTTAGATACACATCTCCATCGGGTGTATGCTGTGAGCGAAGAGGATATCCGGGCGGATTCTATTTCTACAACCATAGTGTAGCGAACAGCTATATCCCACTGGCAGATCCAGACCGAATCATTACCAACCAGACGCGAACCCTGGGGTATAGGCCGCGGGGTAAGAAACCTTGGGGGAACAAAACGCAAGTCAGCATCGCCCCGACCACTGGGGTCCGCATCAACTCCGAGTTCGCAAAATATGCACCATGAACGCAAGAGCTGACGCCAGCGGTATCCACGCGGGGTAGCTAGAGCTCTCTAGGAAATGCGCTGCCCCTCTCTTTCATTTCACTCTCCTAGTCTCGTTGATGCATGGTATTCACGCTTCAGTTCCTTTTGTTCTTGGCAAGCAGTGACTGCAGCCTGAACAGGCCGCTGCCCAAAGCGGCTGCGTGTTTTATCACCAAGGTGAAGCAGGGGAAGCTTATTCTTAACAGTATCGGGTCGAATTGCGCGAGATGATTCTCGGAACTGAGCTGCCGATGGAGAGCCCGCTCGATGACCCAAGTCTGAGCTCAGCCACGCTAACGCCCCTCGGGGGCAGTTGCAGTTTGGAATTGTCGCCAGCGAGACAAGGCGGATTTCAAGGAGCACATCACTCCGGTGGAGATGTGTCAATTTGTAAAAGTTCAAAAGGTTCAAATTGCAAATTGCCAATGGAAAGGGATCGCATCTGGGCGATCATTTCGACAGTAGATTTGCAAAGGACTCTCAATCGGTGAGAGAGTAACCTTGGGAAGATCCTAAGGCTGAACTCTGTGATCTCAAGGTTCACATATGGTCACTGTATACTTCCTATAGGTTCTGGTCTGACCGCTTCGACGCTTCGACCCTATAACAATTTCTATTATTTAAGGGTTGCGGGTTAGGGAATCTAATTCGGGTTTCCCGTGAACCGGACAACCGATGGAGGGGTTCTCAGATTTCGGGATCAAATGAGAAAAAGAAAGGAAAAAAAAGCAAAAAAAGTGCACGGAAGTTTCCAGGGTCTCGGCAAGAAGGGGCTAAACGGACGTTATCGCCCTGCAGCTCGGAATGTTGCAACCTTGCCGCTCACCGAGACGTTCATATTGGCAATTTGAGGATCCCATCAGAATTGTATCGGGTCCGCCCGTAGGCTAGACTACCCACATTCAGTCCGTGGATACCTGGCAGAGTTTTGTGGGACAA